AATGAGAAGTTCTATAAGTTTTAACACCCCTTATCTTTTCATCACGCCACATATTCTCATTTGCACTAAATAGATGCACCCACTCTCAGTTCTCCAAATACTCATATACAGCAACTGTGAAGATAGTTAAGATTAGTTTTCAAAATTGCTTTTTATATTGGTTCTTGTTATAGTTGTCTCTGTAGTAGATCAATTATTGTCCATAATACATTAGTTATACCAAAAGTCGAAGGAGTAATTAAATCTTTAAAATTCCTTAGTTGGGGATTTTTAGGGTGATTAAAAATCTGATATCATTGAAAAAAATCAAGCGGCGGATCCAATCCCGGTAAGAAGAGGTTAATCAAAAAGTATCAAGAACACTCCACAAAATTTTAAAAACGACATTTTATTTTTTTTATTCAATAAATTGAACAGTTATTCTTTACGTTTTTTCTTAAACTATCATTCCAGAGCAATAGTGGTTTTACATTTAATCGATGATCTAAGATCTTTATAAACTTGGAGATAATATTCAGAATTATTTTTGTTGAACCCATTAACGCCCAAATGTACAATTTTTTATCACAAAGTTTGACACTATATTTTAACATAAAGACTCTACAGAAAAAATTTCGCAATAGTGATTTCTTATTAGGCAAAAACCGCTCTATCTAATGGCTTGCCACAAAATTTGATAAATTTATAAATAAATAAATTACAAATTTAAAAAAAAACGTGAAATTTTTAGTTTTTTTTTAATTTTTCAAATTTTAGTACGGGTATTTGTATTGGAACACATCTAAAAGTCACAAATATCGCGTCAAAAATATACACCCTATAAGATAGGGGTATTCAAAATGGCGGACACAAAATGGCGTCTAAAGTGAATTTTTATTGACAATAAAATGGAGGATGATAAGCATCAACAAGCAAAAGATTTCATTCATTTGGATTAAAATAATTATGAATTTTGGATTAAATTGAAATCATTTTAATGCAGTTTAATCCCTAAGGCAAAATATTGTCGTGTAGGTTAAATCAATAAAATGTATTCAAAAGATAAGTAAATTATATTGTCCACAATTATAAATATTCTTAAAAATTATACTTGTTTCATTCACGCAAAGATTTTATTGTAGACTTTACATAATCAATTGCAATAGTGTTTTACTATACAAGCAATATTAATCTTTTCAAACACAATGTAGGTGTAAATGTTTAATGTACTTTGATAATACGTGATTTTACAATATTCACTTTAAATACTTTCAACATTCCTTGTATCTTGTATTAACCTCATATATTTACCCAATTATTATCTCTGTTTTTTCGAGATTAACTAATAAGACTTTTATAATTTTAATTCTTTTAACAAAATACAACTGAGTCTCTTCCTGAGACGTAAGAATCAGTCTTCACAACTGTTACAACTTCAATAAAAACGGAGGTTAAACTGCGACTAAACTATGATAAAGACCTCTGCAGATCTGCGTCTAACTTCTTTCCTATGTCAATTGATTATTTATTAATCGACATTTTTGTGGAGAAAACCTACTTACGATTGTGATAGTTTGTAATTAATAAATCATTTTCTGCTACCTTGCACATTTAGGCAGTATCATCAGTTTAGTTCTCTTCTGTAATTTGGATGCACCACTTTTAGCATTGGAGTAATTCAGACTTACTCTGTAAAAGAATATTTGACACAGTCTAATTGTATTTCAAAGTGTTACGATCTTGTTTAGCAATGAGTTTTGATTCGACAATTACGAAGTTAACGCCGGGTGAAAGCCGGAAACAGTCTATAAATGTTGTGAGAGAATATTTATTTAAAACCCAAGAAAGAATGACTTGACAAAAATCATTTCAACTTTTTTACTGCAGGCTACCCCGGGTAGCCCCTGATAGCGCGAAAGTTAAGAGGATAACGATTAGAACTAGTGTTAGAACTGGCAGTCATTATTTTGATCTCCAATCTTAAGTGCAGTGGTGAGTTCAATACAGGATACCACTGGTATAATGGTGGTATCCAATCAATGGTTGATTGTTAGACTGGTTGTTTACGCTAATGAAATACAGTGCATTGTCTTCTTGAGGGTCTCCGTATCACTCATACTGTTATGTCCTTTCGAAACAAATTTAGATTCATTCGAAAATATAAATATTAATTATGTTATAGATTGGGCGAATAATAATGGACTTTCTATAAACCCGCGGATAAGATTCAAGCTCTCATCAAGCATCTCATCAAATTCTCACAAATTTCTTTCTACTGTTTCTCCTCTATCACTAAGAGCAATCCAGATAAAATTTAGCGATAAAGTTAAAGATCTTGGGGAAGCGTTAGATCGTAATGTTCCTTGGAGAGATAAATGTGTATGAAATCTTACATAAAACTTATACAGGGTTGCCACGCTTTAGCTCATTTCAAATTCCCTGACTTTTCTAGGTTTTACAGGTTAAAAAACGAAATATTTCCAGGTTTTTAAAACTACATTATTTATATTTTACCAAATTAAATAACTCTCTGATTTCCAGAAAAAACCTTGACCTTATCCCTGACTCTAAAGAATATTCCGATTCACTAGCAAAATGATAAGATACACAAAAAAATGTTCTATTACATTTATTTACATATTTCTTCAAAAGTAAAATTATTCGAAAACATCAATATATAACTTAATTTTTAAATAAATATTTCATCCTGACACAGGAAGTAAGATTTTCAAAAATTTCAAATTCAATAGCATATAAGAATATTATTATAAAACATAAAGATACCGATCACTCCGAGTCTTCGACTCGGAATCTTTCTTCATGTTTTATATAATAATTAAAAACTGCTAATTTGTTACTTCCACTTCTTCAAAAATTATTTTCATCATTTTGATTATTCATTACTAGAATTTTCAACTCAAATTCTTCATTAAATCAATTTTTTTTAATAATTTCTGAAAAAGTTCTTTGAGAATTTCCAAATCCTGTTGTTAACAATTTAATTTTACGAAATTTGGATTATTCTGACATTCTTCAATTAAATATATTAGAAATTAAAAACTTCAAATAATAAAAAAAAATTCGAGTAAACTTTGAAAAAAAAATTGTAAAAATTTGTAAAAATTTGTAAAAATTTGAAAAAAATTAATTCCACAGAATTCTTCATTAAAAGTATATAAAAAGTTCAAATTTTCAAAGATTTTAATTTGAAACTGTTTGAAAATTCAATTGTTTCTAAAAATCCACACTTTCAATATTTAATTATAATCTAAAATTTTTAATGAAATACATTTTTAAATCAATATTCTTTAGAAAATTCTACGAGAACACAATTATTTAAATACAAAAATAAATATTTTATTATATTAAATGTTTCTTAAAATTGAATTTTCATAAAGAATTTTATCAACAAATTTTTAAATCATTCAACTCTCTTGACAAATTTTAATAAAATTTTTACGAATAATTTCATTTTTCAAGAAATTTGATGAAATTGTATTAAAAATAATTGAAATTCTGCAAAGAATTTTATTAAAATTCTTAAAAATAATTGAATTTTGGAGAAAAGTTTTATTATTTATAAAGATAATTGAAGGTTTGTATATTTTCGAACATAATTGAATTTCTGCGAAGAATCATATTATTTTTGAAAATAATTGTATTCTTGAGGCGAATTTTATTAAAATTTCTTCTTAAATAATTGAATTCTTTTGTGAAATTTTATTGAAATAGTGGACATTGAAAATAATTGAATTTTGACAAATTTTTGAAATTAATTAAATTTCTATGAAGAATTTTATTAAAACTATTTTGAAAAAAATTGAATTGTTACAAAGAATTTCATTAAAATTGTTGAAAATAATTTAATTTTTTGAAGAAATTTTGATTAAAACTGTATTGAAAATAATACTTAAATTCTAATAAATAAATTGTAGCAAAGGTTTTTTAAAATAATTGAATTTCTTTGATTTTTAATATAATTTTCAAGAATGATTACATTTATCGAGGAATATTCCATTAAAAATAATTGAAAGTCTGCGATGAGTTTTATTATTTATAAAAATAATGAAATGTTTGCGTAGAATTTTATTAAAAATTTTTTTTAAGAAATTGAATTGTATTGGGATTTTTTTTTATTAAAGTACATAGTAGATATTAAAAATAATTATTGAATTGAGCAAAATTTTTGAAAATAATTAAAATTTTGCTAAGAATTTTAATAAAATTTTAGAAAATAATTGGATTTTTGAGAATAATTTTACTACATTTGAAAATAATTGAATTTCTGCAATCATTTGTAATTGCTTCAAAATTCAAATTGTTTCAGTGTTTTTAACTAAAATTCTTCTATAAATCCATTATTTTTAATAATCAATTAAATATATATAACAAAATTTAACTAATTTCAAAAAAAATTTTTTAAAAATCTAGGTTTTTTAAAATTTTTAATTAAATTCAGTTAAAATTGAAATTTTTACAAAATTCTAATCTTTTGAAGTTCATATACATATTTACAAAATTTGTAATTATAATTTTATAATTTTTTAATTTTAATTTTTTTTTTATTATAATTTGTAATTATATTTATAATTTGTATTATAATTTGAATTAATTTTGAAATTGTGGAGTAAAATTAGATTTCAAGAATAAACACAATAACTTTAGACAACAATTTTCCAGAATTTCTATTATCATTAACAAAAAAACATCAAGAATGTTATTAAAATTGTTTGATGATTTAAAATTGAATTGTAACATTTCAAAGTAATTATTAAAGACCCAAATAATGTCAAAAAAATTTTTTTTGTATAAATTCCACCATATCGAACTTGCAAAGATCATTCTTTATTAAGGGTTCAAAAATTATGGAACAAATTTCCAGACAGGACTGAAAGGCACACCTATCAAATTCTTTTAATTTTATAAAAGCATTTTTTGAATTGTTATTTCAAGGCGTAAATAAGTTGGTATATCACTTTTTGGGACTGATTACTAAACTGTTTTAAATTGAATATTATTTTACTGAAATGATTACTTAACTCTTTCAGATTGAGTATTGACTGCAGAAATCAAAATATAAAACTGATCTTTTAGATTCGATTGTTTTCTGTGATACTAGAAGTAATTATAATTTTTATTATGAATCCAAAAATAAATTCTAGGTAACTGTTCGTTAGGGGTCTCATTAGTAATAGGGACTTTACGCACGAAGTAAATAATAAAAATAAATAAAAATAAAATGAAGATGATGATGATGAATTTCTCGAGCAGATTTAGTATAAAAAATACGAAATACTGGTGAGCTTCCAAAAGAAGAGAATAAAAAAACAATCCATACAGAGATAAATAAATAAATTTAAAAGAAGAGAAAAAAATTTCAGCATAGAAAAAGTTTTTACAGAAGAAATCGTCACGCAACCCTCGAGTGAAATTCTTTAAAACTATTTCCCTTCCTCAGTATATCATCATAGAAGCATTTTTATGAAGTTTTCCATTATGACCTTTTATTTGTAAGTAGGAGAATTTTTTTTACACAATTTTCGTGTGGATAATTTGCATTGAGGACTTGACGAGAGGGACGGCAGTGAATATACATATATATAGACATTATATGGAGATGACGATTGTCCTTGGCAATTTTGAAATACTTGACGAAGGAATAAAAATCAGGATGGGTGTGGATAGCGTCTTTTGTTCGCGACTTGTTGAGTGGAGCAGTTTATTTTTGTCGGTACGGTGATCGACAGAAATTGCTGTCCTATATTTTTCGATCTCGATTCTTATAATATATGATTCGTCTTTCTTCAAGAGCAAAAGACAAAGTGTGGTCCTTGCGAATGCGCAGAATCGTCAACAACATTTTCCTTCTTGTTTGGTTCCTAACTGCGGATTGTCAAGCTCATGGAATCCAACGAGTCTCCGTCAAACCCTCTGCGTGTCCGCTTCTTCATTTAAAAAGTTCCTATTCCACAAATCCCACCGCAACAGGTAGGAGAAGACTCATGGAAAAAAAAATAATTTAATAAAAAAATAAATCACTATTTAACACTCGATTTATCCAAAGTCTTCACCTTCTGTTAATTTTTCAATTTTCTTTTTTTCGGCATTTTTCAAAAAAAAAAAATTGCTTTCAAAAAATTTGTATATATAAATTCAAATATTTTTATTTCAGAAAATTTATCAACAAAACCCCAACAAAAAATAGTGAATTCTATAGGAAATAAAGAAATTTTCGAATTAGCAAATTTTTTCGTGCATTGCTAATTTTGTAAATATGCGAAGAGCGTGAAAAAAAAATAAATGTTTAAATGCTGTGTAAAGGTGAAATTGCAGTTTACTTAAAAGTTTCATGACATTATTGTAATTTTTGGACAAAATACTACAAAATCGGTGTGTTTTGAAAAAGAAGAGAACATATTTTTTTGGCAAAATAAAAACAATTTTAATTTGGAAAAATGAAAAATTCACCGAATACAGGAATGGAAGTTGAAGAATTTCGTACGCGTGGAAAGCAAATGGTGGAGTATATCTGTGAGTTTATGAGTAATATACATAATCGAAGAGTTACTCCGGACGTTGGACCAGGATATCTTCGACCTCTTCTACCATCTGAACCACCCCACGAGCCAGAATCTTGGGATGCCATTATGAACGATGTAGAGACGAAAATTATGCCTGGGGTTAGTAATATAACGCAATTATTTTTCTCATAAAATTTTTCACTTAAAAAATAAAGATAATTTACTCTCAAATTAAGAGGGGGAAAGATAAATAATTTTTAATTTGTTTTAAGAAAAAAATATTTAAAGATATCAATCTATAAATATTTTTTTCTTAAAACAAATTTTTTTTAACAAAAAGAATTCAAAATATATTTCCATTTCTACATCACTATTGCATGGAGTATAAATTTAAATAATAATACTAAAAAAATTAATAACAGTAAATTACTAATTTCAATAATAATAATTTATTAATAATTATTATTTGCTTTTTATTAAAATATTTTTCTCTTAAAACAAATTTTTTTTTAACAAAAAGAAATCAAAATATATTTCTATTTCTTCATCACTATAACAGAGTATAAATTTTAATAATAATAAAAAATTAATAGTAAATTATTAATTTTAATAATAATAATTTATTAATAATTATTATTTGCTTTTTATTACAATATTTTTTTCTTAAAGAAAATTTTTTTTAACAAAAAGAATTCAAAATATATTTCCATTTCTTCATCACTATAACGACCCAGTATAATTTTGACATAAAAAAAATTTAAAAAAAAAAAAAAAAAAAAAAATCTAACATGTATGTTTCCATAGAGTATAAATTTTAAGAATAATACAAAATTAATAATAGTAAATTATTAATTTTAATAATAATTTATTAATAATTATTATTTGCTTTTTATTAAAACCGTTTTTTTTTAATTATATTGTAATAAAAAGGCCTAAGTAATAAAAAGTAAATATTAAATCAATTGGCCTTAAAATAAATAACGATTATTGTTATTATATTGTTAGATATTTAAACAAAACAAATATTTAATAACAATTATTATTATTTTAATTTGTTACATCATGAAATATTTTTCAAAAACGATTTGGATTTTTTTTTTTGAGTTTGTTTGATACAATATTATTGATTACAGGAAAAAAAATCCAATCCAAAAAATCAAGACCGAAAAATCAAAAAAAAAAGTCTACAGTACAAAAAAATAAAAATATGAAAAATGAAAAACAAAAATTCAATTATTTTCATAAATAAAAAAAATCTTCACAAAAATTCAATTATTTTTATAAATAAAGAAAATTTCTAGAAAAATCTCAATTATTCTATATAAAATTTTTAAAACAATTTTTCCAAGAATTACAATTATTTTCAACAATTTTGGATAAAATTCTTTACAATAATTCAATTATTTTTTTTAATGTAATTCCAATTAAATTACTCGATTAGTTTAATTATTTTCTTTGGACTTTTTGACCAGGAAATAAATCCAAAAAATAAGTCCAAAATAAAAGTATTTTTATTTTACTTTTTTGGATTTTATTTTCTTTGGAATTTTTGGTTTCGACTTTTTGTTTTGGACTTTTTGTCCGGATACCAGTATTAATATCAAAAAAGAGTGTTAAACGTTTTTGAAATTAATATGCAGTTTGTTAAAAACAAAATATATTTTATTGTAAAATAAACAAATAATTTATAAACAAAACGATCAAATTGTAAATTTCTAAGAAATAACAGTTTATAATTAATAGTTAATAATTTTTTAATATTCTTTTCGTAATGTGCTTTATACATTTATGTTAAATTAATATATTTGTTATAACACTGTTTTCCTTAAAATGTTCAAAAAATAGAAAGAAATTTTTCCCGTTTTTTTTAAATTTTCTCAGAAATTAATATAAACTTAGAAACTAACTTTTAAAGTAAAATCGGATTTTTCAAAAACTTTTAAATAATTCTAATTTTAATTTCATTTTTATATAATTATATTATTATTTCTTGTAAATTTTCTCTGTTAAATTTTAAATCTATTGTTTAACTTTATTAATTATATTATTTCGTTCTTTTAAACCTTCAGAACTTTAGGAACATCAACTTTTTTGATTTAAATATTTAACTATATTAGAGATAAACAATTTTTTTTCAATCAAACAAATTCAAATTGTTAAAAAAAAATAGTTGATATTTATAAAAAATAATACTGTTCACATTATACCTAATAATAAAAAAAATTATTTTCAAATTAATTAAATTAATTGTTAAATTTAATTGAATTTGTTAATTTGTTTGTACATCATTTTACTCAGGGGAAGATTGTTATTTTCATGGTTAAAGAATGGGGACAACAAAAATTAAGTTTTTATTAAATAAATAAATACAAAATCTTTTAATTATTTCCATTTTTAAACCATAGGCAAAGTATGGCTAAGCATGGGGAGAAGATAGAAAGATTTTTTTATATTTTTAAAGTATATTGTAAAAATTTTGAAATCTAAATTGAACTGATTTAAAAAATTTCAAAAAACATTAAAAAATTCTTTTGAAAAATTTATAATTGAAAAACGTTAATTTGGGGTCAAAATATACATAAAAAAAATTACTATATTTTTAATAGTAATCCACTTAAATTAATAAAAAGATAATTGTAAAAAAATATTTTTAAATTTAATAATAATAAAAATATAATAGTTCATTCTTTTCTTAATGTCATTTATTTATTTATTTATTTATTGCTTGGAATGAAGAAAGTTTTTGATATTAGGAGCACATAACAATAAAGAATATGAAGTAATCAGAAACAATCAAGTACAACTGTTATTTCAAGAAACTCGTGCAATTTCATTACTACTTTAGAACAAATATAGAAGTAGAAATAGTTGAGTTGTAAAATGTCCCATCAGATTACGCACTGGCAGCATCCAAGATTTCACGCGTATTTTCCTGCTGGAAATTCCTTTCCTTCCATTCTTGGTGACATGTTATCAGATGCAATTGGATGTATCGGATTTTCATGGGTAAGAGAAATTTTTAATTATTCAAATATTCGAACTATTCTTTTTTTTTTGAAAAAAAATTATCTATAATTTATTCAAAAATTATTTACTTCATGTTTGATGGAAAAAAAAATTTATTAAAAGTGTCAATAAAATTTATTGATTATTTAATTTATTAAATGGAATAAAATGTTTTGAAATTATTACTTTTTTTCTCTTTTGTAACACTTTATCAATCTTTTATAAATTGTGGAAATGAACAAGAAATGTCAAAAAAATGATGGATTTGGAAAAATTATTTACTCAGTTTATATTGAATTTATTTTAGGCTGCCAGTCCAGCTTGCACAGAATTGGAGACGATAGTTTGTGATTGGTTCGGTAAGATCAATATTAATACTACCTAATTCACTTTTAACTAAATTTTCAACTCTTTGCAGTATAGGTCGTTCACAAACTACGTCACGATATTTCGGTCTAATTTTTGACCGTTTTTTTTTTGTCGCAATTTTAGTAATAAAATTTTTATTTATAATTCATGATACAATCTGATCCCCTTCCTCCCTTATGAGCGTGACGTAATTTGGCATATTTTTATTTATTTACTTAATAAAATAATATTTAAACAATAAAATAATAAATTAATTTCAAAGAATATTTAAATATGTATTTTAATATTTATCAAAATTTTGTAATTTAAAGGAAAAGCTATTGGCCTACCAAATGACTTCCTGTATTTTAGTGAAGGAAGTAGAGGCGGTGGAGTAATTCAGGTGACTATATTTTATAATATAAACCAGATTCCAATTTTCATTGACATTAGTAGAAATGATTGAAAATTTAGTTGAATAATTAAATTTAAATTATTTCAATAACATAAATTCCATAGGTTAAAAAACGAAATTTTTCCAGGTTTTTAAAACTACATTTATATTTTACAAAATTTTTAATTCAATCCTTTTTGAAATTAAACATCTTATAAAAAATTATTATAAAACATGAAAATATCTATCACTCCGAGTCTTCGACTCGGAGCAATCGATATCTTCATGTTTTATAATAATTAAAAATGTTGGACTGATAAAATCATCATTTTATACCTATTATTATTGTTACTGTAACTTATTCAAAATTACTTTCATTATTTGAATTCAATTATTGTTTTCCACAATTTTTAACTAAAATTCTTCTTTATAAAGTGTAAATTAATTATTATTAATAATTTCTAAAAAATTTCTTTCAACATTTTCAAATCCTTTTGTTTACAATTCAATTTTTATGAAATTTCATCGATTATTCAAAAAAATTTTCAATCAAATATATATTAGAAAATAAAACTTCAAATAACTTAAAAAAAAATTCAATTCAACTTTTACAAAAAGTTAAATCTATACAATTTTAAGTTAAAAGTATGAAAAATTCAAACATTCAAAGATTATAGTTTGAAACTTTTTTAAAACTCAATTATTATCTAAAACATTAACTAAAATTCATATGTAAATCAATTATTATTAGAAAATTCTACGACAATTCAATTATTTAAACACAAAAATAAATAATTTATTGAAGAATTGAATGTTTTTTAAAATTCAACTCTCATTTAAAGTATTTTATCAACAAATTTTTAAATATAGGTAATTAAAATTCTTTTCACGAATTTCAATAAAATTTTTAAGAATAATTTCATTTTTCGAGAAATTAGATTAAAAATGTATTAAAAATAATTGAATCTCTGTAAAAAAATTTCATTGAATTGAGAAAAGTTTTTGAAAATAATTGAAATTTTATCAAGAATTTTATTAAAACTTTTTTTAATAATTGAAATATTGCCAAGAATTTTATAAAAATTTTTGAAAATAATTTAATTTTAGAGAAAAATTTTAATATTTATAAAAATAATTGAAATTTTGACTATAACTTTTATTAAACTTTTGACCATAATTGAATTTCTGCTAAGAATTTTATTACTTTTGAAAATAATTGAATTCTTGAGACGAATTTTTTAATAATATTTCTTTTTAAATACCTACCTACCTAATTATTTTTAATACAAAAATAAATAATTTATTGAATAATTGAATGTTTCTCAAAATTGAATTCTCATAAAGAATTTTATTAACAAATTTTTAAATAATTGAATTCTGTTGACGAATTTTAATAAAATTTTAAGAATAATTACATTTTTTGAGGAATTCGATTAAAATTTATTTAATTGATTAACTAGAAAGGCAAGCATGTCAAATTGTTTTTTAATCTTTAGACTGACGGAAAACCTGAATAAATAAATTCTAAGGGGGTTTTCGGCGTCGCTGATTACGAATGTAACATCAGATTTTAAAAATTCAAAATGGCGGATGCAATATGGCGGATAAAAATTAAAAACTATTTGGATTTGCTTGAAACTTGTTACTGGGGGGTTTTCAGGATCGCTTGTTACGAATTTGAAGACAGATTTTAAAAATTCAAAATAGCGGATCCAACATGACCGATTATTTTTAAAAAATCGATCAAAATTATTTAAAATTTACTAAATTCGGGGATTTTCGAGATCGCTGTTTTTTTTCATTTATTCAACATATCAGGTCAGACATTTTTAATTTTATAAATTTCAAGCGATATAGTTTTTGCGTTTTCTTCTAAAATCTTAATAGATAAGAAAAATTTTAATAGAAGAAAAAAAAATACTCAAAAAAATTTCGTATTCAGAAGTAATTAAAAAAAATTTGTTTAATTAATTTTTAAACCTTCAGGGGCAAACTAATATCGCCGTGGAAATTTTATGTGTCGTTATAAGATCCGACGACTCATATACTTCATATAATAGTCATAATATTTGTGAATATATAATATGTCTAAATAAGTTGATCAAACCCCGTCAATTAAATAAATTCTATTAGGACAATTAATAGTCTCAATTTTTATTTAATGTTTTGGATAGAAACATTAATTATTATGATGTTTAGTAATTATTGTTAATTAATTTTTACATAGTTATTAATTATAAGTACACAATAATTAAAGTGTTTATTGTTCTTAAAGTTGAAAAGTAAATATATTTTACGATTGCAATAAGAAACTTTTGTTTTGTCATAAATTTAAATAATTATAACACAAATATTTCCATATTTGTCCAGAGGTAACCGACAAAGTTTTCAATGTTATAATATTTCACTTTCATTAATTGTTCTTACTTTTCCTGTCATGGGTTTGTTTATTCTACAAATGCAATTTATATTAAACATTAAAGAAAATATTAAGTATTAAATAAACATTTTGTATGTTATAAAACAATGTAACCAATATTTCAAAAATTTATAAGCAATTTACAAAAATGTTTAAGTGTCCGATGATGGTATGTCACTTTCCTACATTTGCTTAATGATTATAATAAAATTGACATTTCTAATTATAGTAAAAATTAAAATACAAAAAATTATTTTCAGGGCTCAGCTTCAGAATGTATATTAGTTTGTATGTTGGCTGCAAGAGCACAGGCAATTGCTAGGCTCAAGGAATCCCCGGCTCATTCACATTTAGACGAAACTGCTCTACTTGGAAAGTTAATGGCCTACTGTAGTCGTGAGAGTCATAGTTGTGTTGAAAAAGACGCAATGATATGCTTCGTAAAATTAAGAATTTTGGAACCCGATGAAAAAAGTGTACTAAGGGGTGAAACTTTACGACAGGTTATAAAAGAAAATCAAATATATTCTCTTGAAAACGAATTAAATTTTATTTCACGTACGCGGAATGAATGAAAAATCATGTTCTTTAGAATTTTTTTTTTTTTTCTCATTTCAGGCAATTGAAGCTGATGTCGCTGAGGGATATGTGCCATTTTTTGTTTCCTCAACTCTTGGCACAACGGCATGTGTTTCATTTGACAATTTGAAAGAAATTGGACCTGTTTGCAAAAAATATCCCGGAGTGAGTTTAAAATTAAAAATTTCAAGTTGGAAATACATTATAATTAATATGAAAAATATCAAATGAATTTCTTTCAACTAATCATAAATTTAAGAATTTTGAAAATAATTTGTTGTTTGAGAAATAATTTTTATGCTTCTTGAATTATAAAAGAAATTAATAATTTCCTTTATGCTTCAAAAAGCACTACAATTCAAAGAAAAGTGATGTATTTCTATATCATATAAAGTTGTTTTTAATTTAAATATTTAGATTTGGTTGCATGTTGATGCGGCCTATGCTGGAAATGCGTTTATTTGTCCTGAATTAAAATACTTAATGGAAGGTATTGAGTACGCAGATTCAGTTAACACTAATCCTAATAAGTTCCTGCTAACTAATTTCGATTGCTCTTGTCTCTGGGTTCGAGACAGGTTTAAACTAACAAGCGCTCTAGTTGTAGATCCTCTTTACCTTCAACATACTCACGCTGACACAGCAATTGATTATAGGTAATTTACTTTTAATTATTTTTCAAAACAAATCAAAATTACCTTCTTCATTCACAATTATCTTGTCAATCAATTGATTTTCCATTTTAACACACTTTGTTTGACTCATAAACTATAAAATTACCACGAATTCTAATACAAATCCTTTAATTTTTTCAATTTCTGTCAAAGATTTCTTTCTAAATAACTTAAATCTTGAACAACTATCGTAAAATAAATAAATTATTTAATGAATAATTTTACTTTTATATATATAGTTGATTTTTTCTTCCATTGTTGAAGTTTGTTGATATTCTTTTAATCGATTATCGGAAGAGTAATAAATGAAATACTATTTCATTAGTTATGCAAGATTTCGGTGTCTTGGGTTTGACACCATCATCAGGACACTTTATTAAACAATTACATACCAATAGTAGTAGTAGTAGTAGTAGAAATAAGGCTTATTTTGAATTTACAACTTACTATTTGGGTCAAAACTAACATACGCAGGGGGGTTACATTTTCGAAAAAAACAAAAAATTATTTGATAACTCAGTTTAAACCAAAACTGATCTTTCTTTGCAAACAGACATTGGAGCATACCACTAAGTAGGCGATTTCGATCCTTAAAATTATGGTTTGTCATTAGAAGCTATGGAATTTCTGGTTTACAAGCATATATTCGAAATCATGTTCAGCTTGCGAAGCGTTTCGAGTCACACGTTAAAAAAGACTCGAGGTTTGAAGTATGCAACGAAGTTGTGGTGAGTATTTTAAGATTTAAAAAAAAAATAATAAATTTAACTCTGTAATATGGGTAATGTTTTACAGTTAGGATTAGTGTGCTTTCGAGCTAAGGGATCTGATAAACTAAATCAAAAATTATTGAGTGCAATTAATGATTCTGGAAAAATACATATGATACCAGCAAAAGTTAATCAACGATACACGATACGATTTGCTTTAGCTGCTCCAAATGCTACAAACGAGGATGTTGGTAATTATTATAATTTAAAATTGCATTGCTCATAAATTTGATAAACGCAGAGAACAGTAATTAGTATTGAATATATATATATTTTTATTCAGCAATGTAAAAAATATTTTAAATTATCAATTTTAATTAATGCAATTATTTGAAGATGATCTTTAGAAATATCCATAAATCAGAAAATCGATTATAATTCCATAAAATACTTCATTAAAAATCAAAATACTAATTATAACAAAAGGTTTTTATCTCATGAGTAACTTCTTGTCACATTGAGAACGACTCATCTCGAGTGAATGTTTTTTGCCTCATAAATAATTATTCTTGTCATTAAAAGAATTTTACGTTTAATAGATATTGCGTGGGGCGTAATCACGGACTACCTATCAGAACTTCTAGAATCTAAGGTAATCTACTTTTTCACTTCTGTAAAACTATCCACTTTATTCTTTAATTTTATCTTTTAATTAGAAAGGATATTTATAAACAAAATTTAGAAATCGAAAATTTAATTTCCTTACAGAAAATTTTCTCCATCATTCAAAACATTTTATGTTTCTGTAAAACTAGAAATCAAGATGATCAATTTTGAAAATTTGATATTTTTGCTTTACAAATTTGCATAATAAACTTTACTTTATAGGCACGCTATTTACTTTTATATAAAAGAAAACCATCTGAGGGGATTTATGAAATGGTCAGACTTCTATTATTAATAGGTCAAAACATCAGGTAGCTGATTTCTATTAATCAAGAATTCGCGAAAGTAATTGCAATTAAAATTCGTTGAATTATAAAATAAAACGTTGAAATCAATAATTAAAAGCGATTAATAGTATATAGGTATATTCATAATTAATATGTATTTTTCTTTCGTGATTTTAAATTCTAAATATATTAATTGAAATTTATGAAATAATTACTGTAGACAGATTTTTAAATAGCAATAAAAATGTAAAACAATTATAATTCGAAAGTGACGTAAGGCTGCATGCTTAATGCAGTTACGACAGTTTGGTAAGCGGTTTAAAAAAGTATATTTTTAACATAAAACTAATTATTGGTGGAGGATTTGACTATTTGACCAAATAATAATTGTTGAATTGTTAATAAACAAATGTCTTAAATACAGTGCTTAGATCCTAATAACTAATAAAAGTTCTAATAAAAAAAACATAACTTACAGCAAATATTTTAGGGAGGAATATAAAATTTATTCCAAAGTTTAACAAATTTTAAAATTTCCTGACTTATTTTTTCGGCGTTTGATATCAGGGAAGAATGATTTGTTTCCTCGTGCACATTTTTGCTTTTATAATTTTGATCATGCTGCGCAACTGCTTGCTTATGTGAATATTAATTTTTTGATATTTTTTATAGGACGTAATGGATGAACTAGCTGACATAAGAGAAAAGAAGAGGAAAGCTACTTTGGAACAGAGAAGAGCCTTCTTTGTACGAATGGTTTCTGATCCAGCAATTCAGCCTGGATTTACTAAAACACCAAATAGAACGCCTAAACTTGACACACAGGCTACAATTGGTGGAATAGGGTCTAATCAAACCCCCACGTATGTAAATCGTACTATGTCCAGCATGCACGATACACTGCCTACAACGTATTGCATTTCGTGCGCAAAGTAAGCGATTCCTAATAAACTAAATGTTACGTTAATTATTAATATTTATTATGTCCGATTGGTGGTTCACTTCTGTTTTATTAACAGAGCAGAAGGCTCTAATCTAGTTGTATAGGTAAGAAATAAAAATATAAGATAGAACTGTACTAACACTGATAGGGGAAGATGGGATAATGTTCACCAGGATTATAGAAGCCGTAACTTATTATCTCTCATAATTAATTTTTCACACTATGAAAAGATGCATCTTTTAAGATCCGAAACATGAACTTTCTATACTCTAGAATTATTACTGTTATACTATTTATTTAACATGTTTTTTCTTCTCCTTATCAATGAATTCTAAATTTTCAATAAAATTCCAAACAAAAGGCACCACAACTATCGTAAAGATAATGCAACTAAACAGTTACCATTTTCAAAGATAGTGGGCTAAAAAAAATTTGCACATCGTGTTTCTTATGTATTTTTTCGTCCTCTTTCAGAATCTACAAGAAAATTTAACTTTTGACTTAAGGATCAAAAGTTATGATTGTTTAAACAAAAAAAACCCAAAATTTTTTGGTTTTTGTTTCATTAAAACTATATTTTCGATTGGAAATCGCTTCAGGAAAAATTTGGACTGACAAAATATCGCGTCCAAAATATATGACCTTTCATTTAGGCATTGCTAGAATTTTTAATTTTTTCGAAATTCAAAATGGCGGCTCAAAAATGGCCGACAAAATATCTAAAATTTTGAATAGTCAGAAAAATAAACTCTAGACACATTTTCTCATCACAAATGACTAAAATTATATACAATTAAAAAATATAAAATATTTTTCTATAATTAAAAATAATCCAATGATAAAATATTATTATTTTACATAAAAATATTGTTACTCTAACTTCTTCGAAATTATTTTCTCATCATTTAAATTCAATTATTACTAGATTCTAGAATTTTTTACTAAAATTCTTCTTTAAATCAATTATTTTTAATAATTCTTAAAAAAGTTTTTTGGAAATTTTCAAATCCATTTGTTTACAATTCAATTTTACCATAAATTTCGATTATTAGAAAATTCTTCATTTAAATAGATATTAGAAAATAAAATGTTCCAATAATTTCAAAAAAGAATTCAAATAAAATTTTTCGAGCAAATTAGTTTAACAGAATTTTTAATTTAAAAGTATGAAAGTTTCAGATTTTCAAAGATTTTAATTTAAAACCTTTTTAAAATTCAATTATTTCTAAAAATTTACGCTAGAATGCTTTTAATATTCAATTATTATCTCAAATTTTAACCGAAATTCATTTTGAAATAAATTTTTATTAGAAAATTCTACGAAAATTAATTTATTTAAAGACAAAAAAACCGAAATTTTAACCGAAATTCATTTTGAAATAAATTTTTATTAGAAAATTCTACGAGAATTCAATTATTTGAACACAAAAATTAATAATTTATTGCATAATTGAATATTTCTTAAAACTAAATTTTTATGAAGAATTTTATTATCAAATTTTAAAAATAATTAATTTCTTTTAAGGAATTGAGTTAAAATTGTATAAAAATTTATTAAATTGAAGAATTTTATCACAATTTTTGAAAATAATTAAAAACTTTTGAAGAATTTTATTAAAATTTTTAAAAATAATTGAATTCGTGAGAAGAATTTGAATAAAGTTTTGTTTAAGTAATTGAATTTAAGAATTTAAAAATAATTGTATTCATGAGAAGAATTTAAATAATAATAATAATAATTTATGAAAATAATTGCATTAATGCGAAGAATTTTATTAAATTTTCTTTAAATAATTGAAATTTTATTGGATTTGTTGAAAATAATTGATTTTATGAAAAGAATTTTGTTGTTTACCAAGATAATTGAATTCTTTTGCAGAATTACTTAAAAAATTTTTGAAAATACATAATTCATTTTCTGCGACGAATTAAAAAAGTTATTTATGAAAATAATTGAATTTTAACAACGAATTTTATTATGTTATTGAATAATTGAATGTTTCTTAAAATTTAATTCTTTCGTTGAGTTTCAATATAACTCTCTAAATCTGAATCAGCGATAAGTATGCCACTATTTCAATTAGCGTATATGCGCTGTGAATTAGTGAAATTTCACTAAATAATCAGTGAAACTTCACTGATTAATTAGCGCATATACGCTGTTTTAAAATAGTGGCATACTTATCGCTGAGAATCAGTGAAATTTCGCTGATTCAGATTTAGAGAGAAAATTGTTAAGAATAATTGCATTTTTTGAGGAATTTATTTAAAATTGTATTAAAAATATTTGAAATTTATCAATGAAAATAATTCAATTTCTAAAAGAAATTTTATTCTTTATAAAAATAATAATTGAATGTTTTCGTAGAATTGTAATAAAAAAAAATTTTTTCAATAATTAAATTTTGTGCCCAATTTTATGAAAATAGTAAATAGGTATTGAAAATCATTGAATTGAGGAAAAATTTGGAAAACAATTGAAATTTGCAGAGAATTTTATTAAAATTCCTAAATGTAATTGAATTTCAGAGAAGAATTTTGTTATTTATGAAGATAATTGAGTTAAAACTTTAAAAAAAATTAAATAATATTAAAAACTTCATTCTTGTCAAAAATATAAAAAAAAATTGAAGGTTTTGTATTAGAATTAGTGGTAGTTTCATAGTTTATGAGGCAAACGAAAAAGACACCAAAAATTCAGAATTTTCTTATGAATTCGAAAAATTTAATTTTTTCCAATACTTTTAATAAAAATTCCTGACTTTTCCCTGACTTTCATTTGTTTAGGTTCATAAGCCGGATGTTCTGGTGTCACAACCATATTCAATTCCAACTAAATTGAAGTTTGGTTCGAAAATCTGAATCATAATAATTCTAATCTGAATCATCATTTATCACATGAATCAATCACTAGAATCAACCATTAGAATTTAGATCTTAAAAACAGAGTGAATATCCTTTCGGGCGAATGCATATAGGAATCAGTAGCTATAGTTCCCTAAATTTTAATATTTGTTACTACTGCTAAAGTTAGCTACAAGGTAGCCGAAATCATTTAAAAACTTAAAAAATTTAACTCTGTAGTTATTTTTTAGCTGCTTCTATGTGTTTAATTTTCGCTATATTAGCAAACTTTAAGTTAACTTTAATTTAATAAACAACAAATTACTTTTGAAAACATAATTTTACCTAGTGCAATATAAAATAGTTATTCTGCAAGTTTAATATTTTCAAATTTCAATAAAATTCTAAAGAGTTCTAGCTTAACAATCTCAGCATACGATTATATTCTACAGACGTTCGTGGATATCCTGGCCACTAGCCTATTTAATGCAAGCAAAGGATGCTGCCGATACCAGTGAACTATCTCTCAGGTGGGGGATTTTCGAAAAGTAAAGTATTAATGAAACTCTTATTATTTTCTTTAACAATTATTTGCCCACTTACAAATATCAGAAACAATTTTAAAAAAAAACCATGCTTTACTATTTAGCAAAATTGAAATCCAAAGAAAACAAGAAATTAATATTTAACAATAATATTCAAGGTTTCGCCATTTGGATACAATGGTAAGATTAAAAACAGGAGGAGCCGGAAGTCGTCGAGGAAGTAGTAACGGTGGCAGTCCTGAACCATCTCCGTCCGTTTCACCTTCTCGAGGAAGATCACCAAACGGTCGAGCGTAATTAAATCCAAAAAAGTTTGGCTCAATCTCACACGAAACTCAAATAAGAAATAATTAAATTTAACATCGAGATTATTATAAAGAGAATGAAATGGCAAAATATGAAAGATTTTTTCTTCAAATTTACATCTAATGGATTCCCATCTTGCGACGCTCAATTCGCAACACCAATAAAAATCAAGTATTTAATTATATAAAGACTTCATGAATTTAAAAAAAACAAAGCTTTCGACAAAATTATTTACAAAGAATACACATTAATCGCGTATCTTTAATATAAAAAATTTTAAAATTTAAATAATTTTCAAACACCTTGAATGTACTTCTAGAGGTCTTAGATAAAAATGTTGAAGTTCTTATATAGGCGTATCGAAAAATTTGAATAAAAATTAGATGTCAGATTACATTTCATTTTACTGATAGAGAATAAAACTGCTTCGTGTACATAAAAATAAATTATAGTTTATTTAGATTCCTTAGAACAATTATAGAAATTAAAAAAAAAAATTATTTGCATCTATTAAAATTATTGATTGTTTCAATATTATTTTTAGAATTTCACTTTTATTTTTGAAGCTAGTGTATCCAAACTAATAGTTCTTTCTCATGATTATTTAAAACATAATTTTAATATTTAGCAATTTTATATCATTTTATGGATAAAAGTGAAATTTTTTTTGTGAATAAAAACTTGAACAAAACTGTGATTATGGCTAATAATCTTATTTTTTCTGTATTTATAAAATTCTTTTATTGCACGTGGAAAGTTATTATGATAAAAAGTGTAGCGAAATTACTGATTAGACATGCTCGAGTTATTAAAAATGCTTTAAATTTGCTTGCGCTTCTGGACTACTATTAGACTCACTTGAATGTTAATAATAATTAATTTAAACATTTTACTTTCTATACAAAACTTTTCTGTTTTGTTTTATAAACGGTTCAAGATAATAAGTTTATTAATCAACTTTCAAAAATAAATCGATATCTACGGTTCATATAATGCTTATTAATTGAATCAACTGAGAAAAATATTATTCCTATCAAAATTTTAATACAAGATAATTCTTTTTGTACATCACGTGCAAGACAATGCCAACTGAAACTAGCGGACAATATAATTCCTATTTACATATAAGTGGAAAATAATTCCTATTCAAAATTTTGTGAGAAATAATTCTTATTCACTGTAATTTATAATTATTTACTGTAATAATTTTTTAGACATGAATCTACTTGTTATTGAAATCGCTGATTACGAATTTGATGTCAGCTTTTAGAATTTCGGATCTAATATATGGCTGGCAAAAATTTTTGAATGACAAATTATAATGATACATGCACAGACGGTCATAATACGTTTATTCTTGACTAAAAAATACGTAATCAGTAACCTCAAAAAAAAATTTCAAATATATTTGACGGATTTATAAATATTCTTTCGTCATTATGAATTTTCGAAAACTATAATCAAATTTGTAAATAGTGTCCCCTCTAATCATGTTTATCTAATATGTCCCGAATTTGCTACAAATTTTGAAATCGCACTGTTACTCTTAATTCAATTTTCTGAGGACAGATTTTCCTTCTTCTGTTATGTCATAACTGAAACCTTTCTAAATATCCCTACAGGCTTCACAGTGCCCCTAAAAAGTATTTTAGGGAAAATAGGGGACTGAAAATTAAAAAATAGGGGACTTTTAGGGGACCATAAAAATTAGTTAAATAAATAAGATAAAAATATAATTTATTTATACAGGGTTGCAACAAAAATTTAACTTCATTTTTCCCTGACATTTCTCTGATTTCCAAACACAACTTGGACTTTTTCCCTGACCCTAAAGAATATTCCCATTCACTCTAAAAATTATTAGATACTCAAAAAAATGTTCTATTAAATTTACTTACAAATTTCTTCAGAAGTCAAATTATTCGAAAACATCAATAGTTTTATTTAAAATAAATATTTAATCATTTTTTTTTTCATTGGAATTAAGGTGTTCAAAAATTAAAAATTCAAACCTATTCAAATTGAACAACTCATTAGAATATTATTATAAAACATAAAGGAAAGGATAAGGGACGCATGATTATTCCCCAAATGTCATTTTACCGAACTGCACTTTTGCGAATAGTCATTTTTGCGAAAAGCCAATTTTGCGAAATGTCACTTTTGCGAATTGTCATTTTTGCGAAAAGCTATTTTTGCGAATTGTCATTTTTGCGAATGGCCATTTTTACGAATTGTCAATTTTCCGAAAAGTCATTTTTGCGAATCGCCATTTTTACGATTTGTCAATTTTTCGAAAACTCATTTTTGCGAATTGTCATTTTTACGAAAAGACATTTTTGTGAAATGTCATTTTTGCGAAAAGTCATTTTTACGAATTGCCATTTTTGCGAATTGTCATTTTTAAGAAATGTAATTTTTGCGAATTGTCACTTTTGCGAATCGCTATTTTTACGAATCGCCATTTTTACGAATTGTCATTTTTGCGAATAGTCATTTTTGCGAAAAGTTATTTTTACGAATTGTCATTTTTGCGAAAAGTTATTTTTACGAATTGTCATTTTTGCGAATCGCCATTTTTACGAATTGTCAATTTTCCGAAAAGTAATTTTTGCGAATCGCCATTTTTGCGAAAAATACAATAGAAAACTTGTAGGTCTATAAATTCACTATTGTATTTTTCGCAAAAATGACAGTTCGCAAAAATAGCTTTTCGCAAAAATGACAATTCGCAAACATAACAATTCGTAAAAATAACTTTTCGCAAAAATGACTATTCGCAAAAATGACATTTCGCAAAATTGGCTTTTCGCAAAAATGAGTATTCGCAAAAGTGCAGTTCGGTAAAATGACATTTCGGAAAAATGACATTTGGGGAATAATCATGCGCTCCCAAAATCATTATTTTATTATTATAAGAATATTCTTACTGTAATTTCTTCAAAATTATTTCTATCATTTAAATTCAATTAACATTTTCTAGAATTTTTAACTAAAATTCTACTTTAAATCAATAATATTAATTATTATTCAATTAAACTTTTTCAAAAAAATTAATTCCACAGAATTGTTAGTTAAAAGTACGAAAAATAATAATTTTTGAAAATAATTGACTTTTTGAGAAGAATTTTTAAAAAATTTGTGACAATATTTTAATTATTGAGAAGAATTTCCCTATCTATTTATAAAAGATAATTTAATTCTTGACGAGAATTTTTAAAAAATTTTGAAAATAATTTAATTTCTGCAAAGTATTTAATTACTTTTCAAAAGAATTGAATTCTTCTATTAAATTTTTATATTTATCAAAATAATTGAATTTTGGAAAAGAATTTTATTAAAATTCCTTAGAATAATTGATTTTATGGGAAGAATTTATGCGATTTTGTTGTTTATCAAGCTAATTGAATTCTTTTGCAAAATTACTTAAAAATTTTTGAAAATACTTGATTTTCTGCGACGAATTAAATGTTATTTATGAAAATATTTGAATTATTGCAACGAATTTTATTGTTTTATTAAATAATTGAATGTTTCTTAAATTTAATTCTTTTCTCAAGTTTTAATAAAATTTTTAATAATAATTGCATTTTTCAAGGAATTTATTTAAAATTGTATTAAAAATATTTGAAATTCTGAGATGAAAATAATTGAATTCGTAAATCAAATTTTATTAATTTATAAAAATAATTGGATAGTTTCGTAGAATTGTATCAAAAAATTTTTTCTATATGTAAATCTATTGATAAATTTTATGAAAATAGTTCGGAAAATAGTAAATATTGAAAATTATTAAATTGTAAAAAACTTTGAAAGTAAATTGAATTTTTGCAAAGATTTTTATAAATTTTTGAAAATAATTGAATTTTTGGCAAAAAAGTTTGCTATTTGTAAAGATAATTGAATTCTTGACGAGATATTCGTGAAAATTTTTAGAAATTAATAATTGAATTTATTCGTAGACTTTTATTAAAATTCCTAAAAATTATTGAATTTCTGTGAAGAATTTTTTTATTTATCAAGATAATTGAATTAAAACTTTTTTAATAATTAAATAATATTAAAAAATTCATTCTTGTCGGAAATAGAAAAAAATTTTGAAGGTTTTGTATTAGAATTAGTGTCAGTTTCATAGTTTACGAAGCTAAATTTGGCGTGAATTCATCATTAAAAGATAACAGAAAAAAATAGGGGAAATTTAGGGGAAATTTTCAAAATAGGGTACGTTTAGGGGCCAAAGTTAAAAAAGGGGGACTTTTAGGGAAATAGGGGACTGTGAAGCCTGTCCCTATGTTCCTCGTTCTAAATAAGTTTCGGAATTGTACCTAATTTGGAATAAGACCTTTACCAGAATTTGAATGTATTTCCAATTAATTCTTATTGAATCTTTTAATCTACTAGACACGTGCTGGACTGGTTTTCCTCCTGTGCAAGCTGGCACAAGAAAATATCATTTCCATAGCATTCTCCTATGTCGCCTTGTATGTTTGATAACTGCTCCGGGAGCATCCTATGTAACTAACTAAAGGTTATGACAGAATATTTATTTAAGAGCAGCACGAATAAATAAATAACAGTCAACTTCAAGCCACGCTTGTTGGACCTTAAGATCGTCACTTTTCTAACGACTACAGGATATGGTGTGTATAAGAGAACCATATTCCCTCTGTGTAGCAATAATGTATCATGCTCTGATGAAGCTGAAACAGGAACTCACTAACTCAGTTATTAGCATCCATTTAATTTTATAAATTAAATTTTAAAGTTAAATATTTTTTAAGAAGCTGCAACTAACAAGCCCACTTAATTTTTCAAAATTTTATGTTGATTTCAAAAAAACTTTATCTTTAAAATTTAATTTGTCAAGTTAAGTGGGTGCCAGTTTCAGCTTCATCATGATCTGGCGTCTTGTTTGTTCAATTCTGTTAGGGGTTGTGGTTCAATAGGTCTTTATAGTTACTTCCAAACATTTGCAAAGAAAAGTAAAGATTTTATATATTTATATCCTTGATGCTTAAAATATCATAACTCAACAATATAAATACATAAGCAAATATTTAAATAAGCTTGAAAATTTTAGGAAATTTAAGAAACTATAAAATGAACAGATGAGGGAAAAATGAATATTAATCTACATTTAGAGCATGATCCACATCAGGTTCCTTTACCTTATATGGAGAGTGATCATCTATGTCATAATATTTGTGTATGTACACGGGGTCGCTGCTTGAATAAAAGAGTATCGGACCAGCGCCGATACTGTATGGGGATAAATATTCCCCTCTGTTTATAAATAGATATTTACTCTTCACCTACATTTACAACACTTGGTTGAAGCTTCAAACCGTTGACAGGTCACCACTCAGTATCAACAGTACCCGTAGACTTTTCTAATTCGATATTTTTCACCCATTCTTCTTTTTTAATTATCAACAAACACGTGACGTCCAATCTTTCTGACTTTTGAATTTTAGTTTTTATCTTTACGAAAAACTTTTTTCACTAATTTTGCTTTAGTAAAAAGAAGCATTAGATGTTTTAATTCTTGTATACTAAGTGTATGAATTTTTTCATTATGTAAAGTTGATTTAATATTTTTCCAAAATCGTTGCTTTCACTAATATTCATCTGATTACTAACTGAAACAGGTCCTACCATTTAAATCAAAATTTTAAGATAAATGAGCCTTCTTTAGCAATAAATTTTTAATTTTTACGCTCTCATCCTAATGAGAGATAAATTTTATTATTAATCACTCATTATAGAAATATTTCACTCTTCCGACATTCACGTGACCCATATTAAAAATACAAATGAATGTTACTTCCGTTTTTATAAAAAAAAAATTTAAACCTATTTTTTAATGGCCCCTCGAAATATTTAGTATAATTTCTAAATTCTATTAACGATTATATTAAATTTCAGAATTTTTTGCGTGAACAGGAAAGATACAATCGAGCTTAAACCCGACTTGCGCGGTTCAAGCCAGCATAGTCTCTCATTGTATGTTGTTCAGGAAAGTTGCACCTGAGTTTAAACTAAGTACCGAAAGTTGAATGGAGCCGTTCAAAATTGATCTTCAATTCATTTTAAATTTAAGTACATTTTACATATAGAAATTATAATTCAATATTTTTCCTCTTTAATGCTTCGATTCCTTCTGTAATTTAGAAAAAAAAATTCAAAAGTGAGTATAAAAAAAGTTCTTAGACTCATTGAATCAAAGTTTTTGATTAAAACAGAAAAAATTGAAGAATTAAAAAAATAACGATGAGTATTTTAACTGAAAACAATTTGTTAATATTTCTGATTGAAAAAGGAAATCTATTTAAAAAACAAAAGTGCTTCTTTCAAACCTCAGCCTCTTTTATCCAAGTAATTCGCCTACTCTGGAACTTTTAAATTATCAAAAAAATTATTTTACCATAAATTTTTTTAAATATAGTTGTAGTGCTTTCGATTTGATTTCTAGTAAAATAAAATATTTTTTGAAGCTAAAAACTTTGATTTAAAGTCAACTAAAGTGATGTGTTGAATAATTAAAAAGGAACTAATAATTTCTCGAAAATTTAGCAACATTATCATGAATATCGAGGAGTTTCGTATTCGTGGAAAAGAAATGGTGGAATATATTTGTGAATACCTTCGAACGTTAGAGGGTAAACGAGTAACGGCAAACGTCGATCCTGGTTATTTAAGGCCTCTCTTACCCAAAGAAGCACCCCTCAAGCCAGAACCATGGGAAGCTATCATGAGAGATGTGGAATGCAAAATAATGCCAGGAGTAAGTTTCTCAATTATTTTTTAACCCCCATAATTATATTTATTTCCAGAAATTACCGAAATTAAAAAAGAATCCATAAAAATCATCCTTTATGTTTGTATTATAGAAATATTACATACAAATTCTATAAAAATGTAAATGCAACAATTCCTAATTTTGAAAAAATTAAAAAAAAATTCCATTATAATTTCATAAAATTAACGGATTAAATTTTGAACATAAAATTAACTGATTACCGAGTATGGGGAATTGAATTATTATTTAAATATTACTCACTCAATCTCGAAACAAAAACGAGGATTTATTATGGCAAATTGAATCAATAAATTTAATTCAGCTAAATTGAAGTATATTCCACCTTAAATGACTACGACTATGACTAATTACTTAAAAAAATATTAAAAAAAAAAACAAAAGACTCTTTCTTTTGTCAAAAGAAATTATTTTATAATCCTTCTCTGTTGTGTGGTTTTAAATTGTATTACAAGTGAAACCTCTACTCTAATAGCTTTTAAAGGTTTCAATATGTAGTCTCTTCTCGATATTTCCCTTTTATATTCGGAAATTCAATATTTGCCAATAAAATTCTCCATCCCTACAATAGACTATAATCATTCAAATAATCACTCTATGGTTCAGTAAACATTTCAGAATTTAATAGACAAAGAATCGTAGACCTATGACATATTTGAAAGAAAACAACAAATTTCACCTAAAATCAAAAAAATGGCTTACCTATAAAAACAAAAAGAAAGAGAAGTGAAAAAAATGAAAGTTTATTTATCAGTACAAATTATTTTAAATTCACACTACAAAATTTTAAGACACAAATGTTTTATTTTAACCCTTTAACGAATTTGTTAGTCTGGGATTTTTGAGGTCGTAGATTACGAATATAAAGTCACATTCCAAAAATTCAAAATGAAAGAATTATTATACTTTATTTGCTCTGACTCTACTAGTATCAACTAATCTATATTTCACAATATTTGACACCATATTGAACCTGCCATTTTGAATTTTGAAAAACTAACATCGGATTCGTAACCAGCGACCCCGAAAACTCCCCGAGTAACGAGTTTCAAGCGAGTCCGATCAATTTATAAAAAAGTCATTCGCCATGTTGGATCCGCCATTTTGAATTTTGAAAATCTGATATCAGATTCGTAATCAGCGACCTCGAATACCCCCGAGATTTGAGCAATTTTGAAAAAGTTTGTCATCTTACGTAAAATAAGGAAATTTTTTGTCCTTCAAACGCCATTTTAAATATAAAATCGAAAAAAATAAAAATTAGAAATGAATATTTTTCAAGTACAACTATCGGGAACACGTTTCCGATACTTTTTGTTATTTTTGAAAAGCGTTATGACAGAGAAAAAAAAATCTTTTGAAAAAAATTACATTAAAAAACTTGACTTTTTTTTAGTATTTTTGAAAAAAGAAGAGTTAAATATCACTTTTTGAAAATTTTGACCACACCATTCGAAAGAGCGACCCCAAAAATAGTAGGGTATGGACTTTTAAAAACTTTTATGGCTTTTCTCTATTAATTGTAAGAGATTGAAATTCATGTTGAAAAGCAGCACATCTCGTCGTTAAAAATAAAAATTAAGCCACATTTGGGTTACCCTGCTGAACGTGTACTATTTTCTGGTGACCATCATAAATTTTTACTGGATCATTTTAAATTAATCAAATAAGAAAATTTCTTTAAACGTAATTTTTAGTAACAAATAAATTCTTCAATCAAACGCTAATTATAATTACAAAATTGAAAATGGTAACGAAATCATACATAACAGTCATGAGTCCGAGGCTTGTATTTTTTAAGAAAGTTTACCAAATATATAATATTGGAAACAATTTGTATAATTTTCTAAAAATAACAAAAATGGTAATTTTTTTAATGAACTTCTTGTTTAAGAAGGGGTAAAAGGAAAAAGCCAGATAGTTGACTTGTATTAAATTTAAATTCGAATTTAACTTCACTTGTCTCTAGAACAAAGCATAGTTAACAGTAAGTGTGAGTTCGTAGCTGACGTGCCCCTAAGCCCAGCGATGGAATTTATCCACCCCTTGGAGGGGACACTCTCGCCTAGACCCTGTCTTGCGAGAATATGAGGGTCTTTATAAGTGAGTATTGAAAAATAGTCATTTCCCCCCTAATTGGTTCCAAGAGGACTTTTTTGATATCTCCTAAAGTACGAAGAAAATATAGATATGTGATGCATTAGCGACTAGATAAAATTCCTTCTTCCATTTCATTGCATCGCAATCCAAAATGAGGGGGAGTACACATGAATTTGTAAGTAAAGTCCATGTCAAGTGGGATTAGGGTAGAGGAGCTTAAGTATTTTATATAGAAATTGAGAACATTATTTGAATAGAAAGCAGTTTTTGATGCGTTTCAGAGCGCATAACAATTCGAGGAAAATAAGAGTCTCATAAACCTTATCTGCTTCGCGTAGGAGGTCCTAATGGTTTATAACATAGGAGTAGTTATTGATAGAGATATAAAAAGCATGTGAAGTGGAAGAGATTTTTGGGTTTAAAGATGTATCAGTGTAAATGTGAATTAAATGTGATCTTTACTGAGAAGAGTATTTACTAAGAAGCCTATATAAATCATATTTTATACTTTTCTCTAAGTGGAAGTAATTTTCATGAAAGAGACTTATTTTCCTAGTAGACTATTTACTTCTATTATATTTCAATATATTCAGGTTTGATCATTTGTTACAATCCTAGTATAATTTGGCTAGTAAAAAAACTCATTAGACGGGTTGTCCAGGCAAATGCAAGTACTCTTAATTTCAAGTCGTTCTGCAGATGCGAAATTTAGTATTAAGTTTATGGTATAACAATGTTGAGAGAACTCTTTTGTGTAAATCATTTGTATAGCAAAAATTGTGTAAGACTTAAAACAGGTGTAAAAACAAATAAATAAATATGCACAAAATAACTAGCATTAGAGTTTACAATATCCTATAATGTCAAAAATGGATATTATGATCGGTAGAAAATTAAGCCCATGCTGCACAAAAGGAAGTTTTAAAGGCAAAGTTAGCGTCATGTTCCTCAAATGCAGACATATTCCAGTGAATAAGACATTCTTAGGATGTTAAAGTCGGTGCAAAGGAAGTCCGAAAGAGACTTTATATCCTAAAGACATTAGGAAATAAGATATCCTTAAGACGTTCTTTGAACAAACATAGATTTTCTAAAGACAACTCAACAAAGTTTACATACATTTACATACATTCTATCAAATTAGAATACCATTTCTAGAAGTAATACTTCTATTTAATGATCTGTTAAAGATTCATGATAAAATTACTCAAAATCCGATGACAGGCTTCATAGTGCCCCTAAAAAGTATTTTAGGGGAAATAGGGGACTGAAAATTAAAAAATAGGGGACCTTTAAGGGACCATAAAAATTGGTTAAATAAAGATAAAAATATAATTTATTTATACAGGGTTCCTACAAAAATTTAACTATTTTTCCCTGATTTCCAAACACAACTTTGACTTTTTTCCTGACTCTAAAGAATATTCTGATTCACTATAAAAATTATTAGATACTCAAAAAAATGTTCTGTTACATTTATTTACAAATTTCTTCAAAAGTAAAATTATTCGAAAACATCAATAGTTTTATTTAAAATAAATATTTAATCATTTTTTTTTATTCGAATTAAGATGTTCAAAACATTCAAATTTAAACCTTTTTGAAATAAAAATAACTGATTAAAATATTATTGTAAAACATAAAGAAATGAATCAGTGATTCATTTCCTTATGTTTTATAATAATTAAAAATGACCGACTGACAAAATGATTACTTTATTATTACAAGAATATTGTTACTGTAATTTCTTCAAAATTATTTGTATCATTTCAATTAAATTAACATTTTCTAGAATTTTTAACTAAAATTCTACTTTAAATCAATAATATCAATTATTATTCAATTAAACTTTTTCAAAAAAATTAATCCTACAGAATTGTTGGTTAAAATTACAAAAAATAAAAATTTAATTCTACGAGAAATCAATTATTTAAACACAAAAATAAATAATATTGAATGCTTCTTAAAATTTAATTTTTACTAAGAATTGTATTAACAACTTTTGAAAATATTTAATTTCTTTTAAGGAACTTAATTGAAATTTTAATAAAATTTATCATACTAAAGAATTTCATAACATTTTTTTAAAATAATTTGAAAACTTTTTGAAGAATTTTATTAAATTTTTAAAAAATAATTGAATTCCTGAGAAGAATTTAAATAATAATTTTTGAAAACAATTGAATTCATGAGAAGAATTTTATTAGAATTTTTGAAAATAATTGACTTCTTGAGGAGAATTTTTAAAAAATTTTGAAAATAATTGAATTTTTCAGAATTTTTTATAACATTTTGAAACTAATTGAAAACTTTTTGAAGAATTTTATTCATTTTTTTTTAAAATAATTGAATTCCTGAGAAGAATTTAAATAATATTTTTTGAAAACAATTGAATTCATGAGAAGAATTTTATTAAAATTTTTGAAAATAATTGACTTCTTGAGAAGAATTTTTCAAAAATTTTTGACAATAATTTAACTCTTGAGAAGAAATTTTCCTATCTATTTATAAAGATAATTTAATTCTTGACGAAAATTTTTAAAGAATTTTGAAAATAATTCAATTTCTGCAAAGTATTTTATTACTTTTCAAAAGAATTGAATATTGTCAAAGAATTTTATTATTTATGAAAATAATTGAATTTTAAAATGAATTTTATTCAAATTCCTGAAAATAATTGAATTTTGTCGACGAATTTTGCTATTCATTTATAAAGATAATATTGAAATATTCACAGTTTTTTGTAAAATAATTTAATTTTCTCAAAGAATTTTATTAATTTTGAAAATAATTTAATTTTTGCAAAGTATTTCATTACTTTTCAAAAGAATTGAATTCTTGTAATGAATATTGATATTTATCAAAATAATTGAATTTTGGAAAAGAATTTTATTATAAAATTCCTTATAGAATAATTGTTTTTATGGGAAGAATTTATGCGATTTTGTTGTTTATCAAGCTAATAGAATTCTTTTGTAAAATTACTTAAAAATTTTTAAAAATAATTAATTTTCTGCGATGAATTTAAAATATTATATATGAAAATATTTGAATTATTGCAACGAATTTTATTGTTTTATTGAATAATTGAATGTTTCTTAAAATTGAATTCTTTCCTCAAGTTTTAATAAAATTTTTAATAATTGCATTTTTCAAGGAATTTATTTAAAATTGTATTAAAAATATTTGAAAGTCAGTGATGAAAATAATTGAATTCGTAAATGAAATTTTATTTTTTATGAAAATAATTGAATCTTTTTGTAGAATTGTATCAAAAAGTTTTTTCTATAATTAAATATGTTGATAAATTTTATGAAAATAGTAAATATTGAAAATTATTGAATTGCAAAAAACTTTTGAAAGTAATTGAACTTTTGCAAAGATTTTTATAAATTTTTGAAAACAATTGAATTTTTGGCGAAAAATTTTGCTATTTGTAAAGATAATTGAATTCTTGACGAGATATTGGTGAACATTTTTTAAAAATAATTGAATTTCTTCGAAGAATTTTATTACTTTTGAAAATTATTGAATTCTTGGGATAAATATTGAAATTTATGAAAATAATTGAATTTTTTTATTTTAAAAATAATTGAAACTTGACTTCACCAAAATACTAATCTTATAAATTTTATAAGTTTCATGAAAAATTTCATCGATCATAAATTTCAAGATTTGAAACTTTCAAAACAAAAGTTTTCAATTGAAAGTTTCAACGGCACTTTGCTAAATTTGGTGTGAATTTATCATTAAAAGATAAAAGAAAAAAATGGGGGAAATTTTCAAAATAGGGTACGTTTAGGGGCGAAAATTAAAAAAAGGGGACTTTTAGGGAAATGGGGGACAGACTGTGAAGCCTGCGATGAGACAACTGACTAAGACGTTCAATTTCTGTTTTATAGATCACGCACTGGCAGCATCCTCGATTTCACGCCTACTTCCCATCTGGTAACTCGTTTCCTTCGATTCTCGGTGACATGCTGTCCGACGCAATAGGATGCATCGGATTTTCCTGGGCTGCAAGTCCAGCTTGCACAGAACTCGAAACAATTGTCCTTGATTGGTTCGCGAAAGCAATGAATCTCCCGTTAGCGTTCATGGCGGACAATGAAGCTGGAAAAGGTGGTGGCGTGATCCAGGGCTCGGCTTCAGAATGCATTCTTGTCTCAATGCTCGCCGCTCGAACACAAATAATCAGAATGCTGAAAGAACAGGATCCTAATACTGAGGACTCGGCATTTCTCCCTCGACTAGTAGCCTACTGTTCAATGGAGTCGCATTCGTGTGTGGAAAAGGCAGCTATGATAAGTTTCGTAAAACTACGAGTTTTAGAACCGGATGAAAAATGCCGTCTCCGGGGTAAACGATTGGAATCCGCAATTCGAGAAGATACGGCCAATGGTCTAGTGCCTTTCTTCGTCTCCACTACATTGGGATCAACCGGTTGTTGTTCTTTTGACAATCTCGTGGAAATTGGACCAGTCTGCCGTAAATACTCCGGAATATGGTTGCACGTCGATGGGGCTTACGCGGGAAGCGCTTTTATTTGTCCAGAACTAAGACCTTTGATGGCTGGGATCGAGTTCGCCGATTCTTTTAATACCAACCCTAATAAATGGCTTTTAGTGAACTTCGACTGTTCCTGTCTTTGGGTGAGAGATCGGGTCAAGTTGACCTCTGCAATGGTGGTCGATCCACTCTATCTTCAACACGCCAACTCTGGGGAATCGATAGACTATCGTCACTGGGGCATTCCGCTAAGTAGACGATTTCGAGCACTGAAATTGTGGTTTGTCATGAGATCCTATGGAATAACGGGTTTGCAAAACTATATACGTAATCACATCAGACTGGCAAAGAGATTCGAGACGAAGATCAAGAGGGACAAGAGATTCGAAGTGGTTAATGACGTGACGGTGGGGTTGGTATGCTTCCGAATGAAGGAAAACGACGAGATAAATCAGGAACTCCTGGCTAATATCAACGCATCAGGAAAGCTTCACATGATCCCCTCGAGAGTGATGAACAAATACACTCTTCGATTCTGTGTCGTCAAGGAAGATGCAACGGATTATGATATTGACTTTGCAGTGGACGTTATTCAGGAGCATGCTGCCGAAGTTCTAGTAGCTCACTACGAAGGAGAGGAAGAATTCTTGGCCAAGAGTCCCAAGAGTCCAGCGCCATTGGACAAGAAACTCGTCAGGAAATTCAGCTTCACAAGAAGTGTCTCCAGAGCCGCTTACAGACGATCAATGTCAAAAACAAGTCTGCACGATGGTGCCACACCGATTATGGTTGTCGAGGATCATCGACCAGTCGAGACCATTGAAGAGGATGTATTTTGTGACAGTCGGTAGACCGAACTTCAGCTCACGGTACCGAATAAAAGGAACCAATTGCTTTCGATGCCGTGAGCTGAGGCCCCCGACAACCGGAAAACGAACGAAATCCCAGGGCCCTCAGGACCATTTGCAGGACAATCTGAGGTCCTTATTTAAAATCAAGTCTCATTAAACTTGATTAGAATCGAAATTATTGTTCATCCGGTTAATAAGTGTGTTTGAAAGAAATTGATCGTGAACTACTTTGAGTGTAGTTGGAGTGAGAAAAGTTTTAAAAGAATTGTTAAGTCGTGACGGGGCAACATCCAGTGTACAAAATTTATTATCTAAGTCGAAAAAAAGCTCATGCTTTATGAGCTACAAAACACTTCTATATTTAAGCATTAAAACACTGTCGTAGTGTAGAAATCAAAGTCAAAAATGTACCTAAAAGTTAAAAAAAAAATCGAGTAAGTAAAAAAAATTAAAATTTTCTTAATATTTTAATAACTTATAGACGATTTTGTAAGTAATTTAGATCCTTTTCGGAATAAAACCTTAATTAGAAGTAAAGTTAATTTTAGAACGTAATTTGTGCGTAACAAAGAAAACACTGTTGTTCATTACAAAAAAAAAACATTTTAATTGAAATTGAATAATTTTTTTTTTATAAAAAAGTACACATAGTTCACAAGAAAAAAAGAGGTATCGAATTTTGCAACACGTGTTCTAAAAATACTGCAAAAGAGGAAGAAAAGCGCGTAAATTATCTACTAACAATTTATCGAGAAATATTACGAACATGTATAAATTATATGTCACGTTCAATAAAAAAAAATGTTTATAAATAAAATATGGTTGAAAAAAACTTTTTAAATAGTATTTCAGTACCCATATAAAAAAAACAATTTTCCATTAACTTCAAATTTCCAACTGGAATAAAGATTTCTCAAACATGTCAATCTTCAATGGGAGTCTGATGTTTTGTAAAAATAATTAACAAAATTTTTGATAGTAAGGCCTTTTAAATTATGATTATTTAAATGTGCGATATTTCTAAAAGATTTTAATGCAGACTTACTTCATATTTACAAAATTGGCTAAAAATGTGTAATTTTATTGTTGAGAATAGAATTCGCAGTTATGAAACTGAAACTGGCATCCAGTTATCAGGGCTCGAACCAGTGAAAGTATTTAAAAATAAGGACTTTATTACGGACCAAAAATGAAAAATTGCGGACCAATTACTGACAAAAATATAACTAGTCCGAGTCAAATAAGAGAACATTGTACTTCAAACTATAAATTAAATTTTTTCATAACTATAAACCATGAAGATATCGATGAAGATTTCTTCATGTTTTCAAATAATTAAAGATGACCGAGAGATAAAATCATTATTTTATATTATAAGAATATGGTACTTTTTTAAAATTATTTTCATCATTTGAATTTAATTATTATTTTCAAAAATTTTTAACTAAAATTCTGCTTTAGATCAACTATTTTTAATAATTTTCAAAAAAGTTCTTTGGCAATTTTCAAATCCATTTGTTTACAATATTCAATTTCAATTATTCCTAAATTCATCAATTAAATGCATTTATTAGAAAATTGAAAACTTCAAATAATTTAAAGAAAATCAAATAAACTTTTCAAAAAAATTAATTTCAAAACTTAATTATTTCTAAGAATCCACGCTTTTAATATTCAATTATAATCTAAAGTTTTAACTGAAATTCATTTTTAAATCAATTTTTATTAGAGAATTCTACGAGAATTCCATTATTTAAATACAAAAGTAAATATTAATAATTTATTGAATAATTGAATGTTTCTCAAAATTCAATTCTCATAAAGAATTTTATGAACACATTTTTAAATAATTGAATTCCTTTATGAAATTTTATGAAAACTTGCATAAAAATAAATATACTTTTTTCAAGGAATTAAATTAAAATTGTATGAAAAATAATTGAAATTCTGCGATGAGTTTCATTATTAGTAAAAAATAATTGAATCCTTAAGAAGAATTTTATTACTCTTGAAAATAATTGAATTTCTGCAATAATTTTTAACTTCTCCAAAATTAAATTTTTTTCTAGTGTTTTTAACTAAAATTCTACTATAAATCCATTATTTTTAATAATTTTTGAAAAAGTTCTTTGAGAATTTTTAAATTTATTTGTTTACAATTCAATTATACAAAATTTGAATTATTCAGAAATTCTTCAATTCAATATATATATTAGAAAATAAAAACTTGAAATAATTTTTAAAAAAATTCAATTAAACTTTTTCAAAAGAATTAATTCTACAGAATTATTTGTTAAAAATATGAAAAATTAAGAATTTCAATGATTTGAATTTGTAACCTTTTCAAAATTCAATTATTTCTAAAAATCCACTTTATAATGCTTTTAATATTTAATTATAATCTAAAATTTTAACTGAAATTCATTTTTAAAACAATTTTTAATAGTAAATTCTACGAGAATTCAATTATTTAAATACAAAAATAAATAATTTATTAAATAATTGAATGTTTCTTAAAATTGAAATTTCATAAAGAATTTTATCAATAAATTTTTAAGTAATTAAATTCTTTCGACGTAATTTAATAACATTTTTAAGAATATTTATATTTTTCGAGAAATTCCATTAAAATTGTATTAAAAATAATTGAAATTCTGCTATGAGTTTTATTATTCATGAAAATAATTGAATTCCAAAAAAGAATTTTATTACAGTAGAGACTGTATTTTATAAAATAATTGAATCCTTGTAAAAGTTTTATGATTTATGAAAATAATTTAATTATTGCGAAAGAAATTTATAAAAAATTTGGAAATAATTGAATTCCTGTGAAATTTTTATTATTTATGAAAATAATTAAATGTTTGCGAAGAATTTTATTAATTTCTTTTTTAAATAATTGAATTTCTTTGGAAAATGTTATATTAAAATAGAAAATATTTGAAATCATTAAGGTGAGGAAGATTTTTTAAAATAATTGAATTTCGGAGAAGAATTTTATTATTTTTAAAATTAATTGAAATCTTTACGAGAATTTAAAAATTTTTTTAACACAATTGAATTTCTGCAATCAGTTGTAACTTTTCCAAAATTGAATTTTTTTTGTTGTTTTTAACTAAAATTGTTCTATAAATTCATTATTTTTAATAAATAATAGATAATATAATAATTATCAAAAATTCGAAAAACCAATTTTTTTAAAATTTAACATTTTTTCTTCTCCTTTATAGCATTTAGCTTCATTATTTTTGGGCTCTTCAAAAACACTTTACTTATATTTAATAGTCTCCATCCTTTGGCAAAAAATATAAAATTATCAAAAAGTATCAAAAATTTGAAAAACCGATTTTTTTAAAATTCAACATTTTTTCTTCTCTTTTATGGCATTTAGCTTCATTATTTTTGGGCTCTTCAAAAACACTTTACTTATTTAATAGTCTCCACCCTTTGGTAAAAAATCTAAAATTATTAAAAATTATCAAAAATTCGAAAAACCGATTTTTTCAAAATTATTTTAATAAAATTCTTTATAGAAATTTAATTAATTTAAAAAATTTGTCAAAATTCAATTATTTTCAATGTCTATTATTTCAATAAAATTTCACATAAGAATTCAATTATTTACAAAGAAATTTTAATAAAATTCGTCTCAAAAATTCAATTATTTTCAAAAATAATATACTTCTTCGCAGAAAATAAATTATGTTCAAAAATTTACAAAAATTCTCGTCAAAATTTAAATAATCTTTATAAATAATAAAATTTTTCTCCGAAATTCAATTATTTTCGAAAATTTTAATAACATTCTTGGCAAAATTTCAAAATATTTTGAAAGAATTAAATTACTAATAAATTACTCCTAATTTTAAAACTGAGAACATTTAAAAAGAAAAATTATCAAAAAAGTTAGGAAACAAAAAAGCATACAACTAACTTCAAACTGCGAACAGATTTCCGGAAATCAACGATTATTTATGTAGAAGATTTAATATAGCATTTCGATAGTATATTAAATACATTGCAATAATAAAATTTATAAAAGTGTGAATATAAAAAAGAGAAAACAATTTTTTGAATAAAAATAATTTTTAATACAAATATCCTATAGATTAATGTACAAATATGTTACATTTGACCACATTGTGAAATTGTGACAGGAATTTTCGGTTTATTATTTGGTCCGGTCGGGACATTTTCTACTTTCCTCATTACTAGAAGGCCATCGATAACTCTTCCAAAAACCACATGTTTCCCATCCAAAAAATTACATTTTGCACAAGTTATAAAAAATTGACAACCATTCGTGTCCTTTCCACTGTTTGCCATTGACAATAAACCTGGCGAGTCATGCTTCAATGTGAAATTTTCATCGGAAAATGTTCCACCTCCGTAAATACTTAAAACTCCAGTTCCATCACCATTGACAAAATCTCCGCCCTGAATCATAAAGTCCTTGATAACACGATGAAAAATAGCGCCTTTAAATCCCAATGGTGCTCCATCTTTTCTAAACTCGCCGGTGCAAAATTGGCGAAAATTTTCCGACGTCTTCGGACAGACATCGTCAAATAATTCGAAGATCATGCGTCCAATTTCCGTATTACCAACGGAAACGTCAAAAAATACAACTGGATTGTTTGGATTTCGAAGTTGTGTCTGAATTTGATTCCAAGTAGGCATTGTTCGAATAACTTTCGAATACACAAACAAAACTAATAAAACTTGTATTATCACAATAATCACTGACGAAAAAATAAAGTTTCTTTTCTCTCGTTTTTAGCGAGTTTTATTTTAATGAAAAATCAAATTACTCGACACGCAAACTAAACCAAACGTTTTTGTAGCGTCATCAACAAGGGTGTTTACATTTTGAGGTTATGTTTCACCGGCCGTCCAACGGAACCACGAGGTTTTTATATTTTTAAAAAGGGACGTACATTATCCACGTTATAATATACCATAATTATTACAAATCGTATTTAAATAGAAGATTAATCAATAAAACGTTTTGTTTTCGTAAATAAAATCAACAACAAAAGGTAAAATAGTCCCTCAACGATTAGTGTCGTTAAGAGGTTAGAATCATTAAGAATTTTTGCTCTTACCTTCAGGAAATTTTTGACAGTTTGGTCCTTGAATGATCGACTTGAATTTACTTATCAAACACTTTTCACTAATTTCAGAAATTTAAACTTACACAACTGTTATCATAAGTTATTTTACATAAAAGTATCTCTTTTGTTTTAGTCAGGAACATAAAAACACTACAATGAATATATGCGCAGAACGGTGTAAACATTGGTCACGTGATCACCAAGAAAGTCAAAATCGAAAATTGCGCGGGAAATTTAAATAGCTAAATATTTACAATTATATCAAAACATTATTTTTAATATTCAAAAAAATTATTAAAAATTATTAAAAAATATTTAAAATATTTAAATTCTTATAAAGAATTTTACAAAAATTTTCCGAATAATTAAATTTCTGTAAAAAAAAGAATTAATTAATTAATTAATTTATTATGGTAATTTTGGAAAAGAATGAAATTTTTTCAAAATGTTTAATTAAATTTTCTTTCTTAATAAAGAAATTTAATGCAATTTTTTTTAAATAATAAATTTTTTCGAATAACTTTATTAAAATTTTTTAAAATAATTTAATTCTAGCAACAAATTTGATAAATTATTATAAAAAAATAATTCAAATCTTGCTAAGAATTTAATTAAAATATTCGAAAATAATTGAATTTTTTCGAGGAGTTTCTGTTGAGAAATTTTATTACCCGTAAATTTGTAAAATAAATAAATAAATAATTGTAAGTTGAAAATAATTGAATTCCTGACAAGAATTTTATTTAAGTTTTTGAAAATAATAAATACAATTTTAGTGAATTAGTAAATTAGTTAAAAATTGAATTTTTAAATTTTTTGAATCCGAAATTATTACAAAATTGAAATTATTATTTGAATATAACAAATTTCTCGAAACTTCCGATTCAATTTAATTCTGAGAAAAAAATAATGTTTTCAAAACTGAGAGAAAAAATAATTTTTTATATTAAAAAAAAATATATATGAACTTGAAAGAGGAAAATTGTTAAGAATAATTTTCATTTTTAATGCTTCTTTGAATACATATATATTCTACATTCATACAATATACAAATTTTTTTTTATTTTTTTTTTTACTTTTTCAAGAATTTAAGTAATAATCAGATGAAAACTGATTACATGATTCCACGTAATATTTCTACAATAATTTTTAGAAGAAAATACATCGAGGGCACCAAAAATTAATATAATATTTCAAAATTATGAAATATTTTCGTGATTTTTGTGACACAACATAATTAGAGAAGCAATTCTATACCAATTTTTTGTCCTTTTTTTTTACTAAACATTACTTAGTTTATAAAGATTAAAGTAAATATTTAATCTACAATTATTGGTATCACACTTAAAAATAAAAAATATTAATTTTTATGCTCCAGTAAATTATAATATTTTTTGCATCGTCAAGATGTTAAAAAAAATTATATTTTTTTGTCAAATTTACTGCGTCGATAAGTGCAAAAGTTTACAATTATTTTTTCGCTGTTTAAAAAAAATTAGTTTCGAAAAAAATGTCTTTTCTAATCGCCTTATTAAAAATTATTGAAAATCTAACATAAATGTAAATATAGAAACAAAATTTAAGTATTTTACGTTTAAACAACTATGCACAATTATTGAAAAATTGGAAACAAAATGGTTCTAATTTCCCCTAAGTAAGTACTATTCAAGAATTGGAAACAAAAGTTATTAAAACAATTTTTGTATCTTTAAATAACAAAATCATATTTAAAAGCATAAATAATGTAATTTTTACGTTTAGATTAAAAACTAGATTTTTCTGATTTTAGGTAATAGAAAATCGAAAATTGTTTCTAAACTGTCAGAAAAATTGTAACTTTTAAATCATTTAAAGAGATTACATGTTTTACACTTTTTAAAAATTTTTTCTGATGAATAGTATTTTTTTGTTTAATTTTGTCCAATTCTTAAAAACATTTTCATCTCTATTTGTTTCTGTACGAAATCAAATATTCGAAATTTGAAATTTTACCACAATTTCCGACAAGACGGGAATTTTAGAACCAAAAATGAACTATAATTAAAAGTTAAATGCAAATAACTTAAGAAAAAAACTTATATTAACTGTAAAATATAGAATTCCTTTTAAATTATCTTCAAAGCGTAAAATTTTGTTTCCAATTTCTCAACTTTAATGAACAAAATATCACATATTTGAAGCGTGATAACCATTGAATTAAATGTGAATTTTTACGTGTTCCATGAGTAAATTTTTATCATGAAAATCTTCACCACAAATGCCACAGACCATTTCATCGGCATCGTCACTATCATATTGACTTTCATGAATAACATTTTTCAAATCCTCATCGTGCATTAAATTTGTTTCATCATTCACATCAGATTTTAAGTTCCGAACAACATTTTTCACAACGTGTGTCACAACATTCATCGGTAAATCAGAATTGGAAATGTGCGCAATTTGACTTGAAAAATTGTCACTACCCTGTGGATTTGGTATCGCCAATACTGGCGAATTTTCATTTTGCTTCGATATCAAATGCAATGTATTACCTTGCTTATCAGGAAGAATTTCCATGGCGTCGTTTAATTTTTCAAATGGAATGAAATGAGTGGTAGTTGTTGTAATCACTTCCACGTGACTTGTTGAATTAATCAAATCATTATCTATCGTTAAATTCCCATGATCAGAGGGTATGTCATCATCTTCCCGATATGGAATTTCAATTTGTCCGTCAATTATTTGACAGTCGTCGGATTTCATTGACGAATCGGTGATTGATAGTAGAGCTTCATTTTGTTCAGTGGGTGTAATTAAATTCTCCGGCATTTTCGATGTTGAACCGGATTTTTTCTTCTTCTTTGTTGTTGTCGCTGATGATTTTGGAGCATTATTATTGGCGAGTGTTTTTGCCTTCGCCTCGGCGATCATTTGATCCGAGTGCTTTACAATGTGTGCACAGAGTTCGTCGCGATCTTGATTTAGTGAGCCGCAGAGAGGACATGGAAAAGGAGGACCACTGATGCCGGTTTCATTTTTACCGGCCGCATGAACCCATCGCACATGCTCTCGTAGTACGACTTTTTGATTGAAGGCTCGTGTGCAAAGGGGACAAACATGAGGTCTCTCTCCGGTGTGAATGCGCTCGTGTTTTCTCAATGTTCCACCGTCGCGAAAAGCCTTCCAACAGAATTTACAGCCGTAGGGCCGTTCACCGGTGTGTGTTCGATGATGAATTAAGTAGCCTTGACGGGATGAGAATGTCTTTGAACATGCGTCACATTGAAAATGAGCGGGACTTCCGGCGTGCATTCGTCCATGTTCCCAGAGTCCTTGTCTCGAGACGAAACTCTTGCCGCATTCGTTGCATGTGAAGGGCGAATCACCAGGATGAGCGGCGAGTCTGTGCTCGTCCAATTGATTCTGCTTCTCGAATTGTGTTCCACAAACTTCACACGAATGCGTCTTCTTCCTGTTTTTTTTTAATAGAAAAACCATATTAAATTTTTTATTTCACAGTCGAAAAGAAGGATTTTTAAAAATTTTAAAAACGAAATTAATTCTCCTTGGATTAATAATCAGGGTTGCCACAGAAATTTTATTTTATTTTTCCCTGACTTCTAGACAGAATTTTTTCCTATTTCCTGACTTTAAAGAATATTCTGATTCAGTCTAAACTTCACATTCGATAATTAATTTTTAAAAAGTTGCAAAAAGTAGCTTTCAAAGTAAAAAAAAAACAGTAAAAAAGTAGCTATCGAAAAATTAAACTTGACGACCAAAAAAAAACTCGTTTTAGACACTTCACAAAACTGACAAAAATTCCATTCTATAAATTTTCCAGACTTTTTCCAAATTTTCATCAAAAATATTTTTTACTTCTTTCTTATCCTACGCTAATAAATTGAATTCCTGCAACGAATTTTATTATTCATCAAAGAATTTAAATATTTATAAAAATAATTTAATTCTTGCAAAGAATTTTATTAAAATTTAAAAAAAATTGATTTCTTTCGACTAAATTTTATGCAAATTCTAATTTAAATAATTGAATTCCTGAGAATTTTTTACTACTCATGAAAAGAATTGAATTTTTACGAAGATTTTTAAACATTTTTTTAAATAATTGAATTCTGTTTGGAAATTTTATAAAAATAGTAGATATTGAAAATCATTGTATTGCGAAAAGTTTTTAAAAATAATTAAATTTTACAAAGAATTCTATTAAAATTTGTTGACAATAATTGAATTCCTAAAAAGCATTTTATTATTTTTGAAAATAATTGAATTCTTGCTAACGATTTTATAAGAAATTTTTAAAATAATTGAATTTCCAATGAAGAAATTTATTACTTTTAAAAATAATTGGATTCTTGTGATAAATATTGCTATGTAAATTTTGCAAAGAATTTTATTAAAATGCCTAAAAATAATTGAATTTTCGGGAATAATTTTTTTATTTATCTTTAATAATTGAATTCTTTCGAAGAATTATTTATATAAATAATTAAATAGTTGCTAAGAATTTTATTAAAATTTTTTTATAAACATTGTTCTAAATACATAATTAATATTTTCGAAATCTAATAAATAGGTATTATGAAAATTTTATGTTAAATAATTGATTTTTTTGATTAATTAATTAAAAATAGTATTACAAATAATTGAAATTTTTTGATGAGTTTTATTATTTAATTTTCATGAAAAATGTTATTATTAGTAAAAGTAATTGAATTATTGTGAAGAGGAAACAAATCTTTTTAATATTTTCAAAGGTTGATGAACACCAAAATCGAAAATTTTCTTATGAATTCTAAAAATTTAATATTTTTCAAGTACTTTTGTTAAAATTCCCTGATTTCCCTGACCTGTAGAAACACTATAAAAACAAATATTGTTATTTAAAACTATTTTTTTCTTCCTCATGAAAAATTTAAAAAAAACCTAAATTTGATTTGAATTTTGAATTAATTTTTGATTTTTTTTCTTTTGGATGCCTATTTTTTTAATTTTATTCATTTGTATGCAAAGAATACGATTCTGCAAAGCCTTTATTATTATTTCTAATAAAACCAGATTATTTTTAACAAATAAAGTAAGAATTAGAAATTTTTTCAAATTATACCGAAGTTAAAGTAAATGTAGTTAATAAATAGAAATAATTAATCCAAGTAGAATATATTTTTGTAATTTTTGTCGAATAAATAGAAAATAAAAATATTAATGCATTAGATTTTGACTAAAGTCGTTGCCGATTAATTAAAAAAAAAAATTATAACTTTGAAGTTATCAAAACTACGAAATGAAGAGAATTTTATTAAAAATTTAATTATTTGTTGTAAAAAATTGAATTCAAAGTAAGAACCATTAAATTAAATAAAAACATATCAAATAAAAAGTTTTTTGCCATAGACTTTCAGAATTTCTTTTTACTTTTCTTCCCTTTATTTTTTAAAATAAAGCGGATTAAAATTGTCATATTTTGTCTTGCATATTTTCTACTGGCTAAAAAACTGAATTCATATTTTTCAATAAATAATCAAATTTTTAACAAAATTCTTTTCATTTCGTGATCTTGATAATTTCAAAATCATTCCTGCAAAGTATTATAGTCTTTAAAAATTAATCGACAACGACTTTAGTCGAAATATAATGGATTGACTCTAAACTAATTATATTATTTAAGAAATATTTAAAAAATAAAAACAAACAATCTAAAGAATAAAATGTTGAAATTGGCTAAAAAATAAGTAAGAATCTATGAATTTAACGCAATTTCAATAAAGGTAAATTAATTTTATTGAATAAAGAATATGATTTAATAAAGTTGGTTTTCTAGACAAAAATAAAGTCACTAGAATCTATAAAAATATTAAACTTGTGCAAAATTACAAAGTCAACTTGGAGGAAACTTATTAAAACCGCACGTGTCTGAATGTCTTCGCTTTTTTCATCTTCTTCTCAAAATACTTCTATTCTAGGACGTAAAAATTGATTAAAACAAAAATGTTTAAATTAGTTAGAAATATTTGGTAAAATTGTTATTCTACAAGAGAGAACAAAAATTTGTTCTTAATAAGTAATTATTCTTCATATTTTATGGTTTTTAATTTTTATGCTTGTGTTCGATTGTAATTTTTTTTTAAACTTGTAAGAGTTGAAAGTTGGTTATAACTTATAATTTTCCGAAGTTGAAAATTATAAATCAAAAATTACTTTTAAATCATAATTTTACAAAGAATATTCTCGTAATTTTTATATAAATACGAAATGCTTGAAAGAAATTGAAATTTTAAACCTTTTTTTATTTAGAGAATTTTGAACGAAGTTGAAGTCCACAACGTTTATCAACGAAAAAAATTTATTTATTGCATTCAAGTATTATTTTTAATTTAATTTTTAATTGTAAAATAATTATTATCAAAATATAAACATCAATCTTTTTTTTTCTAAATATTTTTGTGTCAATATTTATGCGTCATTGTTAATTAATTTATGTACTATTTACTAAGTGAAGAATTTTTTTTCGTTGATCAACGTTGTGGACTTCAACTTGGTAATTTTGAGTCTGAAAAATTATAACCGCTTCTTTGATCAAGATTCTTAATTTGTAAGAAATTGAAATTTTAAATCCTTTTATTTAGAGGTTGAAAATTTTGAGTCATAAAAAATGTTAATTAATCGGGAATCTTAATTATCAAAGTGTATTTTCAATTAGTTCAAATCATGTCCAAAAAGGGCAAAACATTTTATTGACAGTTTAAAATTTTTAAATTCTTTAATTTGTAAATATTTTAATGAATAAAATAAAATAAATAATAATTATGAGTAAATATGAATAAATTTTGAATTAATATGAAATAAATACAAATAAACAAATATGAATAATTAATAAATAAGTTTTGATTTTAAAATTGAAAAATTGTACCTGTGAATCCACTGATGCCTAAACATTTTTTGTTTAGTGGTGAATTTTTTGCCGCACTCGGAACAAGCGTGTTTACCCCATCGGCTATTTGGTAAGCCTTGTTCACTGCAATTTTGCATTATTCTCTTTGCACATGTTTGCTGATGTGTCGACAAATGATTTTCATCTTGAAATTGTTTGTCACAATATTTGCATTCAATTGGCGTTGCCCATGTTTTAACATTATGCGTTTTCTCATGTGTTGTCAATGCATTAGGACGACTGAAACTCACGCCACATTGATTGCACGTGTATGCTTTATTCTCAATTATTTCCACTTCATTGAAATTTCTTCGATTATCGTTAAATGTTAGACTTTCAACTTTCACCATTGCATCGGATGTGCAAAATGAATTTAACGATAAATTATAATCGCCAATTTGATTGGCGATTTCAGATTGTGCAGCGTATTCAAATTGTGTTACTTCTCCGTTTGGCATCACTGTGAATTCCTGTAAAATAATGTAATAATTATTGTTAAGCAAATAACAAAATTGTTTAATTTTAAATATCAACTTCAATCTTTGAATAAATTCTGATTCAAAATTTTAAAAAATTCATTATTTATTATTTTTTTAAGTTTTAATAAAATTCTTCGCAGAAATTTAATTATTTTCAACACAATTTCAATAAAATTTTTCGAATAAATTAAATTATTAATTCGAATTTTTATAAAAATTGAATAAAATTCTTTGCAAGAATTGGATTATTTTTTATTTTTTATAAATAATAAAAACCTTCATAGATTGTTTTATACTAATCTGTGATAAGACTTTTATTTTCAGTTCGGATAAACTTTATACTTAAAAAATTCATTTCATTATTAGTTTCCAGTATTTCTAATTCAAGGGAAAATTTTAATCTATTGTGAAAGAAATTAAAGTCATCAATAAATACCGATTCTTTGTAACACAAAAAAATATCTACAGAATCCTTTAAAATTTGAAAACAAAATTTCAGCCTTTTTCGTCGTACTTTTATTACTGTGACAAAAGAAATCAGAATTTGAAAAAGAATGACGATAGGTATTATTATGAATAAACAAAAAGCGCTCCATAAAAAATTACTGTCTTTTTGAAAAATTTGAATATTTTCAGTAATATGTATTTAAATAAACTAAATTATTTTATTTTCGAATTTTTTAACGAATTTGTAGTTTTTTTTATTTGTTACATTCTATTTTTATTTGTAAAATTTAATTTCATCAATCTTCATCTTTCATCTAATTTTTATAGAAAAAAACTTCATACCATAGTAATCAATAAAAAAATGAGGATAATTTGTCGAAAGTTAAATAAAAAAAAAACGCCTAACTTTAAAAATTAAAAAAAATTTGATGAAATATTTTATTTATTTATTGAACTATAAATGTATACCATTATTATTTAACATGAGGTTTACCATAATTATATGTATTACTCTCTTTCACAAATATAACTGTTAAGTAATAATAACCGATAACCTTTATCGTCATTTATTATTGTATGAAAAAATGAAATTATTTAAAAATTCATATTTGAAAATTAAAAATTTTTATAATTTGCATAATAATAATAATAATTTGAATATCACGTTTCGCGCGCTAGCGCGCGTAATATTTGCTAGTTAACAAATATAAATTATTATATGGATGATGTAGGAAATTATTTGCTGATTGAGAATTTTTTAATTAAGGAAGATTTCGACTATATCAGCAATTAGTGACATCTATTAGACGTCAATTGAACTCTTTGGTTTAGAGTCAGGTGTTATTCTTAAGATAATTATTCCGATATGGTTGTCGGTAAATAATTATATTTTTGAATTTAATTTTTGATCTGAAAAAATAAGCTGCGTGAACGACTGCACTGTGCATCTGTGAGGACTCGAACCCCAGTTAATAGCTGCCTTTCGCGGGACTAACGCCTACCAATGCACCATGCCAACACAGCCTGGACGTTCACGTTTCTTATAATCTCAGATCAAGCCCATACACTAGTCGAAGAGCTGTATAGTTAATGTAGGAAATTATTTGCTGATTGAGAATTTTTTAATTAAGGAAGATTTCGACTATATCAGCAATTAGTGACATCTATTAGACGTCAATTGAACTCTTTGGTTTAGAGTCAGGTGTTATTCTTAAGATAATTATTCCGATATGGTTGTCGGTAAATAATTATATTTTTGAATTTAATTTTTGATCTGAAAAAATAAGCTGCGTGAACGACTGCACTGTGCATCTGTGAGGACTCGAACCCCAGTTAATAGCTGCCTTTCGCGGGACTAACGCCTACCAATGCACCATGCCAACACAGCCTGGACGTTCACGTTTCTTATAATCTCAGATCAAGCCCATACACTAGTCGAAGAGCTGTATAGTTAATGTAGGAAATTATTTGCTGATTGAGAATTTTTTAATTAAGGAAGATTTCGACTATATCAGCAATTAGTGACATCTATTAGACGTCAATTGAACTCTTTGGTTTAGAGTCAGGTGTTATTCTTAAGATAATTATTCCGATATGGTTGTCGGTAAATAATTATATTTTTGAATTTAATTTTTGATCTGAAAAAATAAGCTGCGTGAACGACTGCACTGTGCATCTGTGAGGACTCGAACCCCAGTTAATAGCTGCCTTTCGCGGGACTAACGCCTACCAATGCACCATGCCAACACAGCCTGGACGTTCACGTTTCTTATAATCTCAGATCAAGCCCATACACTAGTCGAAGAGCTGTATAGTTAATGTAGGAAATTATTTGCTGATTGAGAATTTTTTAATTAAGGAAGATTTCGACTATATCAGCAATTAGTGACATCTATTAGACGTCAATTGAACTCTTTGGTTTAGAGTCAGGTGTTATTCTTAAGATAATTATTCCGATATGGTTGTCGGTAAATAATTATATTTTTGAATTTAATTTTTGATCTGAAAAAATAAGCTGCGTGAACGACTGCACTGTGCATCTGTGAGGACTCGAACCCCAGTTAATAGCTGCCTTTCGCGGGACTAACGCCTACCAATGCACCATGCCAACACAGCCTGGACGTTCACGTTTCTTATAATCTCAGATCAAGCCCATACACTAGTCGAAGAGCTGTATAGTTAATGTAGGAAATTATTTGCTGATTGAGAATTTTTTAATTAAGGAAGATTTCGACTATATCAGCAATTAGTGACATCTATTAGACGTCAATTGAACTCTTTGGTTTAGAGTCAGGTGTTATTCTTAAGATAATTATTCCGATATGGTTGTCGGTAAATAATTATATTTTTGAATTTAATTTTTGATCTGAAAAAATAAGCTGCGTGAACGACTGCACTGTGCATCTGTGAGGACTCGAACCCCAGTTAATAGCTGCCTTTCGCGGGACTAACGCCTACCAATGCACCATGCCAACACAGCCTGGACGTTCACGTTTCTTATAATCTCAGATCAAGCCCATACACTAGTCGAAGAGCTGTATAGTTAATGTAGGAAATTATTTGCTGATTGAGAATTTTTTAATTAAGGAAGATTTCGACTATATCAGCAATTAGTGACATCTATTAGACGTCAATTGAACTCTTTGGTTTAGAGTCAGGTGTTATTCTTAAGATAATTATTCCGATATGGTTGTCGGTAAATAATTATATTTTTGAATTTAATTTTTGATCTGAAAAAATAAGCTGCGTGAACGACTGCACTGTGCAGTCGTTCACGCAGCTATTAACTGGGGTTCGAGTCCTCACAGATGCACAGTGCAGTCGTTCACGCAGCTTATTTTTTCAGATCAAAAATTAAATTCAAAAATATAATTATTTACCGACAACCATATCGGAATAATTATCTTAAGAATAACACCTGACTCTAAACCAAAGAGTTCAATTGACGTCTAATAGATGTCACTAATTGCTGATATAGTCGAAATCTTCCTTAATTAAAAAATTCTCAATCAGCAAATAATTTCCTACATTAACTATACAGCTCTTCGACTAGTGTATGGGCTTGATCTGAGATTATAAGAAACGTGAACGTCCAGGCTGTGTTGGCATGGTGCATTGGTAGGCGTTAGTCCCGCGAAAGGCAGCTATTAACTGGGGTTCGAGTCCTCACAGATGCACAGTGCAGTCGTTCACGCAGCTTATTTTTTCAGATCAAAAATTAAATTCAAAAATATAATTATTTACCGACAACCATATCGGAATAATTATCTTAAGAATAACACCTGACTCTAAACCAAAGAGTTCAATTGACGTCTAATAGATGTCACTAATTGCTGATATAGTCGAAATCTTCCTTAATTAAAAAATTCTCAATCAGCAAATAATTTCCTACATTAACTATACAGCTCTTCGACTAGTGTATGGGCTTGATCTGAGATTATAAGAAACGTGAACGTCCAGGCTGTGTTGGCATGGTGCATTGGTAGGCGTTAGTCCCGCGAAAGGCAGCTATTAACTGGGGTTCGAGTCCTCACAGATGCACAGTGCAGTCGTTCACGCAGCTTATTTTTTCAGATCAAAAATTAAATTCAAAAATATAATTATTTACCGACAACCATATCGGAATAATTATCTTAAGAATAACACCTGACTCTAAACCAAAGAGTTCAATTGACGTCTAATAGATGTCACTAATTGCTGATATAGTCGAAATCTTCCTTAATTAAAAAATTCTCAATCAGCAAATAATTTCCTACATTAACTATACAGCTCTTCGACTAGTGTATGGGCTTGATCTGAGATTATAAGAAACGTGAACGTCCAGGCTGTGTTGGCATGGTGCATTGGTAGGCGTTAGTCCCGCGAAAGGCAGCTATTAACTGGGGTTCGAGTCCTCACAGATGCACAGTGCAGTCGTTCACGCAGCTTATTTTTTCAGATCAAAAATTAAATTCAAAAATATAATTATTTACCGACAACCATATCGGAATAATTATCTTAAGAATAACACCTGACTCTAAACCAAAGAGTTCAATTGACGTCTAATAGATGTCACTAATTGCTGATATAGTCGAAATCTTCCTTAATTAAAAAATTCTCAATCAGCAAATAATTTCCTACATTAACTATACAGCTCTTCGACTAGTGTATGGGCTTGATCTGAGATTATAAGAAACGTGAACGTCCAGGCTGTGTTGGCATGGTGCATTGGTAGGCGTTAGTCCCGCGAAAGGCAGCTATTAACTGGGGTTCGAGTCCTCACAGATGCACAGTGCAGTCGTTCACGCAGCTTATTTTTTCAGATCAAAAATTAAATTCAAAAATATAATTATTTACCGACAACCATATCGGAATAATTATCTTAAGAATAACACCTGACTCTAAACCAAAGAGTTCAATTGACGTCTAATAGATGTCACTAATTGCTGATATAGTCGAAATCTTCCTTAATTAAAAAATTCTCAATCAGCAAATAATTTCCTACATTAACTATACAGCTCTTCGACTAGTGTATGGGCTTGATCTGAGATTATAAGAAACGTGAACGTCCAGGCTGTGTTGGCATGGTGCATTGGTAGGCGTTAGTCCCGCGAAAGGCAGCTATTAACTGGGGTTCGAGTCCTCACAGATGCACAGTGCAGTCGTTCACGCAGCTTATTTTTTCAGATCAAAAATTAAATTCAAAAATATAATTATTTACCGACAACCATATCGGAATAATTATCTTAAGAATAACACCTGACTCTAAACCAAAGAGTTCAATTGACGTCTAATAGATGTCACTAATTGCTGATATAGTCGAAATCTTCCTTAATTAAAAAATTCTCAATCAGCAAATAATTTCCTACATTAACTATACAGCTCTTCGACTAGTGTATGGGCTTGATCTGAGATTATAAGAAACGTGAACGTCCAGGCTGTGTTGGCATGGTGCATTGGTAGGCGTTAGTCCCGCGAAAGGCAGCTATTAACTGGGGTTCGAGTCCTCACAGATGCACAGTGCAGTCGTTCACGCAGCTTATTTTTTCAGATCAAAAATTAAATTCAAAAATATAATTATTTACCGACAACCATATCGGAATAATTATCTTAAGAATAACACCTGACTCTAAACCAAAGAGTTCAATTGACGTCTAATAGATGTCACTAATTGCTGATATAGTCGAAATCTTCCTTAATTAAAAAATTCTCAATCAGCAAATAATTTCCTACATTAACTATACAGCTCTTCGACTAGTGTATGGGCTTGATCTGAGATTATAAGAAACGTGAACGTCCAGGCTGTGTTGGCATGGTGCATTGGTAGGCGTTAGTCCCGCGAAAGGCAGCTATTAACTGGGGTTCGAGTCCTCACAGATGCACAGTGCAGTCGTTCACGCAGCTTATTTTTTCAGATCAAAAATTAAATTCAAAAATATAATTATTTACCGACAACCATATCGGAATAATTATCTTAAGAATAACACCTGACTCTAAACCAAAGAGTTCAATTGACGTCTAATAGATGTCACTAATTGCTGATATAGTCGAAATCTTCCTTAATTATTATATGGATGATTTTTTTCCTAATAAAGTTATTTAAAATTTTCAAAAAAAATGTTTTATAAATATATTAAGTTTGGAAATTTTTGTATAAAAATGATGTAAATTATTATTTCTTTTTTTCAAAACTTACTTGTAAAGTATCGAGTTTATCCTGACTGCCAAGTGAATTGACAACCTGCTCATTGGTAAAAGTATAACCAGGAACTGACCATTGAACTTGTGAGACATCGTAGTTTTGAATAATTTGCACCGACGACGATGGCACCGAAATAGTTTGCGTTTCATTAACATTATTCTCCGACCACTTTCTAAATGATTCAGTGCTTTGTCCGACATTATTGTCCTGCGCTTGCATTATCGCACGACCAGCGACGTAAGTGTGAATTTTCATATGATTCGATAAACTCGACGGTCTCATGAAATCGGCACCGCAAATTGCACATTTATGTGGTCTTTCAATTTGATGATATTCCGTCATATGTGCCTGAAGAAGGGATTTTGATTTAAATAAATTACCGCAAGTCCTACAAGCGTGTGGTCTGTCAACCTGATGACACACCGTATGATTGACTAAATCAATTTTTCTCTCAAATTTCTCGCCGCACGTGCTACAGGCAAATTTATCGGGAACACAAGTCTGATGATGTTTGACGAATTCTGCCTGTGTGAATGTATTCGAACAATTGGAGCAGCCAATTTTCTTTTCATTAAAATTCGGATACATGCCACCGAGTTGCCTGAGGGCTTCGACAGCCATTGACTCATCATCGCCCGATGTATATTGATGCTCCTCCTTTATGTAAATCGGATAAACGGACGAGCCATCATCGTCATCGTCCGATTGACCGTCATTTAAAATTGTCACCGCCACGTGAGTCTCGGTGATCGTTGAATTTGTCTCATTCACTGGAATTTCAGTTAAATCATCATCGAGAACACATTCCTCGACAGGTTCGCATATTTCCTCATGGGAAATAACAGTCTGTTGCATTTCATCATGAACATTGGAAAGTGGAAAAGTGACATATTCCTCATCATGGGAGTCCATGATTTTCCTTCTTTTTTTTGAGAAAAAGCGGCTTTTTATATATACGATACGAAACGCCTCCTACTAGAATGTATACACCTAGTTTCACCTTACGTCAAGTTAGGTACTGTCATTTTACGGGGATTCAAAGCGGTTTGCCGATTCATTCAAAAAAAAAACACGCACAACTATTAATTATGATAGTTAATTATTAATCGGTTATTTATATAAAAATTTCCTTCTTTTTTAGAGACACAATTTTATCACCATAAAACAATAGTTCTTTTTTTTTCATTCTTTCCCTTGCCATGAAGGAGGAGAATTTTTGTCGAAAACTTTTGACTCCATTGTGACTGGGACGAATTCTACAAAATTACAACACTTTAGATCGATTTAATGGGAAATTAAATTTTTGTGAATTGATTTGTTTACTTACGTTCTTTATTTTCACACCTATTTTTCCATTTATTAATTGAGAAGTAAAAAATTATCCAAGCAACAAGGTTATTTTAGGGACATTATCTATCAACTTGAAGTTGGCTATAGATTGTCATCAATTCGATATATCGATTGGGCAAAAGCAGAGATGGGAAGTTATTGTAATAAGAGAACGGAGCTTTATTTTTAAAGGTAAGATCACACCTTCCATTTTCATTTTTTCGCATGAGGAAAACTAAAAAAATTAATTTTCAAAGCTTTTTCTTCAAAATTACCTTGTGTTTAATAAATTATATCTTTTGTATAACAATTATTTAAGGAAATCATATTTATCTAATAATATTTAGTCTTCTTTAAAGTTAATTTAAAAAAAATTCTGCATTTTAAAGTTCCCGCTTGAAAAAGAATTCAGAAAAGTTGCGTGAGTGTAAATGCACCTTAAAGGCATTTATGCAAATGCAAAGGTTATGAACTGGTTATAATATAAAACTGGATTTTGTTTATTTATTATTACAAATATAATTTAATTTCTAAATTATTGTGTTTTAAAAGTGTTAAAATGTTATAAATATTATAGAAGTTATAGAAGAATAAAATCGGAAAATTCTCAGAAAATCTCGAACAAAATTGTATTTAAATGTGGATTTAAAAGAAAAACAGAAAACAAACATTTGAAGAAAAGCAAAACAATTAAGAAAAACAAAAGAGAAACAATCTAAAAAATTAAGTGTGACAGGTGAAAATATCAGTTTATTAAAGAAAAATATCTCAAATAATAGAAGAGATTTGAGCCTCAAAATAGTATCATTCAGAAAAATAATATCGTTAATAATATAAAAGTGATCACCCTGAGAAAAGAGAAACGAAAGTAAAAATTAAAATAAGAAATAAAAATTATTAATCAGTTAAAAAATGTTAATTACTCAAAGAAAAACGTATATTTAAAAAAAATTTTTTAACAATATTACAGGATTTAAAAAGATGATGACAATTATGAATAATCTATTATATTATTTTATTGCTTCTACTCTCAGATTGAATCCCTAAAAATAAACAAAAAGACAAGATTGTTCTTTAAAAAAAAACCTTTCGTAAATTGTTTTCCTATTTTTTCTTTTTCTTAAAAATTCTAAAACGAGTTTTGGACTTTTTCTTCTTTACTGTTATTTGATCATCAATTACTATTTTCTGTTCAGACGAAATACCAACTTCCATTTTTTCAATATTATCACAATTTTCTCCTTTAACTTCCAACAATTCATTAAATTTCGTCTCTTCTTTCTTCGAAGGAACTTCAGAATTCTCTAAATTCAACAAAGATATTGGAACCATAACAGAAGCTAAATTTGTATAAAAATAATTTTTTTCTGATAAATCGACTTTACATTTTTCTACCAATAAATTCGTTCCAAAAGTTTGTATCTCTTTCTGATGATTTACTTTCGTCTTTTCTTCTTCAAAATTCAGTAATTTCTTCTCAATCTCCGACGAAGAATTGAATAAAATTATGATTTTATTTTCCGGAATTTTCAAAAAATTTGATGCGTAATTCAAATCACCAGTAAATTTCATCGAATTTGGTGGAAAATATTTTTTTTCAGAAAAATTGCTTTTTTTCTTCAACAATAATGATGAATTAAAATGTTCACAATCCGTTGTTTCGGGAACACTTGAATTACTCGTCGTAGTAGATTCGAATACTGTTGCATATTTTCTTCCTCTTCTTTGTTTTCTTTTGATATAATTTTTTTTCTGAAACCAATTTTGTTTTCTCGCAAATTTTTTTCTTTCAATAAATTCAGTTTGTGTTGAGGAATTACGTAATAATTTACATGAAGAATTTTTTAAAAATTGATCTTTTTCGGAAAATTCCAATTTCTTTGAGATTCGTTTTCCAATTACATAGCCACTTTTATTAAATTCCACACTCAGCGATTCTTTCAGTAATATTCCACCGTCACTGCTTCTAAAGATTTTGTATAAGGAAAAATTTTTCAAATCATGAAATTGAATATTATCTTTTAAATCCTCTATTCCGGAATATTTGGAAATTTTTTCTCCATTTTTTAAATCTGAATTACTTTCGTTAGTTTTTGTCGTTTTGGAAAAATTTGCTTTGGAAACTTTTTCTTTAGTAGAATCGTTGTTGTGGACACTTTTTAATGAATCGTATCCACTGCTTTCACAGCTAGAAACTTTTTTTGTTTTCTTAATTTTCACACTAGAATCCATCTTCGTTGTTTTATTTTTACTATTCACGTTTTTATAATCTTCGTCAATAATAAGTTTTCGTATAAAATTCATAAACTGACAAGTTTTATTGTTATGGTTCGAATTTTCGCAACTTCTGTTTGTAATTATTTGATTTTCCTCTTTTTCTTCATTCTTCAGATCCGATTTTTTTGAAGAAATATTTTTATTTTTTGAAGTAGTTTCTAATAAATCTTTTCCTTTTTTATTCAAGTTTGATTTTTTTCCACATTTCGAAAAATCATTACTGATTTCACCAAGCGAATATTTTTCATTGAAGCAAAAATTTCCTTGTTTTGAAACATTTTGTTCCTTAATTTTTCCAGTTTTTAAATCAAATGAACGAATCGAGTCTGTACTGGTTGAATATAAATATCTATTGTTGCTAAACGAAATCTCACATTTTGGTTTTCTTTGTAAATTTTTTCTCGATTCCTGCAATTTTTCGAATTGTAAAGTTTGCCTTTGATTGGAACTGTAATTTTTTGGCAATTCCGTAATTTTGTAATTGTTTGGAGAATTTTTTTTAGTTTCACATTCGATTTTTTTCTTTCTAGGGGAATAAAATCCACGAGTTCGAGCCGATCCTTCAGATTTTAATTGATTAGGCAACTTCTCATTGAAAACAAAATTTGAATCCGATTTTAAAAATTCATTTTTTCGTTTTTTAATTTTATCGACATTCACTATCGTCTTTTCGTTTTTTGGAGAATTTTTTTCTTCAGTTTCATGGGTAAAATGTCGTTGGAAATATTTATTATCTGCTCTTAAATTATGACGACACTCTTTTTTTAAAGATCTTTTATTATCATCACCACTTCCAACATGAAAAATTTTACCTAGTTCATTTTTATTTTTCCTTCTTTTAGATGCAGAAATTCCAAAAATATTTCTTTCCCTTTCATTAATATGTTTATTTTCCTGCGCGTAGGTAATACTTTTTGTTTGAAAATTATCTTTTCCCAACGGGTACAATTTGCTATTTTTGAATTCATTTTCGATCTTTTTCTTTTGGCTCATACTGGAAAAATATTTTCGAGTAAAGAAATATTAAAATTTTGAAATTTTTTATAATAATTCAGGGTTGCCACGTAACCTGGAAAATCTGGAAAACCTGAAAATGTCAGGGAATTTTATAAACCTTGAAAAAACCTGGAAAAGTTAGAGAATTTGAAATGAGCAAAAGCGTGGCAACCCTGTATAGCAATTTTCGGTAAATTCGTATTTTAATTTACATACCTCTGTGGAAAATATTAAGTAATTAATTTACAATCGGACAAGAGTCATGGTGAAAAAATCCGCAATCTATTTAATATTTTTCATTCCTTAATAAAAATTCATGTCAAATTATTGTTTTCAAGATTTAAAATCATCGCGCTCAGAAGTCATGACACGTTCGGTTTCCATTAAGAAGAAATTGAAAAAAAATCTTTACAGAAAGTAAATGATTTTTATTTCAATTTATTAAAAAATGCAGTAATAATAAATTGATAGAAGAAAATAAATAAAATTATTAAAGTAAAACAAAAAAACTTCTCAGCTCGTATGGCTTTTGGAACAAAATTCAGAGGATTGATTTATTTTGAAAGTGTTGTTGTTACTGCTGCTCCGAAAAGAGAAATTAAAGCGCATGCTTCAGTTTTGTCATGATCATCTCTCACACATTCTTCTTCAATCGTTCGTGACCACGTTCATGACACAAGTCTCGTGGTGATTACTACAGCATTTGAATTCAATAAAATAAAGCATTTCTTTCAATAATATATAAGACATGGAGGCAAAACCGAAACTAACCGAAGAGCCGGTTTGGAGTAAATTGCAAACGTGCTACAAGAATAATGGTGAAAAGTTGAAAATTTTGGATCTATTTAATCAAAATCCTGGACGTTTTGAAAGTTTAAGGTGAGCTGATCATCCTTGACATGTAACCTTGAAATGACCTTTTGAATTCGATTGGAATTACTCTATTCTTTCTGGGGGGTCATGGAACTTTGACATCTTAAAGTTATATATTTGTCATGTGACTACAGTTATTTAATTCATTCAAGTTTGCAAAGTAAATTTTTATTTCCCAGATGCTTATATAGACTGTTTTCTATATATTGTTGTTTAAACAATTTTCATCCAATTTTTTCTATATAATTCATCAATATTTAACACTCAGTTGTTAGTTCGATTTTAACGAAATTTTATTTTCTACAATTTTGTTATTTTATTATAATTATACTTCTATTATTATTTTACAATTAACTTATTAACTAACATTATTGTTTTCTAATATAATAATTTACTTTTTATTGTATAAATTTCTTTGTTATTTTACTAAAATAATTTAAATAGTCTTGAGTTTCTAAAAAATTTTCTAAAAACCTTGAGTTATGAATAATAATTTTATTATGTAAAATTGCATCAGTTTTATTAAAAAATATTTCGATCTTTCTTTTCAGTTTGCATCAGCTTTACAAAACGCAATTGCAAATATGAGTTAATCCAATTATAAGCTAAAATTCAAATAAATATGAATACTTGTGAATAATTTAGAAAATTTTTAAAAAAGTTTAAATAAAAATAAAAAATTAAAAAGTGATGAAATATTTGTATTTCATAAAATTTTGAAATAGAAATTTTTTTCCAAATTTTTCTTTATAAATGTAATTGAATACAGAATATTCTAATTTTTGATTTAAAGGCTATTTTCGGTTGTTATTTATTAAAATCTACAACGAAAGTACCTACGGAATTTTAATCTATACTTTAATTTTATTTTTTTTCTACTTTTGGTTTTTAATTATTAAATTCTGCATCTAAAGTACTTTAATTAAACTCTTCATCTAATTTTAATACTTGTAATTTTTCCAAGTTTCTTAAACAGAAAATTTTTTAAATAAATGTAATATAAAAATAATTTTCAATTACAATTTTTTCTATTCCAGTTTGAAACTTGAAACTCCCGAAGATGGAGCAATTCTTCTCGATTACTCGAAAAATCGCATTGACTCTGAAGTACTGGGCCTCTTGTTTGAATTGGTAGGTAAATTTTAAGCTCTTTTAAAAAAAAGAAAAATAAATAATAATCTATTAATTTTGTCGCAAAATATTCAAAATTATCGCTAAATATAAAATAACAAGGTTGCTACGGTTCAGGGAATTTATTAGAATTACTGAAAAAAAATTTGAATTTCTAGAATTGATACAAAAGAAAAATTTTGACAAAAATACTCGTAAGTATACTTTTAAATTACAATCACCTTTTTTATATTTTCAGGCTCGAGCTCGTAAAATTGAAGCAGCTCGCGATGCAATGTTTACCGGACAGAAAATTAATTTCACTGAGGGAAGAGCTGTTTTGCATACGGCTTTAAGAAACAGAGCTAACGTTCCTATTTTAGTTGACGGCAAAGACGTGATGCCGGACGTTAATGGAGTTTTGGAGCACATGAAACAGTTTACAAATCAGGTAAACTAATAATTAATAATAATAATAATAATAATAATATAAATTTTTATCCGTGAAAATGATAAATAAAAAGAAGAATCATTTTTCAGATTTTATCCAAGGAATGGAAAGGTTTTACTGGCAAGCCAATCGAGGATGTTGTCAATATTGGAATCGGAGGATCTGATCTGGTAAATAAATAAAATAATATACATCAAGGAAAATATTAATTAGATAAAAATTAAAAATACTATTAATTAAAGAATACAATATGTAAATTAATTGCTAAATGGAATCAATTTAACTTATCAAGAAATTAGAAATATTGTAAAATTATTTCAATTTATTTTAATTAATCAATTAAATTTTTTTTAAGGGACCATTAATGGTAACCGAAGCTCTGAAACCATATCATGTTGGTCCTCGAGTTCATTTCGTCAGCAACATTGACGGGACCCACATTGCCGAGACTTTGAAGAAACTAAATCCCGAAACTGCCCTCTTTATTATTGCTTCAAAAACTTTCACGACCCAGGAGACAATCACGAACGCGACATCAGCGAAAAAGTGGCTCTTAGAACATTTGAAGAACGTTAGTTTTTATCAATTTCATCTATCAAATAATTTTCTAGTAAAAAATCAAATTTATGGTGAAAATATTCTATTTATCAGGACGCAGCAGTGGCTTTACATTTCGTGGCACTGTCGACAAATAATGCAAAAGTCAAGGAATTCGGAATCGATGAGAAAAATATGTTTGGATTTTGGGATTGGGTCGGTGGACGTTATTCACTGTGGTCTGCCATTGGTCTATCCATTAGTTTATCGATTGGTTTCGAAAATTTCGAGAAACTTCTCAGTGGTGCTTTCTATATGGATCAGCATTTCCGCACAGCTCCTTTGGAAAAAAATGTGAGAGTCATCAATTTTGTATTAACTATTTTTTTTACGACAAAAGAGGACCAAAAAGAGACTAAAGAGGTAATTTTTTAATTTTACAGGCTCCGGTGATTCTTGCCCTACTGGGTGTTTGGTACCATAATTTCTATGGAGCAGAAACACACGCTTTACTTCCGTATGACCAATATCTTCATAGATTTGCTGCTTATTTCCAACAAGGCGATATGGAGAGTAATGGAAAATACGTAACGCGATCTGGAGATACTGTTAATTACTCTACTGGTAGGTTGTTTAATTTAATTTTAATTAATTTACTTTTTAAAGAAATTGACGTTTCTATTTAGTTTATTTAGAAAATACTTCAGTGAAGTTCACAACGTTTATTATCAACAATTTAGGAGAAAATAATAGAAATAATATTTTTCAAGGCTAATTTTTATCAATTTTCACTGGGAAAACTTTTTACAAATTGGTTTGATTAATTATATGATTTTTTCGAATCTTAGGTTTCTTTTAACTTTCCTTGTCAATATTTAAAAAAAAATTCTGAATAGAAAAAGTTTATTATTTTCCATGTAAGGAAAACAAAGGTCAGGGAAGTCAAGGAAAAGTCAGGGAAAATAGAATTGGTTAGGAAAATCAGGGATTTTTATTAAAAGTTAGTACTGAAAAAAATTAAATTTTTAGAATTCATAAGAAAATTTTGAATTTTTGTGACTTTTTCGTTTGCCTCATAAACTATGAATTTGCCACGAATTCTAATACAAGTCCTTCAATTTTTTCTATTTCTGACAATAGTTTCTTTTTAAATAACTTCATTCTTTAAGAACTATCATAAATATACTTGGAAATTATGTAATAAATAAATTTACTTAAATATTTCAAAATTAATTGGATTTTATAAGAGTTGCGTTTACAATTTTCATAAATAGATGAACTTCAAAAGGTTTCAATTTGAAATATTAGAAAATTTCAATTTTGAATGAATTATAATTCTCAAATTTTTCTTAATTCAAAAATTTCCAAAATCAACTATTTTAACAAAATTTTCCAAATGAATTCAATAAATTAAACAAGCTTTTAATAAAATTCTATGCAAACATTTAATTAATTTCTTAAATAATAAAAATTTTTACGGATATTCGATTGCTTTCATAAATAATAAAATTCGCCTTTATTGGAATTCAATTATTTTCATAAATAATAAAACTCGATGCAGAATTTCAATTATTTTTAGTACAATTTTATTTATTTATTTATATGTGTTTAAGGGCACAAAGCCCTTTTGTACAAAGTACTTAACAATATTAAAACTAATTAACAACGAGTTAGCATAAAGAACGTTTACGAATTTTAATCAAATTTCTCGAAAAATGTAATCATTCTTAATAATTTTATTAAAATTCGTCAAAGGAATTAATTATTTTTAAATTTGATGGTAAAATTCTTTCCCAAAATTGAATTTTAAGAAACATTCAATTTTATTTGAAAATTTTATTTTCTGATATATTTTTAATTGAAAAATTTCCGAATAATCGAATTTTCGTAAAATTGAATTGTAAACAAAATGGTTTTGAAAATTTGCAATGAGCTTTATTAAAAAGTCAATAATTTGTCTGAAAATTAAGGCAATGTCAGGGAAAAACAAAATTTAATTTTTGTGGCAGCCCTGCAATAATAATAATATAATAATATTAATTTTATTATCATTTACCATAACAATAAGATACTTCAGTTTATGGACAAAAACTACAATTTTTTAAAATATCTAATTATAATTTTATAAAATCGTTTGTAAAATTAAATTTGTAGGTCCAATTGTTTGGGGAGAGCCAGGTACAAATGGCCAACACGCATTTTACCAATTAATTCATCAGGGAACGAGGCTTGTTCCCGCTGATTTCATTGCTCCAGTTTTGTCTCACAATAAGGTGAATAAATTAATTACTGTTTCCTCATAAAATCGTTATCTTTATTTACTTGCCATTAAATTATTCAGTCGAGTTCAATTCTTAATTATTTCCGCAAAATAAATAATATTTCTCGACAATTCATATTTTTATCGATCTCGAAAAACGGAGACAAAATTTTTCCATTTGTTTTGACCAAATTGCAAACTATTGCACAATAAACTGGATAAATAAATTTCTTTCTGTGAAAATTATTATTTCTTTTTACGAGTGTACATTTACTAAAATAATATTTATATATAATTAATAATTTTAATAATAATTTTGATCCCAAGGTTCAAGGTGATTTGCATCATAAAATTCTCCTCTCCAATTTCCTCGCACAAACGGAGGCATTGATGAAGGGAAAGAATAGTGAGCAAGCAAAGCAGGAACTTGAAAATTCCGGAATGTCTCCTGAACAAGTTAATCAAATTCTGCAGCACAAAGTTTTTGAAGGCAATCGACCAACGAACAGTATTGTCGTGAAGAAAGTTTCGCCATTCACTTTGGGTGCTTTAATAGGTTCGTAAATTTTTACAAAATTATTAATTTTTTTTTTTTTGCATTTTCATTTGATTATCTTGAAAATATTTTATTTTCTAAAATTCTACGTAAAAAATAATAAACTTCCCAAATTGTTTTTAAGTATAGAAACAAAATTTGAGAATTTTATAAATTTAATAATTAATTTAATAATTTCATGATTTCTTTGAAAAATTTTACCAAAAGGATATTTTGTTTACTAAATTTATTTCACTCATTTGTAATCAATTAAATTACTTTTGTCTCTTAACGATATTAATTAATATTTTTCTTTCAGCAATGTACGAACACAAAATTTTCACTCAGGGAATAATTTGGGATATTAATTCCTACGATCAATGGGGGTATGTACATTTTTTAAATTTATCAAATTATTATAAAAATATAAAAATAAGTTGATCATTAAAGTATTAATATCTTCAAAATTTTTTGCTAATTATATTCTTTTTCTAATTATATAAAAAAATATTTAAAAATTTTAGAAATTAATAATCACTATTTATATTCTATCAATTTTTTAAAGATATTTATTTATTTAATATACAAACGAGCGTTAAATAAAAAATATTTTCAAAAGAATTTTCAATCGCTTGTGCCTAAAAATTATAACTAAAATTAAAAATGTAATGTTTCTGAATTTTTTTAACAAATAGAAAATATTTTATTTATAGTGTGGAATTGGGTAAACAATTGGCTAAAGCCATAGAACCAGAATTAAACAGTGCTGATAAAATCACGAGTCACGATTCCTCGACGAATGGATTGATAGCTTTCATCAAAGACAATAGTAATTAATAGAAAAAATAATTGTTTACGTAGCATCGCATTGAAAAAAGAATTAGCAATAACCAATAATTTTTAAAGAATCGGAAAAATATTACGAGAATCTGTATAATTTTCACAAGTGGCCTAATCGCCTTTTAAACATTCAAAACCTAATTTAAAAGCAAAAAAAAAAGTCTCTTTCTGATTCGCGATGTCAACGTTAAATTATTTCAATCTGTGTCACGTGTGTTTATCATATATTTTGTGTTTAAAAGTATAAAAATTTATCTCATATCAAAGAAATTGAGAAAATTTCTGTCAAAAGTGGAGAAACAGAATTAATAAGAAATTCGAATTCTATCGATTTTTAATTTTTTTTCTGAATATCGCATTCTAGTCAATTCATTGTCAACTGAAGATTGTTTAAATTTTCTCTATTATTGTATTTAATACGAAAAATATTTATACAGATGTCGCATATAATTATAGATTTGGGAAAATTTATTTTACTTGTATTTAAATGCTGCTATTTTTTAAATGAAAGATGTTGAAAATATAATATTGTAAACTAATGTTGTCGATCGTTCATGAACAGTTGTTATACAATAAAGAACTAAGATTTGAAACATTGACTTCCAACTTTAATTTCATAATTTGCTTCCTTCTTTATTGATATATTTATTTACACATCTTCATCCATTTGATTTAATCGACAATTTTGTATTTACTATTTATTTATACTATTTTTTTTATTGTAATAAAATTTTCCAAAAGAAATCAATTATTTTAAAAAAATGTTTAATAAAATCCTCAGCAAACATTTAACTATGTTCATAAATAATAATATTCTTTTTAGGAATTCAATTATTTTTATAAATAGTGAAACTTCGCAAAATTTCAATTATTTTTAATAAAATTTTGATCTAATTTCTCGAAAAACATTTAAAAATAATTATTCTTAAATGTTTTATTAAAATTTCTTATAAAAATAATTAAATTATTTAAAAATTTGTTGATCAACTTCTTTATTAGAATTCAAAGATTTTAAGAAACATTCAATTATTCAGTATATTATTTATTTTTGTATTTAAATAATTCTTCTCTGAAATTAAATTATTTTCAAAAATTTTAATAAAATTCTTGGCAAAATTTTAATTATTTTAAAAAATATTCCTCATTTCAATGATTTACAATATCTACTATTTGAATAAAATTTTCCAAATGAATTGAATTATTAAAATAAAAATTTTAATAAAATTTTACGCAAATAATTATTTTCATAAATAATAAAAATTTCACAGAAATTCAAATTATTTACAATTTTTTTTTATAAATTTCTTTGAAATAATTCAATTATTATTATCATATAATAAAATTATTTGTAATGCAATTTTAACCAAATTCCTCGAAAATTGTAAATGTTTTTAAAAATTTTATTAAAATTCTTCAAAAAAATTCAACTATTTGAAAATTTGTTGATAAAATTCTTTATGAAAATTCAATTTTAAGAAGTAATTTATTTAAGAAGAATCTTATACGGGCAGTAATCAATTATTCAATAAATTATTTATTTCTATAATTAAAGAATTGAATTCTCGCGTAGAATTTTTTAATATAAATTGATTTAAAAGTGAGTTTTAGTTAAAATTTTAAATAATAATTACAATTATTAAAAGTATTATACCTATCATGAATTTTTAGAAATAATTGAATTTTGAAAAGGTTTCAAATTAAAATCTTTGACAATTTGAATTTTTCATACTTTTAACATACAATTCTGTAGAATTAAATGTTTCGAAAAATTTTAATTGAATTTTGTTTTAAATTATTTAAAGTAATTATTTTCTAATATACATTTACTTGAAGCATATTTTCAAATAATTGAAATTTCGTACAATTTCAGAAGCAAATGAATTTGAAAATTTTCAAAGAACTTTTTCAAAAATTATTAAAAATATAGTTGATTTAGAAAAAAATTTTTGTTAAAAATTCTAGAAAATAATAATTGAGTTAAAATTATGAAAATAATTTTGAAGAAGTTACAGTGACAATACAGTCAACTCTCGATAAGACAAACTCGAAGGAAGACCGAAAAAACTTTGAGTTATCGAAAAGTTTGAGTTATCAAATGTTAATAATGCTTATAAGGAATGAACGGGACCAAAGAATTACTTCTCATGCATTTTAAGATTTAGTTCTGATATTTGTAGGTATAAAATGTTTCAGTTGATAAATAAATAAATAAACAATGTCTAATTATTTCTAAAAAATATTATTTTATTTCAAATCGAGTTTAACAAAAATTTGCGTATATTACAGAATTTGATGTTGATATTTTTATATGTATCGAATACATAATTAATATTCTTCTATAAATGTAGTAATAAATACTAACAATAATTAGAATACGTAATTATTAAAATTATTCCTTCTAAAAGTGTATAAAAATGTAACGCAGATTAAAATTTACATAATACAGATTTTTAAATACATTCAAAAACTGGGATGGTCCACAAATTATAGACGCTGAAACATTAAGAAAATATGAATAATTATTAATTTCGAAAATGAGAGTAAAATAAATTGAGAAAGTAGAAATTATTTTTTAAATAAATAAAAAATTGTAAAAACAATAATGAAGTCAATAAATTACAAAGTTAATATACGGTAAATTAAAAATATTACAAATTTTAATAAAAAAACTAAAAAAGTCTTTAAAATATTATTTTTAAATAAATTAAATATTAAAATTTTTAAAATTATTATAAACTTACGGGATGTGGTGGTCTTGGCTTAATTGGAATTGGACGAGGTTTAGGCATGTTTCCTGGTTTTCCTGGCTCTCGTCGAACACGCTATAAAAAAATAAAATTCATTTAGTTTTTTTTTGTTTTTGGAAATTGGCTTTTTTTAATTTTATTCTTCCTTAAGAAAGAAAAAAAGAAAAATAAATTTGCAAAACTCATGAAAAAAGGAAAAAATTATAAATTTATTGAGAAATAATGTCTTCTCACCTCCAATGGACTTAAGGATTCTTCTGCAACTACTTCTTCTTCTTGTGCAACATCACGGCCTTGACGCTGAAAATTTATTTATTTCTTTATTAAACGGAATTAACCAAATTGCTTTTTAAAGTTTAAAAGAAACCTTCTCTCAAATAAAAATTAACAAGGAAAATTTTCCATATTTCTAAAAGTGTTGAAATAGTGACAAAAAAAATTAAAAGAAATAAAAGAAATATTTTGTATTTATTTTTTTAAATTTTTCTACTTTATTAATAAAAAAAAGTTTACCTTATTTGGGAATGGACGAGGTACAGGCATAGTTCCCAAATGTCCATGGTTAAGAACTGGATTTGGACTGTTTGGTTCCCGTCGAACACGCTGAGAAAATAAAATTTATTTTATATATATTCGTCATTATTACATTTTTGTAAAAATGTTAAAAAAAATTATAGAAAAGATTGACAAAAAAATGTATTCTTTAGTCTTATAATAATATTTAAAAAATTGTTTTCACCTCTAATGGAAGTAGAGATTCTTCTTCCTCGATGAAACTTTCCAAATCTTCATCTTCTTCGGCTTCACGACGAAGACGCTAAAAATTAAAAAAGAAATTATTTTTTCAATTTCAAATAATTTCGCGAAGGCAATTTTCTAACTATTTCTCCGAACTTTGGAATATTGCCAAGAAAAATCTATATTCTAAATATTATCTTAAAATTCTTTAAAATAATTAAATTATTTTGACGAATTTATTTCAATATTCTTAAATAATGGAGTTTTTTAAAATAATTTTTACTGAAAATTTTGAAAGTAAGTGAATTTTATGAAGAATTTCTTTCAATTTTCTAAAATAATCGTGTTTATTATTAATTGCAATTAATAATTTTTCTATTAAATTATATTAAAATTATTCATAGAAAATTAAATTTTTTTAAACAATTTTTTTAGAGATTTTGTAAACAATTACATTTTTTTTTTTGAAGAATTTATTAAATTTCGTAAAAATAATGTAATTTTTTTGAAATACTGTTAATTAAAAATTTTGAAAATAATTGAAATTTACAAAGAATTTTATTAAAAAATTTTTATTAAAATTCTTGAAAATATTTGAATTTAAATAATATTTTTAAAAGTAATTGAATTCTTCCTAAACATGTTATGTTTTATGAAAATAATTATTGAATTCCTTTGAAGAATTTCATTATTTATGAAAATACTTTAATTCTTGCGAAGAATTTTTTTTATTTACAATCAGAAATTAAATTCTTGACAAGAATTTTACAATTTATAAAAATATTTGAATTGTTCCGAAGAATTTTATATCAGAATTTTTGAAAATAACTGAATTTCTTTGAAGAATTTTATTATTTATGAAAATATTTTAATCTTGCGAAGAATATTCTTATTTATAAAAATAATTGAATTCTTGGGGACGATTTTATAATTCCTATAAAAATAATTGAATTGTTTCGAAGAATTTTATTAAAATTTTTTAAATTAATTAGTAAATTAGTTAATGATTGGATTTTTTTAAAGTTTGAGTCTGAAATTATTCAAAAATTCATATTTGAAAATAAAAAATTATGTAATTTGCATAATAATAATAAATTAAATATCACATTTGCTAGTATAAAAAAAAATTTCATACTGTTTACACGATTGAATTTAAAATTTCGAAAATACAGAATTAAAATAAAAGGAAATTAAGAAAAGTAAAAGAAATGAGAAAATATTGAAAAAATTGACTTTTGGAAATTTTTTCTAAATATTTAATATAATTTTTTTTTTAAAAACTTACCGGATGTGGTGGTCTAGGTCTAATTGGTATCGGACGAGGTCTAGGCATATTTCCTGGTTTTCCTGGCTCTCGTCGAACACGCTATAAAAAAATAAAATTAATTTATTTTCTCTTTGTTTTTGCAGATTGACTTTCTTCAATTTTATGTATAAATTTTTTGTTTACCTCCAATGGTTCACTGTCCTCTACAAAACTTTCCAATTCTTCAATTTCTTCGTCTTCAGCTTCACGACGAAGACGCTGAAAATTACAAAATTTACGTTTTTACCTTCCTTTTCATTAAAATTGTTTTCTCAAGCACTTTACATAGAAAATGGAATTTAAATAAATAACAAGAAAGTAAATAAATTTTTTCAATTTTACTAATTGTAAAAATAATTGAATTGTTTTGAAGGAATTATTAAAATTTTAGAAAATAATTGAATTTTGTCGATAATGTATTAAAAAATTTAAAAAAACTGAATTCAATAAATTATTGTGGAAGAAAAATATCGATTAAAACTGAATTCTTTCATGAAATTTTAATTAAAACTGTCTTAAAAATAATGGAATTGTTCCAAAGGATTTATTAAAATTTTAGAAAATAATTGAATTCTTTTGAAAAATTTTATAACGAATTAAGAAAAAAATTGAATTCTTTCGTGAAATTTTATTGACAATAATTGAAGTTTTGCAAAGATTTTACTATTTAAAATAATTGTTTCGAAGGAATTATTAAAATTTTAGAAAATAATTTTGAGTTAAATTTTACTAAAATTTTGTTGAAAATAATTTTACTATTTATAAAAATAATTGAATTCTTACGAAGAATGTTATTGTTTATAAAGATAATTGAATTCTTGATAAGAAGGTTTTGTTATAAAGATTGCAAACTAACTCTTTAGATTCTTCTTAAAGTTTTTTAAGGTTTTCTTCGGCTTCTAACAATTTCTCCGAACTTTGAAGTATTGACAAGAAGAAAATATACATTTTCATGCTGTTTACACGATTGAATTTGAAATTTCGAAAATAAAAAATTAATAAAAGAAATGAAAAAATATTGAAAAAAATTGACATTTCGAAATTTATTCGAAATATTTAATATAATTTTTTTAAACTTACTGGATGTGGTGGTCTAGGTCTAATTGGTATGGGACGAGGTCTAGGCATGTTTCCTGGTTTTCCTGGCGCTCGTCGAACACGCTATAAAAAATAAATTTTACTTAGTTTCTTTTTGTTTTTGCAGATTGACTTTCTTCAATTTTATGTATAAATTTTTGTTTACCTCCAATGGTTCACTTTCCTCTACAAAACTTTCCAATTCTTCAATTTCTTCGTCTTCAGCTTCACGACGAAGACGCTATAAATTACAAAATTTGTGTTTTTACCTTCCTTTTTATAAAAATTATTTTCTCAAACTCTTTATATAGAAAATGGAATTTAAATAAATAACAAGAAAGTAAATAAAGTTTTTTTTTAAAAACTTACTGGGTGTGGTGGTCTTGGTTTAATTGGAATTGGACGAGGTTTAGGCATATTTCCCGGTTTTCCTGGCTCTCGTCGAACGCGCTAGAAAAATTAATATTTTTATATTATTTAAAATTGTAGAGGAATTATTAAAATAATTTATATTTTGGCAATTTATAATATTTTTATAATTTACAATATTTATATTGATTTATAACTTTTTTTTAATTTATATTTTTTATATTAATTTATAGCTTTTTTATAATTTATAATCATATAAAAAGAAAAAGTTTATTATAAAAGAAGAAAATTGTAAATTCGTAAAGACAAAAAAAAATTATACATTTTTCTTAAAATTTATTTAATTTTTCTTTTTACCTCCAAGGGAGTCAAGTATTCTTCTGCCTCTTCAATGTTTTCTATCTCTTCAATTTCTTCACCAGCTTCTCGGCGAAGACGCTGGAAAATTAAATATTTTTTTCAAAAATTGACATTGGCTACAATTTTTTTCACTTGACAGAAATAAATATATCATAATAAAGACATTTTTTTTTTTGTAAATAATTGAAAAATGAATATAATTTTTTGAAACTTACCGGATGTGGTGGTCTAGGTCTAATTGGTATCGGACGAGGTCTAGGCATATTCCCCGGTTTTCCTGGTTCTGCCTGACATGCCAAAACGGCAAAGGCAAAAAGTGCCATTAAAATTAAGGCACCACTATATTTCCTCATGTTTACTTTGATCTAAAAGAATAAAATTTATTTTAATACAAATAATGGAAACAGGTAATTAATTCTATTTTTGGTAATTAATATTTTTAAATAATATTTTTGAGTTCATATTTTCAATTAAAATTTTTAATTCATATTTTGAATTCATATTTTGAATTCATATTTTGAATTAAAATTTTTAATTCATATTTACAATTAAAATTTGTAATTAATATTTCTAATTTCTAATTAATATTTTTAATTAATATTATATTAATTACTATTTTGAATTAATATTTTTTGTCTATTATTAAAATAAATATAAAGAACTTCTGTTATTTTTTTTCATTAGGATAATAATTAATTAAAAACTGCTTACTTGTTGACAATTTAATGATTGTACTGCTTGAAAGCTGACTTCGGTATGATTTGCTTATTGAAATAAGAAGCTTTATATATAGTTCGAACTATCCAACATATATATATATGTGAATAAAAATATTATGCATTTATTTGTATGCACAGTCGTTACTCTCCGGCTTCAGGGAATCACACACAGAGCAGATATGAATCACTACGAACAGCTTACAAATTAAATCAATTTCTTTTTTTTTCATGCTTTTCCTTATGTTATTTCTTATCAAACAGATTGGAAGCGTAATTTACTCTTTCACACTTGAGGACATCCCCTTAATTTTTATTACATTTTATACGCAATAATAATAATAATAATAATTGTTGATATTCATTTGTCATATTATAAACATTATTTACATAATTATATAAAATTAATATTTATTATTGTTAATAATAATAGTAATAATAATAATAATAAAATAATAATAATAATATAATAATGATGATGACATAATTATTATAAATAATGAATAATTCTTGTTATTGTACAGACTTCGAACTCGATAATTAATTTTAAAAAAGTAGTAAAAAGTAGATTTGAAACTAAAAAAGTAGTAATTCCTGCAACAATAATTGAATGTCTGTGGGGTATTTTATTAAATTTTTTTGAAAATAATTTAATTCCTAAAAAGTATTTTATTATTTATGAAAATAATTGAATACTTGAGAACGATTTTATTAGAATTTTTTAAAATAACTGATTTTATGTGGAAAATTTTGTTATTTTTTAAAATAATTGAATTTTTGTGATAAATATTGTATATTTATGAAAATAATTGAATATGCAAAGAATTTTACTAAAATGCCTCCAAATAATTGAATTTTCGGGAATAATTTTGTTATTTATCGACATAATTGAATTCTTTTGAAGAATTATTTATATGTAAATAATTAAATTCTTGGGAAGAATTTTATTAAAATCTAAAAGAATAATTGGATTAATTCAAAAAAATGTAATTAAAATTGTATTGATTTTTTTTGAACAATTTTATTAAAATATTTGAAAATAATTGAATTCCTGTGAAAAATTCTAATATTTTTGTAAATAATTAAATTTTATTAAAATGTTTAAAAAAAATTGAATTTCTGTGAAAAATTTTGTTATTTTTTAAAATAATTGAATTCTTCATAAGAATTTTATAAACATTGTTTTAAATATAATTAGTTTTTTCAGAATATAATAAATATTATGAAAATTTTATTATAAATAATTGAATTCTTGTGGAAAATTTTATTTGTGAAAATAATTGAATTTTTTTATTAATCAATTTAAAATAGTATTATAAATAATTGAAATTCCTGGATGAGTTTTATTATTTATGAAAATAATTGAATTGTTGCTTAGAATAAATTTTGTTAAATAATTGATTTTTTTATATTGTTTTGAAAATGCTATTCTAAATTAATTATTGATAATTTATTTTCATCTTAAATTGTATTTTATTGTTATTATAATTTTATATATTTATTTATTTATTTATACGTACATATTATTTTATTATAATGTAATAACAATAAAATGTTTAACAATACTCAATTTAATCAATTTTTAATAATAGTAATTATTATTATTATACCTAATTATTATACTAATTAATTAGTATTAAAATTTTTAAGGAATTTATTAAAATTGATTTTTATAAGTAAAATAAATTAAAAATTTGTATTTTTTTACTTTTGTATTTATTATTTAAAATAAATAATTCAATTTATCTAACATTAAATACACATTCCGTAAAAACATAGTTAAAATCGTTATAAATTGTATGTATTATTAATAATATTAAATATATTATAAATTAATTATATACGTATGAAATAATTATACCTAATATGTTTTTAATTATACAATATATATATATTTTTATTTTAAGCAATAAAAGTATATATAACTTAACAAAGAACTCGGGGAATCACTTATTGCAATACATACGTTGAGAAGGAAGAAATAGTTCAAAACTTTACTTATCACTTATCAATAAAATCAACATAAATCTGTACTTTCTATAAAAAGCGTTAAAAAATATTTAAAAATTTTCATTACATTAAAATTTTCATTTTTAGACTTTATATAAAAATGGTAAAAATGTTAAACTTACAGAATTCATGAGGTGAGAAAAAATTTGATTTCTTTCTGTACATATAAGTCTTTTTTTAAAACTTTTTTATCATAACATTATTTTTAGGGTAATTTTTTGTGATGAATTCAATAGCTATAAAAAATGAATCAAAAAACATTATTTTAACCCTTTTCGAATTTTTATTTTTTCTAAAAATTGGTACATTTAGAAATTCATTCTCAAAAATTTGTAGAAAATATGTTTTTGTATCAACAAAAAAAATTGACGAATCAAATATTTGATTTTTTACTATATTTGAAGCATTTTTTCTTAAAAAGAAAATAGCCTTTAGGCTAAAAAGTCATTTGCTTATTTTTCTAACAAATTTCAAATCATAATTTTTTATATAAGAAATAAACTATATAAAAAATTTATTTGATTATTTTTCTTAATAATTTCAAATCATAATATTTTATATAAAAAATAAAATTGTATACAGAAAAATTATGTTTTGAAATTTTTAAAAATAAACACATGAATTTTTAAATAGGTACAAAAATTGAATTTATAGCAATAATAATTTTTAACATTTTCAGCCTAAAAACAATTTTCTTTTCAAGAAAAAATGCTTCAAAAATAGTAAAAATCAAATTTTTCATTCGGCAATTTTTTTGTTGATACAAAAACATTTTTTCTACAAAATAACGCATGGCTCTTCAATGTCTACCAATATGTAGAAAAAATAAAAATTCAAAAATTGTTAAAATATTTTCTGACCGATGTTATTTTTTTATTATGGAAATCCCTCACGAAAAATTACGATAAAAATAATTTTTTATTTTTATATTATTTATTATGAATCTTTAAATTACTTAATTATGAAATATGATAAAGTTTAATTAAAAACAAAACATCTTAAATATAAAAACATTGACGTAAAAATAAGATTATTATAAATTTTCTATCTTAAAATTAACTGTGATGGTTATGTGAAAAAAATCATTACTTTGTTTTAATTTCTCGAAATAAGAAAATAGGGATTTATCAGGTTTTGAAAACTTGCTTCTCAATTATCATAGTGGTTTCTAAACATTGTATATCGAATCTCAAAAGTTTAAATATTTTCAAATAATTCTCTAAAATGTGCTAAAAACACATTTTCAAAAATCGATTTACCACTTTTTGATTCCATAGCCAAGCTGTAAATTTTTGATTAAAGAAATTAATATATATTTATTATCAGACTTCCTTGTTGTAAGAATTTTTTCATTTTTCCCTCAGTTTTACTGCCGTATATCTTGATGTATTTATTGATAATCAAATTCTCAAACTGTGACTATTAACATAGTTTTCTCAAGATGTCAAATAAATTTTAGTCTCTTGAATGATAAGCAAAATAAAATCTGATAACTTTATTTTTTCTTATTTCTTAAATTATAAATTGTAAAAAAAATGTTTAAAAAATTTATATTTTATTTTATATCTGTTATATCTTATGAATAAAATGAAAAAGAAAAAATTAAATCAAAAAAATATTTAAAAGTTAAGAAAAGTTAAGTTAAAATTTAAGTTTTTTAGAAAAAGTAAATTTTAATATTCAGTTTAATATTTTTACAATCTTAATCTAATAAATAAATTTAAGTTTTCTTTACAATTATTATTTTACATAATATTTTTAAACGAATATGAAACGTTCCTCTTTTTTTAAATTCTTTAATTTTTTTTTTAAATTTTAAATTTTTTATATTAAATTTTAAATAAACTCTGCTAATTTTTTTTTTTTTTGTTATTCGATGGGTAGCAAAGTGCTACTAAGTTCAACATATGCTTTCTGCATAATTTCCATCTGTGAAAGGGAATGAAAAATTATTTCAAATTTTCATGATAAAAAGAAAGGAAATTAATTCTATCTTACCCTATTAACGGCACGTGTTAATTTTTGTCTAATGTTCCTCAAATTTCTCGTACGTCTCTCCTTTTGCGCAATTAATCGTCGATTCTTACGTCGTTGGGCACTATGTTCTTTGTAAATTTTCAATTGACATTCCTTACATTTTTTGCTTGCAGTTACATTTTTTCGAAGGTAAAAACCATTCTCACAATGACCATCTATGGAGTTACTACACAAATTCATAGATACAATTTTTATCATTGCGATCCTTAATTGTTGCAGATTCATTATTTTCTCTATTAGCGGAGATTTTGCAATGTGATTATTGGCCCGTAACTTGAAAAAAAAATAATTTAAATATTATTTTCTAAATAAAAAATTTAACTATTAGGTTAAAATAATGTTTTCTATTTATGAAATTAAAGTTGACAAAGTTTATATCTAGAAAAAAAATTATAATTTATCAGTAAATATTGTCTTCCACGCGTCTCAATTTGATGGAAAATTTTTTTAAGGAAACATTGAAAATAATTAAACAGTCCTCGGATCGAATTTAAGACGCAAGAAAAGTTGTTTTAGTCGATTCAAAGTGCAAAAAAAAGTCGAAAAACTCGTTTATTATATTCAAAGTTGTTGTCAAAATTGAAAATTGTATTTTCTTTTACCTTTACTTTTCCCGTTTTCCAGACAAATATTTAGCTTTTTCTTTATCCCAATAATAACTTAAAAATTAAATTAAATTCTTTAAATTCAATTTTTGTAAAATTCAATTCTCTTCAAATAATTTATTCATTCTTGAATAATTTATTCATTGTAACATTTTTCTTCAATGCACACGATTACTTTTAAAACATTGTAAGAAATTTATTAAAAACAAAGTTTATATGAATAATAAAAATTTAATTATTTTTAGAAATAAAGACTGTAATTCTTTTAAAATTCAATTATTTCCTAGAATTTTCAACTAAATTTATTCAAAAGTTTACTAATATTTTCAAACAGGTATTTAAATATTACTTTTTTGTTAAAACTGGCTTTTAATTATTTGATGATGATGATAATGATTATATTTAATCATCTTTTATTATTCTAAACAATCAATTATATGAATTTTTAAAAACTACGATTTTTTTTAAAACATTTTTTTAAGAATAAAGAAAATTCTATCAAAAACTGTTTGTATTAAAATTTTTGAAAATAATTGAACTGTTATGAAGAATTTATTTGAATTTTTGAAAAATAATAGAGTTTTTTTAAAAATAATTTTGATTGAAAATTTTAAAAGTAATTTTCGAAAGAAATTCTTTATAGGTAAAGAATTTTTGTTTAATTTTTAAAATAATCGTGTTTATTAATAATTATAATTAATAATGTTATTATTAAATTTAATTAAAATTATTTATAGAAAATTAAATTCTTTTAAACAATTTTATTAGAGTTTTCATAAATAATTGAATTTTTTAAAAGAATTTCTTGAAAAAATAATTTAGCTATTATAAATAACTAGCAAATGACACGTGTGCCAGCGCGTGGAACGCGGTATTCCGTTTATTATTATTTTGTAAATTAAAAAATTTTATATTTTCAAGTATAAACATCAGTTTTCAAAATGATTAAAGAATCAAAATTTAAAGAATTCACTTATTAAGTACATAATATATTAAATATTCTTGTTTATTATTCAAAACAAATTTTTCGCATGAATTTAATTATTTTCATAAATAATAAAACCCATCGCAGAAATTCAATTATTTTCAATACAATTTTAATAAAAATTATCGAAGGAATACAATTATTTTTAAAAATATTATTTAAATTCAATTAATTTCAAGAGTTTTAATAAAAATTCTATTATTTTCAACAATTCTGATAAAATTCTTCGAAACAATTCAATTATTTTCAACAATTCTGATAAAATTCTTCAAAACAATTCAATTATTTTTATAAACTGTAAAATCCTCCGCAAGAATTCAATTATTTTCATAAATATGAAAATTCTTCGCAAGAATTAAAATATTTTCATAAATAATAAAACTTTTCCAAGAAATTCAATTATTTTCATAAATAATAAAATGTTTCGAAAAAATTCAATTATTTTTAATACAATTTTAATAAAATTTTTCGAAAGAATAAAATTATTTTTAAAAATACTATTTAAATGCAATTATTTTCAAAAGTTTTAATAAAAATTCAATTATTCTTAACAATTTTGATATAAAATTCTTCGAAACAATTCAATTATTTTTGTAAATAATAAAATTCTTCTGAGAAATTCAATTATTTTCAGATACAATTTTAATAAAATTTCTATAGAAAAATTTAATTATATTTAAGATAATTTTAATAAAATTTCTCTAACAGGTTCAATTATTTTTAAGAGTTGTAATAAAATTTTTCTAAACAATTCAGTTGTTCTCAAAAGTTTTTAATAAAATTCCTTGTAAATTTCAATTAATTTCAAAATATTCAACTAATATTACTTTAAAAAATTACATTATTTTTACGAAATTTAATGAAATTCTTTAAAAAATGAGGTTTTTTAAAAATAGTAATTTTTGAAGATATATTTGAAATCCCGAAAATAATTTTAAATAATTGCAACAAATTGGAAATTTTGTAAAATTTTATATTTTTTAAAAATATTTCCTTTTTTCATCTTTAAAAATTTTCTATAAATACTATAATTTTACTTTTGAAAATACATTATTTTATGAATTTATAAAAGTTATTCTATTTAAATAATTTAATTCTCGTCGTTGAATTCTGATAAAATAATTTTTTAAATTAGAATGTAAAAATTATTAATTACGTTACTTTTCTTTAAAAATTCTTAAAGTTTTGAATAATGTAATTCAAAAATTCTAAAAAAAATAATTGGATTTTGGAAGAATTACAATTGCAATTTTTAGAAATAATTAAACAAAAGGTTTTTCATTGAAATTATATGAAATTTTAAATCCTGTCGAAAAATAAATAAGAATAAGTTTTTAATTTTTTGTTTAACAAAAAGGTATTGAAGTTTTTAATAATTTAATTCAGAAATTTTGAAATAATTGTTTCTTGAAAAAATGTAATTAAAATTTTTTAAAAATAATTGTATTTCCGAAAATAATTTTAAAAAATTGAAACAATTGAAAATTTTGTCAAATTTCATTGAAATAAATTTTATATCTTAATGAATTATATTTGTTTACTTTTAAAAAATGTTTTGAAATATAATCGTATTTTTGAAGAATTCTAATTAAAAATTTGGAAAATAATTGAATTTAAAAAAAAATTAGAATAAACTTATTACCACTGGAAAGTTCAATTATTTAATCAAAAATATCTTACGTTCAAGTTGCTGTTAGAAATATCTTGGCGATTTCTATACGAGTTGTAACTTTAATTTTACTTTTGTACTGCAAAAAATTCAATAGATAAAAAAAATGTGTATACCTCGACAGTCATGTCCTCGTTGACAAAAATAGATCGTGTTATTGTGCTGGGAACATCTCCAACATATCCAAAGAATACACCCTCAGGACTATCAATCATTCCCCAATATTTTGGAAATTCATTAACATTTCGATAATTCCAGTCCCACATTAATATTGCTTTTGAATATTGTACAGTTGAATTTGTTGAAGACAATGCACTTTGTATTGGTATCGAAGTGCAATTAGAATTAACTGGTGATTCATTAACAGGATGCGATGAATTCAAAGCCATAAGTTCATTGACAATATTAATTCTTCTCAAAGACGAAGGTGACAAATCTCTTTCATTTTTTCTCTTCTTTCCACGTTGTGAGGACGATTCAGTTTCTGACTTTATATTGGAATTCTCATTTTTCTTGTTAGTTTCATCAGCAAAATGCACTTCAGGTTGAAAAACTGATGGAGATTCTGAATGAACTTCACTTATTTTAATAATATCGGAACTGGGCAAATTCACATTAGAATTATTATTATTATTAATTATTCCATTATTCGCAAAGTTTAAATTAGGAAAAGTAGCAAACTGGAATAGAAAATTATTGTTAAAAAAGCAATAAACAAAATATATTGTTGAATACAATTTAACTAGAATAGAATTAATAATATTTTACTAGTAATAAAATAGACACTTACTGTAGCCACTTTATTGAGTTGACTCTTTTCAATTTGATTAAGTTTCTTGAGTATCAATACTTCGGTACAATTTGGAGAACTTGGCTTCGGCCTTGTTGCAAACGTGTAATTGGACAAATCAGAAATCTGTTTGAAAATGTGAAAAATTAATAAAAAATTAATTACTCTTTAGATTTATTTTGATAACTAATTTTAAAAAATACTAGAAAATAATTTTTAAAAAAATAAGAAAATGTTTCTTTTTTTGCAAATCTTTTTTTTTACTTATCGCAATTTTTAATCTATATTTCTAAGTTTTCAATTTTTAATCTTTTCAGTTGTCTCTAGGCTTTTTTTATTTTTAAATTTAAAAATTATTTTTAAAATATAGCCTGTTAAATAATAATAAGCCTGTTAAAATTGAGAAAAAACTTACTGGAATCGTTGATTGCAATTGATTTGTGTTTGGATTGAGTTTGACAATATTGTTAATAGTTGCTTGAGCGGTTCCATTTTGATCGATTGTCATAATTCTCGTAGGAGGCTAAATATTTTTAAATTCCAATTATCAAGAACCATATAATTTTTACTTTTTACCAAAAAACACTCATAAGCGGCAATTGAAAGTAGAAAAAGACTTGAATGTAAAAAAAATTAATTATAAAAACTTACCGTAACTGTTGACAATAATTGACTCGTATTAGAATTTTGATTTTGATTTGTAATTTTTGCAATTGTTGGTGAAATAACAATTCCATCATTTCGATTAATTATTAACGTTCCTCCCGTATTTATTGTTGTCGGCAGTTGATTCGATTCAGTGTTTAGTTTAACAATATTATTAATTGCTGGATTCACTGGATTAATTATTAAAGTTCCTCCTTTATTTATTGTTCCTGGTAGTTGATTTGCTTCAGTTTTTATTTTAACAATATTATTAATTGATTGTTTCACTGGATTAATTATTAACGTTCCTCCTGCATTTATTGTTGCCGGTAGTTGATTTGCTTCAGTTTTTATTTTAACAATATTATTAATTGATTGTTTCACTGGATTAATTATTAACGTTCCTCCTGCATTTATTGTTGCTGGTAGTTGATTTGCTTCAGTTTTTATTTTAACAATACTATTAATCGCTGGTTGCACTGGATTAATCATTAACGCTCCTCCTGTATTTATTGTCGCCGGCACTTGATTTGCTTCAGTTTTTATTTTAACAATATTATTAGTTGCAGATTTAACGAATTCGTCATTTTTAGAAAGCGATATTTCACATTTATTTTTATAATTATTTATATCGCTATTTGCAAATGTAAAATTGGGAAAAGCAGTCAACTATAAAATAATAAAAACAAATTAATATTAATATAAATCGCAAAAGACATGAACAATAGTGAATAGGGTTGCCACGCTTTTGCTTATTTCAAATTCCCTGACTTTTCCTGGTTCTCCAGGTTAAAAAACGGAATTTTTTCAAGTTTTTAAAACTACATTTATATTTTCCCAAATTAAATAACTTCCTGATTTCCAGACAAAACTTTGACTTTTTCCCTGACTCTAAAGAATATTCTGATTCACTCGCAAAATAATTAGATACACAAAAAAATGTTTTTTTTAAACTTTAGATAACAATTTTCCAGGATTTCGATCAAAATTCCCTGACTTTTCCAGGTTTTTTCAGGGTTTACAAAATTCCCTGACATTTTCAGGTCTTGCACTCTCTTAATTTGAATCAGTTAAAAATCATGGTTTTAACTGAAAATCAGTGACTGACTTTTTGCTTCTGAATCAGTTAAAAATAACTGATTTTCAGTGAAAAAATAAATAACTGATTTTCAGTAAAAAATAATTGAAAAATTAGTTAAAATTAATAAATTTAAATTAATAAATAAAAATTAATTAATTAATTAATTAATTAGTCAAAATAAAATTTACTGAAACATCAGTTATTTTTAACTATAGAATTAGTGACAGACTTTTTGCTTCTAAATCAGTTATTTTTAACTGATTCAAATTTAGAGAGCAGGTTTCCAGGTTGCGTGGCAACCCTAAGTGTAATAAATAAAATAACAATAACAATAATAAATAATTAATAAATTTCTTTTAAATCAATTTTATAATTAAAATAAAATAATTTTTCCAATTAATTACTTGAGAAATTTACAAATGTAAAAAATTGGAAAATAACTTACAGAATTTGAGGATTGAAGATTACTTGTTTCAAGATTTGATTTATGATTAATAACATTTAGTGAATTCAAAGAAGGATTTTCATTTTTTACAAGCGTACATAATTTATTATTATTTTCCACTTGCTTCGTTTTCTCCCAATTACTCGGTGGGGAATGTGAGACATTTTGTTTAATTTTACGTCGTTTAATAATGGTATTTTCATCTTTAAAACTATCCGCGAAAGTAAATTGAGGAAATTTAGAAATCTGCATTTTATTGAAAAAAGAATTGAAATTAAATATTAAAAATCATGTTCTGTCTCAATGCATACAGGGTCTTTAGTAAAATTTTAAAAAATCCCGAACTACTTTAAACTCTTTTTACAATAAATTCATCTTTTAGCTAATATAATTAATACTATTAATATATAATACAATTTTCTAGAATCTTGAATAACCCAACTATTTCTATTTATATAAATAAAATAACTTACAGGAATTTCTGGCTGACTTGAATTTTCATCGAGTTTTGATTTCTCCAAATTTTCAAGTTTTATTTCATTTGAATCAGTTTTTCTTTTTGCTCGCCTTCTTCTTTTTACAGGCGGTTTCTTAATATCAAAATCCGAAAGTTGCAAACCATCGCCTTCAGTTTCATTAGATTTTAATTTTTTCTTATAATTATTAGAATTAATTTCAGGACTATTTCCAAAGGAATATTTTATTGAAACACTTTTCTGAAAAAGATAAACAATTATTGAAAGTCGGTGAAGTTCACAACGTTTATAATCAACGATTCTAAAAATTTTACTATACAAGTCTTTCAATATTCAATTATTTTTTTAAATTTTAACAAAAATTCACCTCTAAATTAATCATATTAAATAATTTACGAAAAGATTTAATTAATATTAATAATATTAAATATTATTAATTTAATATTATTAATTTAATATTATTATTATTAATTAATATTAAATAAAGATTTAATTAATAATTTTGTTTTCCTTGATTTCCAGACAAAATTTTGACTTTATCCCTGACCCAAAAGAATAATATTCTGATTCACTCTAAAAATCATTAGATACTCAAAAAATGTCCTATTTCACATTTATTTACGAATTCTTTTAACTGTAAAATTATTTGAAAACAGCAATAACTTCTTTTTTAAATAAATATTTAATCATTATTATTTATCCATAGGAATTAAGATTTTCAAAATGTTCAAATTCAAATCTTTTTGACAACAACTTACAAGAATATTATTATTTTATATTATAAGAAAAATATTGTTATCTAAAATTTTAACTGAAATTCATATTTAAATCAGTTTTTATTAGAAAATTCTATTAGAATTCAATTATTTAAATACAAAAATAAATAATTTATTGTATCTTTCTTAAAATTGAATTTTCATACAGAATTTTATCAATAATTTTTTAAATAGTATATAGGTAATTAAAATTCTTTTGACGAATTTTAATAAAATTTTTAAGAATAATTACATTTTTCGAGGAATTCGATAAAAAATGTATTAAAAATAATTGTAATTCTACAATGAGTCTTATTACTTATGAAAATAATTGAATTCCTATAAAGAATTTTATTATTTCTAAAGATAATTGAAATTTTGATGAGAATTTTTAAAAATTTTTTAACATAATTGAATGTTTGTGAAGAATTTTATTACTTTTAAAAATAATTGAATTTCTGCAATTGTTTCTAACTTCTCCAAAATTCAAGTTCTTTTTAGTGTTTTTAACTAAAATTCTTCTATAAATCCATTATTTTTAATAATTAATTAAATATTTATTAAAAAATTTAACTAAGTTCAGAAGAATTTTAATTATTAAAACTTTTTCAAAAGTTAATTTCTTTAAAATTTCTTATTAAATTCATTCAAAATTGAAATTGTATAAAATTTAATTTTGTAATATTTAAGTAAAATTATTCATTAAATAATTTCTAAGTAATAATTTTATGATAAGAAGAAAGTTATTCAGAAATAGAATAAATTGGAGGTTTTGTATTAGAATGCGCGGTAATTTTATAGTTTGAGATAAACAAAAAAGACACAAAAATTCAGAATTTTCTTTTGAATTTTAAAAAGACTAATTTTTTCCATTATTTTTAATAAAAATCCTTGACTTTTCTCAGATTTCTTTTTAAAAATTAATGATAAAAATTTGTTCGAAGGGAATAAAAATTTGCTTTGAAATGTAAATTCTTTCCAAAGTCGTTGATCTTAAACTTTGTGAATTTTACCAATGCTTGAAATAAAAAATGAATTATAAAATAACATACAAAATCTTCCGAAAGGTTTTCATCTTTCTCTTTTTTATCCTCAGTTTTAGTTTTTTCAGTTTCACTGTCTTCATCGTTAACCTGTAATAATAAAAGATAAATTATTATAACAAAAATAGAAAATTCCTTAGAGAATAATACATTTTTTTTTGTTAAAAATGTTCATGTTCAAACTTTAATTAAATTTGTAAATTTGTTATACAAACAAAATAAAACTTAATTAAATTATTTCTGTAAATAAAGAAAGGACATAAAATGACATTAGTGTTAATAAATAAAATATTTTCTAATGACATTGAGATAAAAAAAAGTATAAATTTACTTATAAAACCACGAGAATTAACAGTAAATATTTTTATTATATTTATAAATCACAATATAAACATGCCAAATAAATACTAACCTCAAAAATAGATGGAACACTATCTTTCTTTAATTTTCTATACTTTCGTTGAACGTCAACTTCACATCCATCTTTCCATATTTTATAGGAAGCAGAATGAAGACATTCATCACTAAAATGTCGCATACAAATAAACAAATCGTAAGCAGTATTGTTTTTTCTCAAATAACGTTTCGTTGCATTTAACCATAAATTTCTCTCATTCTGTAAATATAAGAAATTTATTATCGAATTCAATTATAAAAACGGTCGATTTTTTTGTAAAGCAAAAGAAAATAAACAAAATAAAAATGGAATAAAAAATTAAAACTTACCTCGTCGTTGGGAAATTTATAAATATTTCGAGGTGTTTCAGGACCTAGACAATTTCTTATACAGCAAAGTCGACTATAATTAGGCATTTTTTAATACTTAAGATTGACATTTATAAAAAAAGCTACAAATATAAACAAGATTTCTAATATACAAACAGAATATGTACTTTTTTTTATTCACATTCACATTTACAATGTAGAGAAATAAAACAATATTTTTTCTTTCATTCACATTTACCAAATAGAGACGCGAAATGATTGAAAGTTTTTCAAATAATACAAATTTACAGCCATAGAATTTATGATATCTAGATTATAAACAAACTTTATCACAAAGCAGTGTGAAGTTTACTTTTTTAGGTCGAAATTTGTGGAAACAACTGCACAACCCTGCTTTTTCATCACAAATTCACAACTTATGAAATTATGAATTCACCTTTAAGTTAAAATTCTTGGAATCCATAATCTTGGCACCATATTTTGTCTGCCATGTGGTATTATTTTTTACCTATTATTATTTTGAAGTGTAAACTCGATAAAACTTTGTATTTATGACAGTGAAGAAAGTAACACTTTGTTTTTCATATTTGATAACGAGTATTTATCAAAAACACGTCACTGAGAAGTAAGAACTTTTTTTATAAATCCACAAAGAAAGGTTAGTAAACTTTGTTCGCTTTACTCATTATACATGTTTTTTTCAATATTTTTTCTAAAAATTACATTGTCTTTTAATAAATACACGTTCGTATTTATTGAAAAAATATCAAACTGAATACTAAAAATTATAATTTAAATTATATATTGTAATTTTATTGTGTTTTTAAATTTATAACCTCAAAATATTCTCCAGACCGACAAGTCTGTTTTGGTCGTTTTGATGTTTACATTTTACTGTTTTGCAACTTTTTGCATATAAAAATGCATCATTTTTGCATTATACTCTCGATCGTTATACATTACTATATAATATCAAAAATCGGTAGAATACAAAAAAATTTACAAAATGTCAAAATTTTACTGTTAACTATATATAGGTATATTTATTCAAAAATTTTTTTTTTACTTCTCAATTTTTTTTAAATATTACAACGCAGTAAATAGCAAGAAATGAGAAGCGATACTAAATGCTCAATAATTATTAATTTATATTTTTACAACGCAATAAATTATTATTATTTATTGTGTAGTATTATGAGTTTCAAATAATTTTTTTCCAATTTTTTGAATTGTTCTTTTAAAGACGAAACTATTTTTAAAATTGGTATTAATTTACCTAAAATATAAAATTTATTTCATTAAAATTTAACCAAATTTTTAATATTGTTTAAAAATATTCCAATCAATTCTTTTTGGGAATCTAATTAAAATTTAATAAATTGCATTGAAAATAATTTAATTCTTGACAATATTTTTATTAAAATTCTTTAAAATAATTTAATTGCTTTGAAGAATTTATTTAAATCTTATGAAGATTTTCTTTTAAGTTTTTAAAATAATTGTGTTTATTATTAATTGTAATTAATAATTTTCCTATTAAATTATATTAAAATTATTCATAGAAAATTAAATTCTTTTAAACAATTTTATTAGAGTTTTTGTAAAAAATGTCGTAAAAATAATGTAATTTTAAAAAAAAAATTTATTAAAAACTTTTGAGGACAATTGAATTGTTTAGACAAATTTTGTTACTACAATTTTGAAATATAATTGGACCTGTTAGAGAAATTTTATTAAAATTATCTTGAATATAATTGCATTTTTTCCTATAAAAATTGTATTAAAATTTGTATCTGAAAATAATTGAATTTCTCAGAAGAATTTTTTATTTACAAAAATAATTGAATTCTTGCGGAAGATTTTACAATTCATAAAAATAATTGAATTTTTTCACAGAATTTTATCTGAATTTTTTTAAGGAGTTTTATTAAAAATTTTGAAAATAATGATTTTTTAAAAAGAATTTCATCAAAATTGTCGAAAATAATTGAATTTATGTTAAAATTATTGAAAATAAATCGAATTTAATTAATATTTTTAAAAATAATTGTATGTTTTCGAGAAATTTTATAAAAATTGTATTGAAAATAATTGAATTGTTCTAAAAAAATTTATTATTTATGAGAATAATGAAATTGTTGCGTACAATTTTATTAAAAATTTTGAATAATAATAAACAAGAATATTTAATATTAGGTACCTACTTAATATTCTGAAATTTAATTATTTCTAAAAATTACAACAAAAATTCTTCTAAAATTAATTAAATTATTTTTTAAAGTTTTGAAACTATAAAATTATTTTTTAAAACAATTATTTTTAGTAATTTTGTGAAAATTTTTTGAAAACTGAAATAATAAATAAATAATAATAAATAATAAATTTCTTCTTAAGGATTCAATTATTTTCACAAATAATAAAACTCATCGCAGAATTTCAATTTTATTTTTAATATAATTTTAATCGAATTTCTCGAAAAATGTCATTATTCCTAAAAATTTTATTGAAATTCGTCGAAAGAATTCAATTATTTAAAAATTTGTTGATAAAATTCTTTATGGGAATTGAATTTTAATAAACACTCAATTATTCAATAAATTATTTTTTTGTATCTAAAATTTAAATAATTGAATTCTAGTAGAATTTTTAATAAAAATTGATTTAAAATTGAATTTTGAAATTAATTTTTTTGAAAAAGTTTAATTGCGGATTTTTTTATATATTGTTTGAAGTTTTTATTTTCTAATACATATATTGAATTGAAGAATTAATGAATAATTGGAATTTCGTAAAATTGAATATTGTAAACAAATGGATTTGAAAATTGTCAAAGAACTTTCACTGGTTCGAGCCCTGCACTTTGTATCGAAATTTAAATGCAATTTTTTTTATTCCTAATAATCAGGATTTAAATTTGTTTATTTATTCTTAATACCTACTTATTATTTTATTTAATATACATGTTTTATTTTTGTAGATATTTTTATATAAATATTCATAAAATCTAAATATAGGAGAAAAACAGAGAAAAAAACATGAAACAAAATAAGAAACATTTTTCCAAGTAATAACAATTTTTTCTCATTTTTGAGGAATGTTCTCTTATTTCGAAAAAAAAGGAACTTGCAATAAAAATAGAATAAGTGCATTTCCACCTTTTTGAAGTAAATGAGCTTTGAAAGCTCGATCGATAAATGACAAACAAGACCGTTGGCCTCTTAACAAATGAAAAGAATGAAACCTGAATAGAACACACCACTTGCAATTACTGTAACAATCATTTTCTAAAGACAATTTCCTTTTGTCTCTTGGAAGTGCTTCTTTGAATTAATAATAAAAAAAGAGGAAAATGAAAAAAATCGAGACTATCAAAAACAACCACTCGACCTTATGCCCTCTTTCGGGAAGTCGGCGAGAAAAAAAAGGAAGAAAAGAAAAAAAGGAAGAGTGATTGAAAGGTCGTTGCTACAACTTCCATTGAAATTATACATCACAAACAATCTAAAAATGTATCACAACTCGTCGGAAGTATTAACCCCAAGTTCTAACTTCACCTGAAAGCATTAGAATGAACGTCGAGGTTGCCATGCCATTATTGATTCACGTGGGAGTGATGCGGGGCGTGTTGTGTGTTTGCCCTATTCGTGGAAAGCGCGGATTAAAGTCGCGTAGTTTCATCAAAAATTTCCCATCATTTTTTCGTTCCTCTTTAGACGAAATGTTGTCATCAGTGGAAATGGAGAGTGAGAGGAAGCGAGAGAAATAACTAAGAGAATTTGAAGAATTGAATTTGAAATGAAAAAGGAATTGAATGATGATTGATGATTTAGTGAGGAATAAATGCGGAAAAAGTGAAATAAATTGGAGTGTTAAGCGCCACGTCTTTGTCGCGGACATTGAGCGGCGGCATGTCAACTATCAAGCGTTATGCGAAGCGCGAGCACGACAATTTCACACTTCTGCTCATTGCAAGATACAAATTTTATTCCGCCCGAGCAAAGACGATTCAGGCGGATACATGGACTTCAACTTCCCTTGCATCCTCAACAAGTGGTCGGCTGGATTGCTCTCGTTGTCATTGGTTGCGGAACAATTGGCGTTTTAATACCAATACTAAATCCAAAATTACAAGCGCCAATTCTTTGTCTTATTATTCCCGCGTTCTTTGTTCATTTTGTGTCACATATTGTTGTTCTTTTACTCGATCCGGCAGAAGCGGAGGTCAGGGCTCAGCCAACATCGCAAGTTGTACCGGAATTCGACCGTACGAAGCATCTCCACGTCATCGAAAACGGCAGGTATTGCATTGAAAAAAACAGAAATCATATTTTTTTTAGTTTAACTCACTTTTTAACCCTCCTGCGCAAGTGTTAATAACTCAAATGTAAGCACATTATTTCAGAGAATTTAAATTTTCTATTTTAAATTTATATTACAGATTTTTTGGAATCAAAATTTCCAAATTGAATGATCGAGTTCTGAAAAAATAAATAACGATTCTTTTTAGATTGGATCCGTTATTTTTTATTTTCGAATTTAGATTTGTAATCAGCTTTTCCAAAAATACTGCAGGGTTGTTGCCACAGGTCAGGGAAATCAGGAAAAAGTCAGGGATTTTTATTAAAAGTTGTACTGGAAAAAATTCAATTTTTAGAATTCATAAAAAAAATTTTGAATTTTTGTGCCTTTTTTGTTTGTCTCAAACTATGAAATTACCACGTATTCTAAAAGCTCCAATTTTTTCTATTTCTGACAATAATCTCTTTTTATATAAAATTATAATTCTTTAAGAACTATCACAAAATTATTACTTAGAAATTATATAATGAATAATTTTACTTAAATATTTCAAAAGTAATTGGATTTTAAAAGAGTTGCGTTTACAATTTTCATAAATAAATAAACTTTAAAAGGTTTTAATTTGAAATTTTAGAAAATTCCAATTATAAATGAGTTTAATTAGAAATTTTAAAGAACTTAGATTCTTAAAAAATTTTAATAATTCAAATTCTTCTGAAAATAGTTAAATTTTTTAATATATTTATTTAATTATTAAAAATAGTGGATTTATAGATGAATTTTAGTTAAAAACACTAAAAAAAATTGAATTTTGGAGAAAGTACAAATAATTACAATTAAATTATTCTCAAAAGTATTTAAATTTTTTGCAGAAATTTCATTATGTTCAAAATTTTTTTTTAAATTTTTATCAAAATTTCAATTGTATTTTAAAAATAATAAAATTCTTTTTCGAAATTTATTTATTTTTAAAAATTTTAATAACATTTTGTTTAAATTTTAATTCAATGGTTTTCAATATCTACTATTTTAATAGAATTTTCCAAAAGAATTCAATTATTAAAAAAATATTTTAATATAGAGAATAATAATAAAGAATTCACAGGAATTCAATTATTTACAAATTTTTTTATAAATTTCTTCACAAAAATTCCATTATTTTCGTAAATAATAAAATAAAAATTTTGCAATTTTAGATGATAATTGAACATTAAAGCATTATAACATAAATTTTTAGAAATAATTGGATTTTGAAAAGGTTTCAAGTTAAAATCTTTGAAAATCTAATTTTTTAATACTTTTAACTAAAAATTTATTTATTTATTTATTTATTTATATTATCATAAAGAATGAAAATCTTCTCAAGAATTCAATTATATCCATAAATTAATAATGAAATTCTACTCAAGAATTCAATTATTTCCATCAATAATAAAATTCATCTCCGAAATTCAATTATTTTCAAAACTTTTAATAAAATTCTTGACAAAATTTCAATTATTTTCAAAAATTTTTCACACTTCTACGATTTTTAATATCTACTATTTTAATGAATTTTTCCAAAAGAATTCAATTATTTAAAAAAAAAATTTAATAAAATTGTACGCAAACGATTTATTATTTTTATAAATAATAAAGAATTCACAGAAATTCAATTATTTACAATTTTTTTTTATAAATTTCTTCATAAAAACTCCATTATTTTCATAAATAATAAAATTTTTTACAGGGATTCAATTATTTTCATAAATAATAAAACTCATCGCAAAATTTCAATTATTTTTAATACAATTTTAGTTGAACTCCTCGAAAAATGTAATTATTCTTAAAAATTTGATTAAAATTCGTCAAAAGAATTCAATTTATTAAAAAAATATTTTAATATAGAGAATAATAATAAAGAATTCACAGGAATTCAATTATTTACAAATTTTTTTATAAATTTCTTCACAAAAATTCCATTATTTTAGTAAATAATAAAATAAAAATTTTGCAATTTTAGATGATAATTGAACACTTAAGCATTATAACATAAATTTTTAGAAATAATTGGATTTTGAAAAGGTTTCAAGTTAAAATCTTTGAAAATCTAATTTTTTAATACTTTTAACTAAAAATTTATTTATTTATTTATTTATATTATCATAAAGAATGAAATTCTTCTCAAGAATTCAATTATATCCATAAATTAATAATGAAATTCTACTCAAGAATTCAATTATTTCCATTAATAATAAAATTCATCTCCGAAATTCAATTATTTTCAAAACTTTTAATAAAATTCTTGACAAAATTTCAATTATTTTCAAAAATTTTTCACACTTCTACGATTTTTAATATCTACTATTTTAATGAATTTTTCCAAAAGAATTCAATTATTTAAAAAAAAAATTTAATAAAATTGTAGGCAAACGATTTATTATTTTTATAAATAATAAAGAATTCACAGAAATTCAATTATTTACAATTTTTTTTTATAAATTTCTTCATAAAAACTCCATTATTTTCATAAATAATAAAATTTTTTACAGGGATTCAATTATTTTCATAAATAATAAAACTCATCGCAAAATTTCAATTATTTTTAATACAATTTTAGTTGAACTCCTCGAAAAATGTAATTATTCTTAAAAATTTGATTAAAATTCGTCAAAAGAATTCAATTTATTAAAAAATTGTTGATAAAATTCTTCATGAAAATTGAATCTTAAGAAACATTTATTTATTCATTAAATTATTTACTTATGTATTTAAATAATTGAATTCTAGTAGAATTTTTTAATAAATATTGATTTAAAAAGAATTTCGAACAGGTTTCAAATTAAAATCTTTAAAAATCTGAATTTTTCATACTTTTAACTAACAATTCTGTAGAACTAATTTTTTCTTTTAAAGTTTAATTGAATTTTTTTCAAATTATTTGAAGTTTTTATTTTCTTATATATATATATTTAATAGAATAATTTCTGAATAATCGAAATTTTGTAAAATTGAAGAGTAAACAAATGGATTAATAATTAAAATTTTTATTAGTTAATTTAAAAAAAGATACACACTTCAAATTTTTTAATAAAATTGAATTTTCGCAAAGTTTTTTTTAAACTCTGAAAAATAAGATTTTTAAAATTTTGCAATTCTAATGTTTCAATTTTTTTTAATAGAATTTTAATCGAATTCCTCGAAAAATGTAATTATTCTTAAAAATTTTATTAAAATTCGCCGAAAGAATTCAATTATTTATTTCTAGAAACTGTAAAAAAATTCTTCACAAGAATTCAATTATTTTTATAAATTTCCATAAAATTCTAAAAACAATTCACCTATTTTCAAAAGTAATAAAATTCTTCGCTGAAATTCAATTATGTTCAAAAATTTTTAAAAATTCTCGTCAAATTTCAATTACCTTTAGAAATAATTAAATTCTCCGAAATTCAATTATTTTAAAAAATTTTAATAAAAATCTACGCAACCATTTAATTATTTTCATAAATAATAACATTCTTGGGAAAGATTCAATTACTTTTATAAATAGTAAAATTCTTTGCAGAAATTCATTTAGTATCAATACATTTTAATAAAATTGAATTTTAATCAAATTTTCAATTATAATTATGAACAGACAAGATTACTTTAAAAAATTGAAAAAATTCTTTGCTTAATTCAATAACTTTCCAAATTTTCAATTAAAATTATTAAAAAAAAACATTATTTTCAAAAAATTTAAAGAAACTCATCAAAAACATTTAATTATTCATAAAAACTCTGATAAAAATTTTGGAAGCCATTTGTGGATTTATTCATCTTCGAAATAAAATAAATTTAAAAGAAAAAAAACCAGAAAAAATTATGACAAAGCTAGAAAATAACCGTTTTTTTTTTAAATTCTTTTGTTTTTTCCAAGAATGACTTTGAAGGGTCACACTATTGTAAAGTTAAGTTTATTTTGATGAAAAGTTATTAACAAAAATGTTTGGATGATATATACGGAAAGAAGTTTATTTAATGGAGTTTTTAGGTGCACAGGAGGGTTAAAAAAAGAATTTAATTTATATTTTAATTTTCTAACAAAACCAATTGTTTTTAGATGTCATCTGTGCAACATAAACGCAAGTAGCAAGAAAACAAAACACTGCTCAATTTGCAACAAATGCATAACAAGATTCGATCATCACTGCAAATGGCTCAACAATTGCATTGGTGGCCGAAATTATAAAATCTTCATTGTCTACCTGATCTCGGCAATATTATCGACATTCACTGTCGCAACTGTATCAGCAACGGAGCTTTCTCTCGTGTATCTAAACTCGGTCAACAACAACATGACAACAGACAATGTCACGCTACCATTGAGCCTTCAGTTGCCCGGCACTGGATCGCTGATTGTCATTTCAATTGTCGGAATAATATCAGCAATTGCAGCCGTGCTACTCATTCATCTCTGCTTCTTTCACGGCTACATTGCATGTTTAGGTCTCACCACCTACGAATATCTCCGCAATAAGCGCGAAAAAAATGAAACTATCGAGGACACTGGAAGAAAAAATTCCACCGGTATCGTTGTACCATGTCCATCGTTTTGCACCAGCAAAAATGAAACACCGGTTCGTTATCATTTCTGCGAAGCCGTCTCATCAACATCAACGTCCTCTTCAAACGAGAGCAATCAAATTGAATCCCGAAATGTTTACATATGCTCAACGCATAATGAACAAACAACCACGAATCAAACAGTTGTCACTCAAAAAGACAGGAGAAATTTTCATCTTTATTTTTCCTACGAGGCACGAAACACTGAAACGTCCATTGAACTAATGTCGCAAACAGTCCTCGACAATAACCGTCCAAATAATCTCAGTCCAATTGAACTAAAACCATCGACTCCGTCCCCTGTATCATGCTGTTTCTCCATCATCAATTCATCGTCGACCAAAAGCTCCAGACACAATAAGCATCGTAAGCATCGCGACTCTGACGCTGATAATCAAAAATTGCCACGAACCTGCACGACAATGCGACGAATTCAAACGTTCCTTCGCAGTCGACTAAGAAAGAATGCGATTCAACGTTCAATTCATGCGGACGCATCGCGAAAGAGTCGAATTGCACCCGCTGTCGCTGATTCAATTGTCGAGACAACCAACACCACAACAACTACTGCCGACGCAATTGTTCCCAAGGAGAATTCGCCAATTGAGGATTTGTCGCCGCTCAAGTTGCAGCCATTGACGATTCACGCGAGGCCACGCTTGAAGCAAATTAGCGTCTCGGGCGCGCCATTGTATCCTTTTACAAATGCAGCGATAACAAAACGTGGCCAAGCGCATTTTCGTGCTCGACGCTCGTCGTTGCATAAAAGGCCACGACTTAAAATGGGATCACACGTTATGATGCAGTCAGCTCAATTGTCACCGATACCCGAATCGGAATTATCGAAACCCGCGTCACCACGATCACCACCGCAAACAAATCATTTCACATTTCCACCATCGAACCCATCAACGCTGTGAAAATTAGTCTCTCATTTCTTCAACAATGTATTGTGTATATATGTAAAAGGTTTCCTATAGACGAATATATAGTAGTTGAGTGATTTATTGTTACAAGACAGGGATCTTCAAGAAGTTTCAAAAAAGCGAAAAAAAGTTTCCCCAATTTGGCATCGACGCTGAGCGTCGAAAACATTTCTTTTATCGCCGAAGCAGTTCTATGAATTTGACGTTCAGCGTCGAAAACTATTTTACGAGGTTTTTGGAGATGAAAATATTACTAATTTCGCAGTTTTCATTCATTTAAGGCGTTAAAATCAGGACTCAAACTAGGTCCGTAATTTGATTAAAAAGGACGAAAAGTTCGTAAATTGTACGATATAATAAGGAGAATTTTAGAAAAATTACAAATGATTGCAGAAATTCAATTATGTTGAAAAATTTTTTTTAAATTCTCGTCTAAATTTCAATTATCTTTAGAAATAATTAAATTCTCCAAAATTCAATTATTTTCAAAAATTTTTAATAAAATTCTTGGCAAAATTTCAATTATTTTCAAAAAATTTCCTCAATCAATGGTTTTCAATATTGGTTATTTTATTAAAATTGCCCGAAAGAATTCAATTATTTAACAAAAATTTTAATAAAATTCTATGCAAAGATTTAATTATTCTCATAAATAATAACGAATTCACAGGAATTCAATTATTTACAAATTTTTTATAAATTTCTTCAAAGTAATTCAATTATTTTTAAATATAATAAAATTTTTTACAGGGATTCAATTATTTTCATAAATAATAAAATTTGCCTTTATAGGAATTAAATTATTTTCATAAATAATAAAATTCATCGCAAAATTTCAATTATTTTTAATACAATTTTAGTTGAACTCCTCGAAAAATGTAATTATTCTTAAAAATATGATTAAAATTCGTCAAAAGAATTCAATTTATTAAAAAATTGTTGATAAAATTCTTCATGAAAATTTGAATCTTAAGAAACATTTGTTTATTTCAATAAATTATTTATTTTTGTGTTTAAATAATTGAATTCTAGTAGAATTTTCTAATAAATATTGATTTAAAAATAATTCCTCGAAAAATATAATTATTCTTAAAAATTTTATTAACATTCACCAAAAGAATTCAATTATTATTTAAAAATTTATTGGTAAAATTCTTTTTGGGAATTCAATTTTAAGAAACATGCAATTATTCAATAAATTGTTTTTTTTATTTAAATAATTGAATCCTAGCAGAATTTTCTAATAAAAATTAATTTAAACATGAATTTCAGTTAAAATTTTAGATAATAATTGAATAGGTATTAAAAGCATTATGGCGTGAATTTTTAGAAATAATTGAATTTTGAGAAGGTTTCAAATTAAAGTCTTGGAAAATCTGAATTTTTCACATTTTTAACTAACAATTTTGTGGAATTAATTTTTTCAAAAAGTTTCATTGCGGATTTTTTTTTTGAAATTATTTGAAGTTTTTATTGAAGATAAAATGAAAAATTCGAAAGTGAATAATTCAATTAAATCACAGGGTTTCCTCATGTCAGGGAAGTTAAAAAATTCAGGAAAAAGTCAGGGATGTTTATTAAAAGTACTGGAAAAAATTAAATTTTTATAATTCATAAGAAAATTATGAATTTTGGTGTCTTTTTTGTTTGCTTCATAAACTATGAAATTACCACGAACTCTAATATAAAACCATCAAATTTTTCTATTTCTGAAAATAATTTCTTTTCAAATAACTTCATTCTTATCATAAAATTATTACTTAGAAATTATTTAATGAATAATTTTACTTAAATATTTCAAAATTAATTCAATTTTAAAAGAGTTTCGTTTTTGCTATTTTCATAAATAGGTAAACTTCAAAAGGTTTTTGAAATTTTAGAAAATTTCAATTTTTAATGAATTTAATAAGAAATTTGAAAGAACTTAACTTTTTAAATAATTTTAATACTTCAAAATTCTTCTAAAATAAGTTACATTTTTTAAATATACATATATTTAACAAATTATTAAAAATAATAGATTTATAAAAGAATTATAGTTAAAAACACTAAAAAATATTGAATTTTTGGAAAAAGTTACAAATGATTGCAGAAATTCAATTATTTTCAAAAGTAATAAAATTCTTCGCAAAAATTAAATTATGTTCAACAATTTAAAAAATTTCAATTATCTTTGTGAATAATAAAATTCTTCTTCAAAATTAAATTATTTTCATAACTTTTTAATAAAATTCTAGTCAAAATTTCAATTATTTTCAAAAATTTTACTCAATTCAGTGATTTTAAACATTTACTGTTTTAATTGAGCTTTCCAAAAGAATTAAATTACTTAAAAAAATTTTTAATAAAATTCTATGCAAACATTAATTATTTTCATGAATAATAAAAATTTCACATGAATTCAATTATTTACAAATTTTTTATAGATTTCTTCGTAATAATTCAATTATTTTCATAAATAAGAAAATTTTTACAACAGTATTCAATTATTTTCGTAAATAATAAAATTCTTTTTAGAAATTCAATTATTTTCAAAAATAATAAAACTCATAGCAAAAGTTTAATTATTTTTAATGCAATTTTAATTAAATTTTTTGAAAAATGTAATTATTTTTAAAAATTTGTTGATAATAACAGTTCGTATTCTTTCTGGGAACTGAATTTTAAAAAACATCCAATTATTCAATAAATTATTAGTTTTGCATTTAAATAATTGAATTCTAGTAGAATTATCTAATCAAAATTAATTTCAAAATCAATTTCAATTAAAATTTTAGATAATAATTGAATATTAAAAGCGTGAATTTTTAGAAATAATTAAATTTTGAAATTAATTTTTTTGTAATAATTTAATTGAATTTTTTGATATTTTATTAAGTTTTTATTTTCTTCTTTATATTTAATTAAAGAATTTACGAATCATTGAAATTTCATTCATTTTCATTATTGAAAATTTTGTAAATTTTTAATTAGCGATTCAAACAAAACCATAAGAACTGATGCTCTTTTTTAAGCCTTCAATTTTGCTTTTGTGTGAAGATAAATAGTAAAATAAACTTTCAAACATTCATAGGATCTTGAAATATTTTGCACATATTTATAAAGGGGACTGACTTTTTTTTTAATTGAAACAAATTGAAAATAAAATTTGCAATTTAGTTTTAATTGAAGATCCCTAATTCTAGATATGTTGAGTTTTAGATTCTACGATTAATTAATTATCGCGGCATCATTTCTTCTATCCATTTGATAATATTTATTTGTTTATTTATTGAACATATTAAGAATTTATTAATACCTATTAAAATGTTGATTTTGTCTCTACATGTGAAAAATGATGCCCGATAATAAAAATCGAGAGAAATGATAAATTTTATGTGAGTGAAAATAGAGTGATAAAAAAATAGACTTGACTCATTATTGTTTTCTTGCATTTGTTTGTTTGTTTGATTTTTTAAAAGTTTTTACGAAATGTTGAAAATATCTCAAATTTCCTAATTCAAACTGTTGAAAAATTAATATTTGTAAATTTTCAAATAATGTCAATTTACTCTATTTTATCATTTATTTACGTGTGCCAAACTTTATCCGCAAAGATCTAAAAAAAAACAAAAAGTTGCTTTCAATTGTAAAACAAACAAATTTTAACAGAAATCGAAAATAGAGTTTTGTCTCGAATATTCATGAGAGATTCTTGAAAAAGTGCTCGAAATTGTGTTTACTTAAAATACTAATTATTTATTTTTATTTATAAACAAAATAAATTTTAATTTACAAAAATAGTTTTAATTGTTTAGTTTCTATAATTTTTAGATATTTCTGGTAAATATAATAATATTCCAACTTTTTTAAAATTACATACATTTATCTTTAGAAATTAGAATACGATAAAAATTTAATCTTTAGGTCCAAGAATAAATTTCATACATATATTCATAATTAATTTTGAAAAGTTTTAGCTTAATTATTATAAATAAAAAAAAATAAAACTAGTTGAGTCTTACAACGAAATATTATTTAGAATTTATATTTCAGAGGAATAATAAAACAAATGTTATAGAATTTTACCAAAAATATTTAACAAATAGTTGCAGAATTAAAAAATTTTGTCTTTTTTTTTTTGACAATTCAAAATAGTTACCAGGCAATAATCACCAATGAAGCCTAAATTTTATCAAATTTAAAAAAAATATATTAGAGATCAAATACTTTACAATAATTAATTAATTTGCTATATAATAGCAATAAATAATTTTAAAAAATTCGATCGCAATTAAGATTAATAAAAAAATTAATTTAATAATTAATTATATTATTAAAATTGTCTTTGTATCTTTTATTTGAATTTCGAAGACAATCAGTCTGATTACTATTAAATTTTCGAGAATATTTCTCTTTCCCTAAATTAATTCATTATTAATATTGATAAAAAAAAAATGTTTCTCTTGTGATTGGAAAGTAAGTAAGCAACAGAACTGAATGTATAAGATGTATACAATAAATAAAAAAATGGGCTTTAAAAGTGATATATACTTGTATAGATATATGCATAGTTATATATACATATATATATTTAATTAAAAAAATATGCCTACGAGCTTTTATACTGATAATTTTATCCTATTGTTATATTAAACGTATTTTTTGGAAAAAAAAGAAAAATACTTTTTGGTAAATTCTGTCCAAGGGGATTATGTACATATGTGAATTACGTTGCGAGTTAAGAAACAAAAATCTGTCTTAAATTGAAAATAACAAATTAAATAAATATATTATAACGTCCGGAATTTTTCTATAATAAAAAATGATATTTTTTATTTAAAAATCAGCACGATGATGTGTCTTTCACAATTGATATTTTAATGCCATTTATACATATATTTTAATCAATTTTATATTTACACGTGTTTGATTGTTATGCAAAAAAAGAAAATAAAATTATGCTGCGAATCAAGACACTTCTTATTATTTTCATATTTGAAACAAAAACCTCTAATTTTTTTCACTTTTTTCTTATTTAGGTAAAATATTATTTTTTGAAATTTTCAATTAAATAATAATTCAAAATTCTTCTAAAATAAGTTAATTTTTGAAATATGTATTTAACTAATTATTAAAAATAATGGATTTATAAAAGAATTTTAGTTAAAAACACTAAAAAATATTGTATTTTTGAAAAGTTACAAATGATTACAGAAATTCAATTATTTTCAAAATTAATAAAATTCTTCTCTGAAATTAAATTATTTTCATTATAAAAATTATAAAATATCATTATAAAAATTATTTTCAATTTTATTTGACATAAATTTTAATGAAATTCTGAACAAAATTTCAATTATTTTGATAAATTTTACTCAATTCAGTGATTTTAAACATTTACTGTTTCAATTTTAGTTTTTCAAAAGAATTCAATTATGTAAAAAAAACTTTTAATTCGTATATAAATATAATAGAATATTTTGTTGAGTATCTAATAATTTTTATAATGAATCAGAATATTCTTTAAAGTCAGGGAAAAAGTGAAAATTTTGTCTGGAAATCAGGAAAAAGTCAGGGATTCACAAAATTAATTTTTATGGCAACCCTGAATCAGTAAATGTAGGAAATAATTGAATTTAAAAAAAAATTACCAAATTTTATTTTTATTTTTCTTAAAAAGGACTAAATTTTGTTTGAAATATGGAAATTTATTAATGCAAATTATTTTCAGATGACAGATTTAGGTAATAGTTGTGATGAGGAGAATGGAAATATTTGGAGGGATTTACTTGGATCGGCAAAATTTGTAATTGCACCAATGGTCGACGCAAGTGAATTGGCATGGAGATTACTTTGTCGAAAACATGGAGCGCAATTATGTTATACTCCAATGTTACATTCGTCGGTTTTTTGCCGAGATCCGAAATATAGAAAAGAAGCCCTCGCCACAACAAACGAGGATCGTCCTTTAATTGTTCAAGTTGGTAAAACTCTCTGATAATCTTTTGTTTTTGTATATTTAATTAAACAAATAAATAAAAACACGTTTTTATTAAAAATTTAATTCGATTTAATTAATTTAATTTAGAATTAATAAATATAAATAAATAAATTATCAATAATTGATAATTCTTAATTATTAAGAAACTGGTTAAAAATTTCTAATGTTTAACCGGCTTTATTTTATTTTCTTTTGCTTTTAAATTAAATTTTTTATAAATTGTACATTTCTATAAAAGAAAAATTGGTATTTCAGTTTTGTGGCAATGATCCTGAAATACTATTGGAAGCTGCTCTTTTGGCGGAAGCGCATTGCGATGCTGTCGATATAAATCTCGGTTGTCCGCAAGCAATTGCCAAACGAGGACACTATGGTGCTTTTTTACAAGACGATTGGCAATTACTGGAAAAAATAGGTAAAAAAGCAGTCAGCATTTTATTTCAAAATCGACTTTTTGTCGAATATACATTTATTTATTTATTTTAATAAACCCGACAAGTTCTTTTTCTATAATATATAAACATTTTTTTTTCGTCAGATTACCTGAATATAACGATTATTAATATAGATTGTATTATTATCGTTCATATTTATTTATTTATTTATTTATTTAAGAAAATATATTTTAGTTTAAAATTTTCTAGTTAAAAAACATGAAATAAAATTCCGAAGTAAATGCGAATTTTTCTGAAAAAAGTATAGATTTAAAAAATTTTATTTGCTTTGAATATTTTATTACTTTATACTGTTTCTTTTTATAATAACTAATAAATAAATAAACATATATTATTACAAATAAGAAATATTTAATTTTTCTCTTTACTTATTTTATTTTTAAAAGATGACAAAATATAATTTTTCCTTACTATGAAATTTAGAGAATATTTAGTTGCATATCTAGAATTAAATAAAAACCTTAATTCACAGTGAGTAAATTGAGCAAAAATCTTCATATTCCCGTCACATGTAAATTACGAGTATTCCCGGACATTGAGAAAACTATTGCTTATGCTCAAATGTTGGAAAAGGCAGGAGCGAAACTTTTAACAGTTCATGGTCGTACGAGGGAGCAAAAAGGACCACTTACTGGCTTGGCGTCTTGGAAACATATTCGCGCTGTTAGGTAATTAGCCACTTTATAATTGTAAATTCAGAAATTCATTTTGTCCTTGCTTCTAATTCAATTAGTAAGAACATGCTAAATAAATGAGAATTCAATTCTGAGAAAACAGTTCAGGATTCAATAAAGGATTTATTTTTGTATTCAAATAATTCAATTTTCGTAGAATTTGCTAATAAAAATTGATTTAAAAATTAATTTCAGTTAAAATTTTCGATAGTAATTGAATATTTAAAACATTATAGCGTGAATTTTTTGAAAGAATTGATTTTTGAAATAGTTCCAAATCCAAATCTTTAAAAATTTGAATTTTTCATACTTTTAACTACCAACAATTCTGTAGAATTAATTTTTTTCAAAAAGTTTAATTGTATTTTTTTTAAATTATTTGAAATTTTTATTTTCTAAATATATTTAACTGAAAAATTTCTGAATAATCAAAATTTCAGTTAAAATTGAATTGTGAACAAATTTATTTGAAAATTGTCAAAAAACTTTGTTAAAAATTATTAAAAATAATTGATTTAAAGAAGAATTTTAGTTAAAAATTCTAGAAAATAATAAATAATTGAAATGATGAAAATAATTTTGAAGAAGTAACAGTTATAATAATTCTTATAATATAAAATAATGATTTTATCACTCAGTCATCTTTAACTGTTCATCTGATCAACCTAAGGATTTTTTTTTAAATATAGTTTAAATTCTGTAAAATAAGTTTGTATACTTTAAAAATCCTTATAAAAATTATTAAACAATAGATAAAAAGAGGGTTAATTTTTATAAGTTATTGAATTTCAAAAAGGTTTGAATTTGAAATATTTGAAAATCTTAATTCATATGGAAAAATAATAATGTTTAAATATTTATTTTAAAAAGAAGTTATTGATGTTTTCGAATTAATTTACTGTTAAAGAAATTCCTAAATAAATGTATTGTAACATTTTGTAAGTTTCTATTCATTTTCTTTGTAAAATAGGGAAAATGTGAGAATTCCAGTCTTTGCCAATGGAAATATTCAGTGCATTCAAGATGTGGAAAATTGTATTGAAGAAACGGGAGTACAGGGAATAATGACGGCCGAAGGAAATCTTTACAATCCTTTTATTTTTCAAGGATGTTATCCTCCTAGTTGGATACCAGCGACAGAATATTTAGACCTTGTGGAAAAATATCCTGCACCTTCTTCCTACATTCGTGGCCATTTATTTAAAATATTTCAACACACGTGAGTAAATATTTTTCTACATTCTTTCTCTTCTTTTTCAAATTAACAACTAATTTCACTCCCTGAAAGTCTATTTTTATTGTGGGTCAAGTGAACATCTATTTTTTTTTTATTACATAAAAGATAAAGAAAAACGTTTCTAAACTTATATCGTCCCCTGAATTATTTAATAATCGTTCTATATGCAGATTTGAAATTCTTTTCTTTATTTACAACTTTAAAAATTATAGCACTCGATGAAAATGTTTTAAAAAGAATTGTTTAATTATTCAAAGAAAAAATTTAATTTTTGATTGATTTCTTGGCTCCACTTTTATTTACAGTCAGTTAACTATTCGATGTTAATTATTTAAAAAAAAAATTGTGTTTTTACTGTTGAAGTCAATTGAATATTTTTATGAATTCGATAAAACGTAAATTTTTTTGTCAAATGGAAAATTTTCTCTCTCTTTCTTGCTTTCTTTTTAAATTTTCTTACTCAAGACAAATAAAGCATACTTTCAACTAGAGAGTAGACTTTGTCTTGCAGGAAATGAAAAGGCACGAGCATTATTGGCTGAACAGTCTTCAATGGAATCGTTTCGAAAGGTCGTGGAAATATTGAAAGATCGATATTCGCCTTATCACGAAGGCCAATTGTCGTGGCCTGAAGAAAGAACAGGTATCTATTTTATAATTCAAAAAAAAAATTTATTTTTATCTTCATTCGTTTTTTATTCTTCTTTGCAGTCGTTATTCAGACATTTTTTTCAGAATTTTTCAATTTTTCGATTTATAAACAAACATAATTGAAAATTAAATAAAATTACTAGAATATTTTATATATATTATAAATTTTATAATAATGAATTTTCCATACACGAATTTTTCTAAAAATTTGAAAAATTACTTTTATTTAGAAAATTGTAAAAAAAAAATATTAAATGAAACTATTTTTAGGCACATAAAATTAACAAAATTTTCGGATTTTTTTAGATCACGATTTAGTTTTGCCGCCGTGGTTGTGTCAACCGTATGTTCGTGATCCGCCAGAAATACATCAAAATAAAGTCGAGGCGAAAAAAATTGAAATGGTAAGTTTTTTTCCAATAATGAATTTATTCCAAATAATTTAATTCTTGAAACTTTCATAAAATTATTATTTACAATATTTATTTAGTGAATGATTTTGCTTAAAAATTCAAAACAAATGGATTTGAAAATTCTTAAAGAACTTTTTCAAAAATTATTAAAAATAATTTATGTATATAGAAGAATTTTAAATGAAAATTCTACAAAATAATAATTAAATTGAAATGATGAAAATAATTTTGAAGAAGTTAGTTTTAAAAAGATCAGATTAGCCATTTTGAATTTAAAAAACCTGATGTCAGATTTGTAATTAATAATCTTGAAATTTACTAAATATTTTTTAAATGCTTTAAAATTTTAAATAAAAAATTGAAAATTTAATTCCAATTATTTTTTTAATTACGTGTGTCAAAATAATTATATGTTTACAAATTACTTAAATTAAAACGGCACCAAATTGTTTAGAAATTACTTACTAGTAATTTAATAATTAATAATATTAAATTAATTTTTCAGGAAAATGGAACAAAACGTGAATTCAAAGATGATGATGGAAATACAGTGTCACGTAAACGTTTAAAAAAATTACGAAGAATCACCCGCCGTCCTAATAATAATACTCCGCCTGTTAAACGAAGCAAATTATTGTGCAATGTTTGTCCCAATCCATTGGTAAAATAATTTCCTATTCAACCAAAAATTTAATTAGTGATTGAAATTAAATAGTTTTAAACTCTTTTCTTCACATTCCAGGGCTTCAAATGTGAATATCAACTATGTCGTCAATGTTGTAGGAATAAATGCTACAGTGAAAATTTAGATTGTCCTGGACACAGGAACTTAACGAAAACAAGAAGAAAAATGGCAATTGACTACGCCACGGAACGTGATAATTCGTTAGACTCGAAATAATTTTACAATTATTTGTACAAAAAATGGTAACATTTGTAAATAAATAAATTTTACAAATTATATAAAAATTAACAAAGACCGAAATTTCAGTGTTCTTTTCTCAACCTCTATTTAATCGAGACTTGAATTTTTACAAATTGCATTTTCACTAACAATATTTTACAGATTTACATTTTTAAATATATACTTTATACAAGTTAAATAACTTTAACCTGTGCACTGACAATCGATGCACTATTTTAAAAATGAAATTCAACAATATTCTCAAATATTCTATTTTTCAACTAACAATGATATTTAATCGATATTTTCGTAAATAACAACAAAAAAAAAAGGAAATCGAAAATTTCGATTAAGTATCTTATTTATAAATTTAAGAAATTGATTTGTTTTTCTTTTAGTTAAATAAGTTGATTGTTGAATTTGTTGAATTAGGCAGATGTCGGTGTTAAAAGTCCCGCGATAGAAGTCGGAAGTCTATCTTGATGTTTTTCTTCGTTTATTTTCTCCTTATTTTTATTTGATGCGAAATCGATGAACCAATACTTTTTGCAGATTAGCATGAGAATCATTAGCACCGGAAGATGGAGGAGCGAGAAACGAAATAATTTACGTGAAGTCGCGCTGTCCGATTGTTTATGAAATTGCCAAGCTAAAACGTGAATTAAAAAAAATGTAATTAAATTAAATTTCAAAATAAAATCATTGTTAATTGTTAAAATTTTGTATTTTACCTAAGTAAAGAAAGTAACCATTCAGTGGCGTTGATATCACAGAAAACCACCAATTTGTAACGTCAAAAATTGGGGCCAGGTATGAAATAATCATTAAAGATGCTGTATATCTCAAGGCAGTTCTTCGACAAAGATCGGGATTTGTGACTGCCATCATTCTATATCCGGCTCGAGAATAATCCGGTCGAAGATTCCATGAAAGGGCATTAAAATGGGGAAATTGCCAGGCGTACAAAATACCAGACATCATCCATGCACCTGGTGAACTTATGTCTCCTAGGCAAGCAGCCCAACCCATCAAAGGTGGAATTGCACCAACTGGAAATTATTCAATTTTCTCTATAATTGTAAATGCTTCAAAATTTTACATTCTTCGCAGAAATTCAATTACATATTCAAATAATTTTTAAAGATTCTTGACAAAATTTCAATTATTTTCAAAAATTTTCCTCAGTTCAATGATTTTTAATATCTACGATTTTAATAAAATTTTCCAAAAGAATTCAATTATATAAACAAATTTTTAATTTATGCAAACACTCAATTATTTTCACAAATAATAAAACTCATCGCAGAATTTCAATTATTTTTAATACAATTTTAATCAAATTCCTCGAAAAAGGAAATTATTCTTAAAAAATTTTATAAATTCGTCGAAAAAATTAAATTAATTAAGTTGACAAAATTCTTTATGAGAATTCAATTTTAATAAATAAATTAAAATTTTTTTAAAAACTTAAGTAACAAAAAAAATTAATTTTGAGTCTGAAACTTAAAAGAAATATGATAAAATAATGAAATTAAAATTCGAATTTCCTAAAAAAAATAAATAGTAATTAGAAATAATTTTTGAATGAAAAAGAATGATATTTACCTACTGAACCAATCCAGGTGTTTAAAATACTGATTCGTTTCATGGGCGTATAAATAAGAGTGTATAAAATTAAATTAGCACCACCTAATGCTGCCGTTAAAGTATTTACTTGTGAATAAAGTATTGCCAGGCCTATCGAACCAGACATCGCAGCGAAAACTGCAGCGTGAACAGGACTAAACATAAAATTCATCATTATTCAATCGACTAAAGAATAAAAATTAAGAATTATGAATATTTAAAAAATGTTTTGAACGTTTTAGACTTACGCAAGATAACCGCGGACTAGTACTCGATTTTTCGTTCGATTCATTTGAGCATCGAAAGGAACTTCACAAAATTGATTGATTGCATTCGCCGATGCCGAAACTAAACCAGTGCCTAGGGAGCACATTGTGAAAATATATGGATCAAATGAAGCTGGTGCCATTGCATATCCACCCATGGCTGTAATAACTACAAGTGCTGTAAAATACAAAATAATTTATTAATTTCAATTTTTTCTTAATAATTTAAACCTAAAATTTTTAAAATCTTAAAAAAGAATGAAAATTTCTTTTATTAAAATTTTTGAAAATAATTGAATTTTATTACTTTTGAGAATAATTGAATTACTGCGAAGAATTTAATGGCAAATTTTAAAATAATTGATTTTTGCGAAAAAAAATTATACAAATTCTATTTCTAATAATTGAATTAATGTAAAATTTTTTTTTTTAAATAATTGAAAGTTCGTGTAGAATTTTTTAAAAACTTTTGTTTAATAATTAAATTCTTTTGGGAAATTTTATTAAAACAGTAGAATATTGAATACCATCGAAGTAAGATAGTAGATATTGAAAATCATTGAACTGAGGAAAAATTTTGAAAATAATTGAAATTTTGTCAAGAATCTTTAAAAATTATTTGAATATAGGTATTATACAATTGAATTTCTGCGAAGAATCTGATTACTTTTGAAAATAATTGAATTTTTGCAATCATTTGTAGCTTCTTCAAAATTCAATATTATTTAGTGTTATTAACTAAAATTCTTCTATAAATTCGGTATTTTTAATAAGTGATAATTAATTATATATTAAAAAATTTAACTAATTTCAAAAGAATTTGAATTATTAAAATTTTTCAAAAATATAAGTTTTTTAAAATTTCTAATTAAATTCATTCAAAATTGAAAGTTTCTAAAATTTCAAATATTAAAACCCTTTGAAGTTCATCTATTTATGAAAATTGTAAACGCCACTCTTTTAAAATTCAATTAATTTTGAAATATTTAACTGAAATTATTCATTAAATAATTTATAAGTAACAATTTTATGATAATTCTTCAAGAATTATGTTATTTAAAAAGAAATTATTTTCAGAAATAGAAAAAATTAAAGGTTTTGTTTTAGAATTTGTGGTAATTGTAAAGTATAGAAGGAAAACTAAAGAAACAAAAATTCAGAATTTTTTTTATGAATTCTAAAAATTTAATTTTTTTGCAGTACTTTTAATAGAAATCCCTGTCTTTTTCCTGAATTTCTCCACACCAAAGTAAAATATAAAAAATTTTGTTCTTTCTTTCACCTAAAAGTGTACTCAAAAAGTAATTAATTATTAGTAAAAGTATTGATTTTTGTACCTTTAAAAAATATACTCACAGGTTAATCGTGCTTTTGACAGCATAAGACAATATTTGTGAAGTTTCGTTGCGTCGAATTCGAAAAATTTCCATTTCATTTTCTTTTGAACAGCGGCGATAGAATCAATTGTGTCATCATTATCTAAAGTTTTTGTTTTATTAACAGAAATAATTGGAGTAGATTTCTGTAAAATGTCAGGAGGAATTGTGTATTTTGATTCCGCAACAATTGTGTGTGTTCTTTGTTTGTTTGACACTGTTTGTCTTTCTTTTGCATGTGATATTTTTACAGCCTGTTTTGCAGGGCCAGCAGAAAGCTATAATAACAACAATTATTAATAAATAAAAATATCAAAAAATCTTATTAATCTTTTCATTTTTTCTGACTTACGTTTGCTGTGATTACTTTCGATAAACTTAGACATGATATTTTTCGACAAAGTTTCGCCGTATGCAAAACATATATCATGTTAAACAAAAATCCTCCAGATTGACAAACACTAACCGGTTATTTTCATCCTAAAAGGATATTCGTTTATAATGTCATTAAACGTAATTTTAATAGACATGCTGGATTAAAAGTTTCGCGTTAAACATTATTACACTATCAATGTGATGGCAAAATATCATTGAAAGTAATTTATTATTGTTGTAACTTGCCTTTTTGCTAATAATTTAAACTTAGCTTGGTAATGTTAAGTGATCATATTATGTGTATTGCATAACATAACATTTTCCCTTCAATAAAATACGCCATGCATGTCAAAATTATAGCAGACGGATTGACGGAACAGGAAGATGCCAGAGTTGGGAAGTTAGAATTTTATCTTTTTATACTCGTGGATTCAAAGTGTGAAAAGAGCATAATGTCCTATTAGGCAGAATTCACAATGGGTAGATATAATGCTCTATCTCTATGTGGACAGATTTGGTCAAAATCAATAAATATCATACTTGCGCCAGGCAGATTTGGCCAAAATCAATAAATTAAATACTTGCGCCGGGCAGATTTGGTCAAAATCAATAAATTAAATACTTGCGCCGGGCAGATTTGGCCAAAATCAATAAATTAAATACTTGCGCCGGGCAGATTTGGTCAAAATCAATAAATATCATACTTGCGCCGGGCATATTTGGCCAAAATCAATAAATAACATACTTGCGCCGGGCAGATTTGGCCAAAATCAATAAATAACATACTTGCGCCGGGCAGATTTGGCCAAAATCAATAAATTAAATACTTGCGCCGGGCAGATTTGGTCAAAATCAATAAATTAAATACTTGCGCCGGGCAGATTTGGGCAAAATCAATAAATTAAATACTTGCGCCGGGCAGATTTGGTCAAAATCAATAAATTAAATACTTGCGCCGGGCAGATTTGGCCAAAATCAATAAATTAAATACTTGCGCCGGGCAGATTTGGTCAAAATCAATAAATATCATACTTGCGCCGGGCATATTTGGCCAAAATCAATAAATAACATACTTGCGCCGGGCAGATTTGGCCAAAATCAATAAATTAAATACTTGCGCCGGGCAGATTTGGTCAAAATCAATAAATTAAATACTTGCGCCGGGCAGATTTGGGCAAAATCAATAAATTAAATACTTGCGCCGGACAGATTTGGCCAAAATCAATAAATTAAATACTTGCGCCGGGCAGATTTGGTCAAAATCAATAAATTAAATACTTGCGCCGGGCAGATTTGGTCAAAATCAATAAATTAAATACTTGCGCCGGGCAGATTTGGCCAAAATCAATAAATTAAATACTTGCGCCGGGCAGATTTGGTCAAAATCAATAAATATCATACTTGCGCCGGGCATATTTGGCCAAAATCAATAAATAACATACTTGCGCCGGGCAGATTTGGTCAAAATCAACAAATTAAATACTTGCGCCGGGCAGATTTGGTCAAAATCAATAAATTAAATACTTGCGCCGGGCAGATTTGGGCAAAATCAATAAATTAAATACTTGCGCCAGTCAGATTTGGTCAAAATCAATAATTAAAATACTTGCGCCGGGCAGATTTGGTCAAAATCAATAAATTAAATACTTGCGCCGGGCAGATTTGGCCAAAATCAATAAATTAAATACTTGCGCCGGGCAGATTTGGCCAAAATCAATAAATTAAATACTTGCGCCGGGCAGATTTGGCCAAAATCAATAAATAACATACTTGCGCTGGCAGATTTGGTCAAAATCAATAAATTAAATACTTGCGCCGGGCAGATTTGGTAAAAATCAATAAATTAAATACTTGCGCCGGGCAGATTTGGGCAAAATCAATAATTAAAATACTTGTATAGGGCAGGTTTGACCAAACCTGCGCGGCGAAAGTATTTTATTTATTGATTTTGACTAAATCTGCCGGGTATAAGTATTTTATTTATTAATTTTGAACAATCCTGCCCGGAGCAAGTATTTTATTTATTGATTTTGAACAAATCTGTTCGGATAAATATTTTTGTATTGCTGTTAACATAATTAAACTTAGAACTTAGGAGACTTTGGATACTTTAATGGGACGAATTAAAAACGATTGCTAGATAGAGATAACATTTATAAAATATTACTATTTTTGAAAATATTCTTTACGTAGTCGTCTCCTATGTAACTTAACTAGCCGAGGTGACCTAGGTAGTCTTATTAATTATCGAGAAATGATGAATAATCATAGTCAGTTTAGTTTAGAGACTCTTTTATTTATAGATGTTTTTATAATGTTCTATATCACTTTTAGAATCAAGTTGAATTTCACAAGAGGTAAAAATTATAAATTATATACAATTATTGTTTTTCTCATTGTAATAGATTGTTTAAAATTTTTTTTTATTGAAAATGAGTATTTCATCGAAAGTGTGAATAAATTTTTGCATTCTTTATTTTGCTGCTTTTTAGAAGATTATAATTTAAATAGTACATACTTCAATTTAGAAATGCATCGTCACAAGTACATGTAAAAAATACATCCAAACTCATATGAGATTAGATAATAACGTTTTTAATATTTGTAACATGATTAAACTGATTTTTAAGTATTTTTTAAATTGTTATTTAATATTTATTTGTAAAATAAATTCGAAACCTTTAAAAAAAATTTGCTGATTTGGTTCTTTTTCAATAAAAGAGCTTGGATGGGCTTTAATGTACGCTTGTGAATTGCTTTCTTTGAAATCGCAATAATAATTTCTCATATAATATATTCCTGGAATTGTTTAGGACATTTTTATTTATTAATTGTGAACTTCGACGATCCTGAATCCCTTGATTCTCTTTTTTTCCACTATTTGCCTTTCGAATTGGCAAATTAGCTGCCAATATAATTCAGTTCTGTTTTGTGCACTACGTAAAGATATCGTTCTTTTTTTTAATAAAGTGTCAAGAAAATTATCTTCAATTATTTTAACCTCAGCAATAACTGGATGGTATTTTTATCTTGAAGTCTCGATTACTAGGAATCTACTAGAATTGTTAGGTACAATGTTGATCTATAAATTATGCGCCACATTTTCCTAAAATAAAAAAAATACTCTCTCTCTTTCTCTCTCTCTCTCTCTCTTTTCCAAAGTTTCGCACAAATTTTTTCCTTTTATATATATAATTCGCATACACTAAAAAAGGTGCATGTATTAACGATTCGACATTTATATTAAGTGCGTATACATTTCATATTAATGGACAATTTTCATCCAAATCTTAAAACAGAAATATGGACAGTTTCATTTAATATCTTAATCGATATTAATCGTTTTACATAATTTCACTTTATTTTCATTTCATCTCACAAAAACATACAATCTCTTTCTCTCACTAAATAAATATTTACAAGATATTTACAATTAAATTTACACTGTGAAGATTGAGTTGTATTGTTAGTTAACGAACGAAACTTGAATCATATTTTTATTAATTATTTAGCAAATAATTATTAATTAAACATTATCAATTAATAATTCATGTTCATCGTAGTGTAAAAATTAAATTTTTAACAGTATTTTTTAATAGTTGATTTTTAAATTTTCATATTCTTTTAAATTCAAGTTTCGTTAATAAAGTAATCTACAAGTTTTTTGCATACAAGACAATTTAAAATTCTCATTATTTCTCCGATAATTACAATAATTTAGTAAGAATTAATGTATAATAATATGTTAAAATAGAATCTTTGATTAGAAGAAAAATAAAAGCTTAAATGACTATTAAAAATTTCATTAATACTCAGTTTTTGAGCGAAGGATTGCTTCTCTTTAAATCATTCTTAAAAGCTGATGTAATAAACACCATTTTCATTTCACATTAATTTACATATCCAATTATACATCTGGAAATATAAAATTTAACAAAATTGAATTTTCGAAAATCTTTAAAGAAAATTATACTTTTCGAACTTAATTTTATTAAATTTTACTGATAAAAAAATTTAGTTTAAGTCGCTTCATATTGTTTTTAGCTTTTGACTTTCAAAATTAAGAAAATAATGTACAATAAAAAGATTTGCTATCTGTCGAGTAAATTAATAAAATGAATAATAATTATTATGATAATTGCATAACAAACTTCTTTACAACTTGGTTGTCTATGTATTCATTTAGATACATAAATCGAAAAAAGCAAGCAATTGCAATTAGTTTAAAGAATTTTTAATGATAAAGCATTGGGATTTCTAGATAATTATTTAGTCTATTGACAAACTTTGCAAGTTGATCGTCTTTTGAAGAATATCGACTTGAATAGAAGGCACGCTTGAAATAGGTAACGTTCTTTTTGAAAAAATATTTTTTCGTTACAAAAAAAAGAGAAAAAAATTTATAAAAAAAAATACCTCAAACCTTCAGTCGTTCTCGCGTATCACACAAAAACAACAATAAATACAAGCATCGCGTAATATCTACTACATCTATACAATATACATTCGAAAGATAATTCAACTTTAAAACTGAATTATTATTCGAAACTACTACCGAAATTTCCCTGATTATAAAAGTTGCATTCTGCACTAGCAAGTTCCATCTTTTCTTCATCTCATTCTGTAATGGCTTTCCTTTATTTTCAGCAATACGTCTCCATTTTTAACTGTCCAAGTTTCACTTTAACATCGTGAAAAGTTGGTCTCTTCTCTGGTTGCAAGTCCCAAGCCTAAAAATTTCACATGCAATCAAATTCATGTTTTATAATAATTAAAGATTAGCGAATGATAGAATCATTATGAATTCAATTATTATTTTCCAAAGTTTTTAACCATAATTCTTCTTCAAATCTGTTATTTTTAATAATTTAAAAAAATGTTCCTTGACAATTTTCAAATTCATTTGTTTACAATATTCAATTTTTCGAAATTTCAATTATTCGTAAATTCTTCAATTAAATATATATTAGAAAATTAAATATTTCAAATAATTACAAAAAAAAATTGCGAAGAAATTTATAACAAATTTATAAATAATTGTATTGTTAATTTAAGCTATAATTTATTAATTTATCATTAAAAAATTTGTAATTAGTTTTATTTTACAAGAAATATTAGTTTTGAAATTTATGAAATTTTTTAGAGTAAAATAATGTTGAAATATTGAAATTTTGTTATTAAGCTATTTTCTGTAATCTAGAAGGTGTTTGAGCTATTTAAATATTTCGTTAATAAATTAAGCCAACCTGTCGCATTATCTCATAAACTTCTGGCGGACATCCATCAGGTGGTTCCATTATGTGACCCTCTTCTACACTTTTAACAACGTCTGCCAAGGGCTAAAAATTATTTCATTATTAATTTCTTTCACACAAATAATTTTATTTAAAACAAATTTTAATTTCAATTTTACATATTTCTTTAAATATATAGAAAATTTTATTTCTAAAATTCACATTAGACCAAAATATACTCACTATTCTCGGATAGGGCACTCGACCAAAAGAATAAATTTCCCAAAGTAAAATTCCAAAACTCCACATGTCAGACTTATTAGAAAATTTCTGCAAAATAAATATAAAAAAAAAATACAATTAAAATTTGTTTTGAAAAGTTTTCTTTCACTCTAAATAAACTTTAAGATCTATAATAAGTATAAAATAAATAATAAAGCAAAAGAAAGTTAAGAAATTTATTATTCTTATTCATATTGTGTGTATGTTAATCAAAGAGAAAAAAATATTTGTGCATAAGAAAGATTCAGTGGAAAAAAAGTCAAGCAACTCATTACGTTGTGTTTTAATGCCTCGGGTGCGGTCCATTTTATAGGCAACTTTCCACCATCAAGTGAAAAGTTTTCATCCCGCGCTAAACCAAAGTCCGAGACTTTTGCTGTTCCATCTTCCGCAACGAGGACATTTCTCGCGGCTAAATCTCGATGAACAACATGTCTAGATTCCAAGTATGCCATTCCAGCACAAGTATCGCTGAAAAAAAAAATTTTTTTTTTACTACCATAAATTATTTACAAACGGCTAACAAAAATTTTAGTTTAGAAAACAAATGTAAAAAGCAACTATTAAATATTATTGTAAAGAAAAACGAATAAATTTAATCCATTATTATTCATTAAGAAGCTTTTTGTGGACAATTTTTGAAAAAATTTTAAAAATCATGTTCAATATCTATTTAATCCGTTTTTTAAAATTGTAATGAATAATATTTCGTCTTTATTTCAAAATTTGAACTGAATAGAAAATATTATTTTAAATATAAAACTTTTCCAGGTTAAAAAACGGAATTTTTCCAGGTTTTTAAAACTACATTTATATTTTACAAAATTAAATAATTTCACTTCAATTCAATTATTGTTTTCCAGAATTTTTAACTAAAATTCTTCTTTAAATTAATTATTTTTAATAATTTTTGAAAAATTTCTTTAAAAATTTTCAAATCCTTTTGTTTACAATTCAATTTTACGAAATTTCATCGATTATTCGGAAATTCTTTAATCAAATATATATTAGAAAATAAAAACTTTAAATAACTTCAAAAAAATTCAAATAAAGATTTTCAAAAAAATTAAATCTACACAATTTTCAGTTAAAAGTATGAAAAATTCAAACATTCAAAGATTATAATTTAAAACCTTTTCAAAATTCAATTATTTCTAAAAATTTTTAAACATTTTTACTAATTCAAATTTAGAGAGTTTAATATTCAATTGTTATCTAAAATTTTACCTGAAATTAATATTTGTATCAATTATTATTAGAAAATTCTACTAGAATTCAATTATATAAATACAAAAATAAATAATTTATTGAAGAAATGAATTATTTTTTAAAATTGAACTCTCATTTAAAGAATTTTATCAACAAATTTTTAAATAATTGAATTCTTTCAGTGAATTTTAAAAAAAATTGTTAATAATAATTACATTTTTTGGGAAATTCGATTAAAATTATATTAAAAATAATTGAATCTCTGTAAAAAAAAGTTTGATTGAATTGAGAAAAATTTTTGAAAATAATTCAAATTTTGCTAAGAATTTTATTAAATTTTCTAAAAATAATTAAATTTTGGAAAAAAATTTTATTATTTATAAAGATAATTGAAATTTTGACGATAATTTTTTTTAAACTTTTGACAATAATTGAATTTCTGCGAAGATTTTTATTACTTTTGAAAATAATTGAATTCTAGCGAACGAATTTTATTTTTTATAAAAATAATTGAATTCCTGCAAAGAAATTTTATTATTTATGAATATAATTGAATTCTTGTAACGAATTTTATTAATTTTTTTTAAATTATTGAATTTCTGGGGAAATTTTTATAATTTGTAAACAGAATGAAATTCTTTTTTTTATTTTTAAAAAATTTAAAAGAATAATTTAAATATTTCGAATAACTTAATTAAAATTTGATTAAAAATAATTGAATTTTTGCGATGAATTTTATTATTTATGAAAATAATAATCCAACTATTATAAACAAATTTTGTTCAAATTTTTGAATATAATTCATTTTTTTTTAAGAATTTTATTAAAATATTTAAATAATTGATTTCTTTCGAAAAAATTTCTTGAAAATTATATTTCACACAATTGAATTACTTTGAAAATTTTATTATATTTATCATATTATTTGAATTTTCGCTTTGAATTTTATTAAATTTTTGAAAACAAGTAAAGTAAGTTTGAAAAATTTTGTTGAAATTTTCGAAAATAATTAAAAGATTTCAAAGAATTAAATTAAAATTTTATTGAAAATAATTTAATTCCTCTGAAGAATTTTATTATAATATGAAAATAATTTAATTCCCATAAACAAATTTTTAGAAAATAATTAATTTCTTTTTTAAGAATTTTATTAAAATATTTAAATAATTGATTTCTTTTAAAAAAATTCCTTTATTATTTCACATAATTGAATTATTGTGAAAATTTTATTATTCGAATTTTATTATTTGTGAAAATAACTGAATTCTCACAAAAGATTTTCGAAAATTTTTTGAAATAATTGAATTGTGTCGAAGAATTATATTAAAATTTTTCTAATTGCTTCTAAGAAGAATTTTATTAAAATTTTCAAGAATAAATTCTTTAATTCAAAAAAATATTCAAAAAAATATTTATCTACCACGATAATTGTTAATTTTTTCCATTTCATTAAATTTCCATAATTTAAGCAAAAATAGACAACCAATGCAATGACTAGAAGAAATGAAATTGAGCTAATAATTTTCAGCGATTTCAGCGATTGAAAAATATTGAAAAATAGGAAATTATTATTTTCTAAGTAATGAAAAATGATCTTACAATGCAAAATTAATTTGATCTTTCTTGGAGACATGTAACCTTCCTCGGGATCTTAGATAATCAACGAGCGATCCATTACTCATATATTCGGTGACCAGGTACATATGTGGATTATTAAAAACAAGACCAAGGAGCTTCACTAAATTATCATGTATCAATGATGTCATTAAACTCGCCTCGGCTAAAAATCTTTGCGCCGCTTCGCTATTGTCCTTTAACATTTTAACAGCAACTCTTTCCCCACGATAAACACCAAGTAAAACATCGCCAAATTCACCTTTTCCAATGCACTCGCGTAATTCCAATTCATGCGTTTGTATTACCCAGCCAGCTTCGATAAATGCCTTTGGATCAACGCAAAAATCTTGTTTACCTTGTTTTGGCAATGATTTCGTTAATTGTGTACACAAACCGTCGGCATCTTGCTCATAGTGCTCGACGAGGAGCGCCAAATTCTCAAAGAACTCCTCGTCGTCTATTGTTAATTGATTATTTTTATATTTCACCCGATAATGTTGAACACGTCCTTGATAGCACACACAAAGCGTATAATCGCCAGGAAAGTTCGTCGACTCACGAACTAGAAATAGGCCATCTTCACGAGGTCGCAACAATCTTTCCGCTGTTTCCCTCGAAATTTTACCATGAAACCATCTGTAAAAATATTTCCAATTTATTAATAGATTCAAATTGTATATATAATCATTATAGGCAGGGCTCGAACCAGTGAAAACCATTTAGGGACCAATTACTGACAAAAATATAACCAGTCCGAATCAAATAAGAAAACATTCTTTACTTAAAACTATAATCAGAGTTGTCAAGCTTTTGCTCAATTCAAATTCCCTGACTTCTCTAGGTTTCCCATGTTAAAAAACGGAATTTTTCAAAGATTTTTAAAATTCATATTTTACAAAATTAAATAATTCCAATAAATTTTTATAAAACACGAACTGTATTCTGCTTTAATATAATATTTATTTCAATATTCAAATATTCAAAACTTTATAAAACATGACAGAATCATTATTTTATATTATAAGAATATTGTTACTGTAACTTCTTCAAAATTATTTTCATCATTTCAATTCAATTATTATTTTCTAGAATTTTTAACTAAAATTCTTCTTTAAATCAATTAATTTTAATAATTTTTGAAGAAGTTCTTTGAGAATTTTCAAATCTATTCGTTTACAATTCAATTTTACAAAATTTTGATTATTAGAAAATCTTCAATTAAACTTTTTCAAAAAAATTAGTCCTATGAAATTAATAATTTAAATTAAAATTATGAAACCTTTCTCAAAATTCAATTATTTCTAAAAATTCACGCTAAAAGGCTTTTAGTATTCAATTATTTATGACAGTTTATGAAAATAATTAAAGGTTTGCTTGGAATTTTATTAATTTTGAAAATAATTGAATTTCTGCAATCATTTGTAACGTCTCCAAAAATCAATTTTCTTTAGTGTTTTTAACAAAAATTCTCCTATAAATCCTTTATTTTTAATAATTAATTAAATGTATATTAAAAGATTTAACTAATTTCAGAAGAATTTGAATTATTAAAATTATTTAAAAAGTTAAGTTCTTTAAAATTTCTTATTAAATTCATTGAAAATTGAAATTTTCTAAAATTACAAATTAAAACCTTTTGAAGATAGTTCTTCAAGAATTAAGTTATTTAAAAAGAAATTATTGGCAGAAGTAAAAAAAACTGAAGGTTTTGTATTAGAATATGTGGTATCAAACATAAAACATCGATTTTTTCATGTTTTATAGTAATCAAAGAAGGCCCAGTGAATAAATTTTTTAAAATTAATTGAATTCCCTGCGAAGAATTTTATTATTGACTAAAATAATTGAATTTTTTGAAAATAATGGAGCTCCTTTAATAATTTAAATTGGTCCAAATACTTGGATTTTATGAAGAATTTCTTTCAAATTTTTAAAATAATCATATTTTTTAATAATTGAAATTAAACATTTAATTATTGAATTTTATTAACATGTTTAAAAAATGATTAAATTCCTCTCAGAATTTTAGTAGAATTTTTTAAAATAATTTAATTCATTCAAAGAATTTTACTAAAATATTGAAAATAAATTAAATTCATTTGAAAAATAGATAGGTACTTAAATTCTTTTAAACAATTTTATTAGAACTTTTCTAAATAATTAAATTCTTTTGTAGAATTTCTATAAATTTGTTGAAAATAATGTAGTTTTTTTAAATAATTTTAATTGAAAAGTATGAAAATAATTAAATTAAACAAACAATGTTCTTCAACTTTTTTAAAATAAACGTGTCTGTTAATAATTATAATTAAAAATTTGATTATTGAATTTTATTGAGATTGTATTGAAAATAATTGAATTCCTAAGAAGAATTCAAAAATTTTTGAACATAATTGAATTTCTGCGAAGAATTTTCTTACTTCTGAAAATAATTAAATTTCTGCAATAATTTGTAACTTCTCCAAAAGTAATTTTTTTTTATGCATTTTTAACTAAAATTCTTCTATAAGTCCATTAATTTTAATAATTTTTGAAAAAGTTCTTTGAATATTTTCAAATTCATTTGTTTAAAATTCAATTTTACAAAATTTCAATTATTCGGAAATTCTTCAATTAAATATATATGAAAAAATAAAAACATTAAATAATTTAAAAAATAATTCGCAATTAAACTTATTTAAAAAAATTAATTCCACATAATTGTTAGTAAAAAAATTAAAAAATTCAAATTTGCCAAGATTTAAATTTGAAACCATTTTAAAATTTATTTATTTATAAAATTTTAACTGAAATTCAATTTTAAATCAGTATTTATTAGAAAATTCTACGAGAATTGAATTATTTGAATGCAAAATTAAATAATTTATTGAATAATTCAATGTTACTTAAAATTGAATTCCCATAAAGAATTTTATCAATAAATTTTTAAATAATTGAATTCTTTGGACGAATTTTAATAATTCTTTTAAAGATTAATTACATTTTTCAAGGAATTCGATTAAAATTGTATTAAAAATAATTGAAATTCTGTAATGAGTTTTATTTTTTATTAAAATAATTAAATTCCTAAAAAGAATTTTATTATTTACGAAAATAATTGAATCTCTGTAAACATTTGATTATTTATGAAAATAATTGAATTATTACGAAGAAATTTATAAAAAATTTGTTAATTATTGAAAGTTTCGCGTGGAATTTTATTAATATTTTTTTAAATAATTAAATTCTTTTGAAAAATTTTAGTAAAATAGATATTGAAAATCATTGAATTGAGAAAAATTTTTGAAAATAATTGAAATCATTGAAATTTTGCCAAGAATTGTATTAAAATTTTTGAAAATAATTGAATTTCGGAGAAGAATTTTATTATTTATAAAGATAATTGAAATTTTGATGAGAATTTTTTTTTAATTTTTAAAAATAATTGATTTCTTGCAACGAATTGTATTACTTTTGAAAATAATTGAATTTCTGCAATCATTTAAAATTCCTCTGAAATCCTCCAAATTATATCGTACAATTTACGAACTTTTTGTCCTTTTTTAATCAAATTACGGACTTTACGGACCTTTTTTTTTAAAAAAAACTGACTTTTACGGACTTGAAACAAATTTACGGACCTTTAATGAATTTACGGACTTGTTCGAGCCCTTGGGAATATTTGGAAAGTCTTAGTTCAACTGAGAGTTCTTTCTTGTGAATATACAGTGTGGCCACTCAAAATTTTCCAATAAAATTCTCAAAAAGCTATTTCGCCATTTTTTTTAAGTTTCAACCCGATTAGTCTGGTATTTAGACAAAATTACATTTCATGTTCTAGGAAGAATACTATTCGACCGATACGGTTTAAATTTTGTATAAATATGTATTTTTGAACGTAGAATAAAAAAAAAAAAATTTTGTAAAATATGATTAGATTTGACTATCACAAAGTTTTTTGCGATTTTTATAAAAACTGATATTCTTTGAAGTCCCTCAATTCTCAATATTTTGCCATGAAAATTCGGAAAAACATTGTTTAAATGTTGCTTTAATCTTTTTTTGTAAAAACTAATTGTTTCGTTCTTGTCTGTAAAGTTTTGTTTTCTAAAACTTAATCAGTAATTTTCAACATTTCTCCAGGCCACCCTGCGATAAAATTTAATTATTATAAACGAACCAAAACAATACATACGGCATTGCATTGAGCTTTACTTCATGCCTAGGATTCGTTGGCAGTACATTAGTATTGCCGCTATTTGTTGAATTTGAAGTGATAATGACTGGAGTGGGAAGAGCATTAATGTGAGAGGTAACATTTTGCGATGTAATATTTGAATGTGTAGTCATGATTGGGGACACTGGATGGGACGAAATATTGGAAGCAGTGAGATTGGAAGAATTTGAATGTTGTGTTGTGTTATGGAGCAAGGAAAGATTGGTTATGGTCGATGGAATTGTGTGATGATGATTTTGGTTGCTGTCGAGTTTTGCTTGACGGGCTGGTGCTGATAAATTTGGGTAGACACCGCCCGCATTGTGATACGTTGGCATTACTGCTGACGCCAGGATAGGCAATAATCATCTGCAACAAATTAAAACAAAACAAATTAATTCTTTTTCCTGATTTATTGGATTTATTGAAAATTGGAATTTTATAAAATTTCAAATTCAACTTCAAATTTCATTTTCAAGTTGATCTATTTATGAAAATTGTAGACGCAACTCTTTTAAAATTCAATAAATTTTGAAAAGTTTCAATTAAGAAATTGGAATTTGATGAATAATCGTGAGCACAAAAAAAAGCAACAAAATCACGGTTCATTTAATAAGAAAACAAATAATTTTGTCGCGGAAAAATGAAAAAAAAGCGTGAAAGCAGAACCATTCATTAGCCTTTTAGTGTCGTGAAGGTAATTCAAATCCTAATTCTTTGCGACTTCATAAAACACAATAGAATTGAGTGTCACCTTTTATGTGGGAAGTTGAGTTCGTCAAATCAGAGTGACACGTCTTCTAGGTGAAGAGAGGCGGTCACTTAAGAAGCTATTGTTTTAATACATTTGCTACACAATCGACGTCTACGTGTTTTAATCCTCTCTTTGAAACTGATGTTTATTTGCGAGAATATAAATACATTACATTATAAAGAATATGAGTCACACACGCTTTATTTTCACAGATGTCATGAAACAATTATACTATTTGAATAAACATAACTTCATCACGTATCTTTTTTTCTTATAATTATATTACTTTTTTAATTGAACAGGGTTGCCACGCTTTTTCTCATTTCAAATTCCCTGACTTTTCCAGGTTAAAAAAACGGAATTTTTCCAGGTTTTTAAAACTATATTTTTTATATTTTACAAATTTAAATAATTCCAATAAATTTTTACAAATACATGTAATCTTTTTTAAATAAATATTTAGTGATTATAATTTTTCCATAAGAGTTAAGATTTTCAAAAATTTTTTTAAATTCAACTTTTTTGAAATTAAACAACTTATAAAAAATTTTTATAAAACATGAAGAAATCGATCACTCCGAGTCTTCGACTCGGAGCAATCGATATCTTCATGTTTTATAATAATTAAAAATGACCGACTGATAAAATCATTATTTTATAGTATATAAAAATATTGTTACTGTAACTTATTCAAAATTACTTTCATCACTCTTCAATTTAATTATTGTTTTCCAGAATTTTTAACTAAAATTCTTCTTTAAATTAATTATTATTAAAATAATTTTTGAAAATTTTCTAATCCTTTTGATTACAATTGAATTTGACGAAATTTCATCGATTATTCGGAAATTTTTCAATCAAATATATATTAGACAATAGAATTGTATCAAATAACTTAAAAAAAAATTCCATTAAAGTTTTTCAAAAAAATTAAATCTACACAATTTTCAGTTAAAAGTATGAAAAATTCAAACATTCAATGATTATCATTTTAAATCTTTTTAAAATTCAATTATTTCTAAAAATTCACGCTTTAATACTTTCTCTCTAAATTTGAATTAGTAAAAATGTTTATTAATTGAAATTAGTGACTGACTTTTTGCTTTTGAATTAGTAAATTTTACTATTCAGTTAGTAAAAAAGACTATTTATTAGTAAAATCTAATAATTTAAAAGCAAAAAGTCAGTCACTAATTAAAATTAGAAAACATTTTTATTAATTCAAATTTTGAGAGTTTAATTGTTATCTAAAATTTTAACTGAAATTCATATTTCAATCAATTATTATTAGAAAATTCTACTAGAATTCAATTATTTAAATACAAAAATAAATAATTTATTGAAGAATTGAATTGTTTTTTAAAATTGAACTCTCATTTAAAGAATTTTATCAACAAATTTATAAATAATTGAATTCTTTCAGTAAATTTTAATAAAATTGTTAATAATAATTACATTTTTTGGGAAATTCGATTAAAATTTTATTAAAAATAATTGAATCTCTGTAAAAAAAAAAATTTGATTGAATTGAGAAAAATTTTTGAAAATCATTGAAATTTTGCCAAGAATTTTATCAAAATTTTTAAAAATAATTTAATTTTGGAAACAAATTTTATTATTTATAAAGATAGGTAATTGAAATTTTGACGATAATTTTTTTAAACTTTTAACCATAGTCTATAATTGAATTTCTGAGAAGAATTTTATTACTTTTGAAAATATTTGAATTCTTGAGACGATTTTTTTAATATAATATTATTAAATCCCGTTATGAATAAAATAAAAAATAAAATAATTGAAAATAATTGAATTTTAATAAATTATTGAAATTAATTAAATTTCTACGAAGAATTTTATTTAAATTATTTTTTAAAAAAATTGAATTGTTAAAAATTCTTAAAAAGAATTTCATTAAAATTTTTGAAAATAATTTAATTCTTTCAAGAAATTTAATTAAAAATGTATTGACAATGAAACTTAAATTCTAATAAATAAATAAAATTATAGGAAGGCTTTTTAAAATAATTGAATTTCTTTGATGAATTTTAATAAAATTTTTAAGAATAATTACATTTTTCGAGAAATTCCATTAAAATTGTATTAAAAATAATTAAATTTTCTGCGATGAGTTTTATTATTTATGAAAATACATAATTGAAAACCTATAAAGTTTTTTATTTTTTATGAAAATAATTGAATCTTTGTAAAAAATTTGATTATTGCGAAGAATGAAGAATTTGTAAATAATAGAATTCCTGTGAAATTTTTATTATTTTATTAATTCATTGAAAAATTAAATTTTACAAAATTTCAAATTAAAAACGTTTTGAAGTTTATCTATTTTTATGAAAATTGTAAACGCAACTTTTTAAAAAAAAATTGAATTAATTTTGAAATATTTAAGAAAAATTAGATTTCAAGAATAAGCACAATAACTTTAGAAAATAATAATTTTTCAGGATTCCGATGAAAATTCCCTGACTTTTCCAGGTTTTCAGGTTGCGTGGCAACCCTGTTGAAAATAAAAGGAATTGAAAAAATAAAGAAGCAAAAACAAAAAATATGATAGATTAACTTTATAACTATAAAACTTATATTTTTCGAAAATAAAAGCTCAAAAAAGATGCAATTTCTGAATAAAATTTGTAAAGTTAAGAAAAAAACTTGCGAAAATGGAAATCGTTTTTATATTTCGATACAAAGTTTCTCATTATATTTACTTGAGTCTATTATTATCATGCATTGGGTGCCACTTTGGATCTAAGAAAATTGCTTTTGACTTTGAAATTGAATCTCTAGAGCAATGGAGCCGAGAATCAAAGGAAGTTTTGCCTTTTGAGAATTACTTTTCAGATAAATTTTAAAACTTCATTTTGCTCTCAAACGACTCTTCAATTGAATTTTTTCCCTTTTCAACTAAACTAAACTAAACTAATTACGAATTTTAGAAGAAAATTATTAAAAAATTCAGGATTTTAACACCTTTTTAAATTCAGACCTCGAATCAACTTTGAAGCAGATAAATGTTGTTTTTAGCCAATTTAAAGTAAAAAAAAGTTGCTAATTTAACTTTATTTTTACAAATTTTAATGCGAGTTATATGTTCCAATTTTATTAACAGTTACTTTTATATTACTTTTTGTAATTTTTATAACTTTTTATAATTTTTAATCTGAAATAATTAAATTTTTTACTAGAATTTTACAATAAAATTTTTAAAAATAATTTAATTGTTTTGAAGAATTTTATGGAAATTTTTAGAAAATTATTCAAAAATTGAAGACGATTTTTGAAAACAAAAAATGTTGTAATTTACATAATTATAATAAATTAGCCAGTTTTCCTAGTTAATATAACATTTATAAAAATTAAAAGCGAAACTTTTATAAAATTCAATTATTTTTTGAATTTTTAAATAAAATTATTCGCAAAATTATTTAAAATAAATTCAATTTCAAATCTATAAAGTTCAATTATTTTTAAAAATAGAAATAATTTAATAATAATTCCGGCAAATTGCTAAAATTCAATTATTTTGAAAATTTTGCTATTAGAAATTTTTTGTAATTCGATTAATAATTAATTAATAAAATAAATAATAATTAATAATAAATTAATAAATAATTAATTTAATTTTCATTTTGAAAAATTTAGTGGCTATAATGTCATCAAAAAAATGTAAACTTGAAAAAAATTATTTTTATTTGATAATAAAGTATGAATAGTTTTTCTTTTTCAGTTGAAGATAATTTTTTCTATCCTCAGGAGACGAAAACATTTTTTTTTTAAATTTCTTTTTGTAGACTTGAAGTGAATCGGATTCATTTCACATTGAAAAGAATTCCGAACATTTTTGTATGGGTATAGTAAATTAAAATCCAAGCCACGTCTCTTGAGTAAAGTTCGCATTGCAGGATAAAAAGTCTTCAATACGTATACGTCAATATTTTTCAAACTGAATTTGGAATTATTTTTTTCATAAATCACAAAAACTAATATTTTTGTAAAAATTTAACACTATAAGTGAATTTGCATCATTTGCTAAAATTATTTTTTAATTGAAATATTTAATTATAAAAAATTGTGAAAAGAAAAAAATTGAAGAAAATATTTAATATTTTCTTTTTCTCATATACGATATGAAAATAAATAACGAAAAAAAAAGGAGTTGAACGAATGTTTTGGAATGCAACATTTCCACGTGCTGAATAATTTATTGTTGGATTAGTCAAAGCTTGTATCTCGTGATATAAAAAAAAATTTCCTTTAAGGTTCAAAAGTAATCTGTATGTGTTGCATGGATTTTTAGAGAAACATTCCGTGACACCTTTTTTATGCTTTTCGTTTGAAAATAAACTTGAGAAAAAAAAGAGCTGGCACATTTCGTGGTCTACATTACGCTTTTTTCTCTCAAATATGACCTGAATCTCTTTTCAGGATTTTATTTGCCTCACTTGTCAGAAATTTAAATGTTTGCTGACATGCTTTCAAATATGTAATGTATGTGTGTGACAAATAATTATTTATGTAAAGACGAAAAAAAAAATATAAATCAGTATTCGCAAATTTTTAATATAATGATAATTGTATAAATGTATTTGTATAAATAACGTGT